CATCTGGTCACGTCGGCCTCCAACATCTCGCTTTTGTCGCTCAACCAGCAGGTCGCCACGCTCTCGTCCACCCCGTCACCCCGCTTACCCGGCCCTCTCTCCCCTTTTCCTACTACCACTTCCCCTCTGTCGCATCACGTCTTCCTGCTTGTTGTCGCTTCGCTCTACACACACTCTATCTCCCGCTTCCCCTTCTGCTCCCCTCCCCACACTCCACCAACCCGTCCTCTCTACCCTCCCCTGCCCTGCCCTGCTCTCTTCCCCTACGCTCCGCTTCCACTCCATCCCTGCTACTTACTACCCATCCATACCCTGCCCTGCTTGGCGCTTTTACTTTTACTTTTCTTCCTTTTTAGTTTTACCTTCAAATCCTACAAAACGACACAACCTCGTGTGATGCCATCCCAACAATGTACTCCGGTTAGTGCCACTACTGGTGATATTGTTGGTTCACTTTCCCACGACGCGCGGTCAGTCGCAAGCCCTTCCTTCCCAGCCCTCAGCGCCCTCAACGCCTAGGTCCGGGTGCTGGGGCGCTAGCTCTACGCTAGGCTACTTGGTTACATTGACGTCAGGAAAGACTTAGATGGATGATTCCGAGGTTGAATGTCAATGAGGCTCTGGAGTCCGCAAAATATATACATCCTTAGCATCCCAGTCAAGTAACCTCATATATGAGACAATCATTGGGATTTTCGTTGACTTTAACTTTGGTCTCTCCGTGTCCTCTTATTCAATCCTGAGCAGCTCTCCGACACGGTGAACGAAGAATGCATGACTGAATAAATGGAGTTTCTTGATTCACAGGTCTCCAAATTCTTTGGTTTACCATTGTAACTGGCCAAAATCAAACCTTGAACGGAATAGCTTTGAGGAATGCCTCTATCTATAGATACATCACAATCAGGATAAAACTACTGTACTTTTGCGAAAATGTGGCGATGTCGTTGAGCCATCAACTGCTTCAACAGATAAGATAAATTTTCATCTGATCTGGTCGTTTCTTTATCTGGTTCGGCACGACCTTTAGCTGACCCTTAGTCACAGTTGCAAATCGGCCCCTCGCTCAGCGTTCTCAATGGAGGGCTTCGTTCTCGCCAATTGAATTTCTTCCGGTCAAACTCGTTCTCTGCAGCAGCCTTTGAAGTGGAAACTAATAGGATGCGAAGTCAGATTTGCCGTTTGGATGTCGCATAAACTAATCGTCCACAAATCCATCCCTCTCATTAGTTATTTGTTACACTCTACGAAAAGATAAATCTCGATAGAAATAAATTCGATCATCTGTTTCAGCGAACTAAACCTGCACGTGACCAGATCTTACATCTGACCCACGGATCTTGCACTCATGACAACCTGTATGTCGTCGCTTTTGTGCTCGTAGCTTCCAGACGCAACGTCTTTCTCCTCTTCAATCACTGTTCCAGGGTAGCCCACGCCGTTGATTGGCTCATCATCCTCAAAAAACCCGTTGGTGTCGACCAAATACTCCCAAGTTTTTGGAGTCTCGCTGTACGCATCAGGATATATTTTTGGCTTGAAGTACAACCCCAAAGCAGTGTAGGCAACAAAACCAATGATGAAAGTGTATAGCCAGCCACCGTAGAAAATGTCTGAGGCTGTCTGGGTCAATGCATCAGCATGATACGATCTGTATAGACCAGGAATGGCGATAATGGGGGAAATGACCCAAGCGGCTCCAGCCCAAAGGTTGCATCCCTTATAAAAATAATAAATTCCCTTTGGATTCTTGGTGTACAACGAGGGAACGTGGATGTTGCCCTTGCGGATGATGTAGAAGTCAGATAACAGACAGCCAAGTAAAGGAGCCACAAAGATGGAGTATGAACCAAGAAACGAAACTAGTGTTGCTGCAGAGTTGATCATTTTCCATGGGACCATTGCCCATGCCAGAAGCCCCAGAAAAATCTGGCCGCGAACAATAGTGAAATATTTTGGGAGCAGACCACACAGGTCAGCAGCAAACGGAATAGAGTTGCCAAATATATTTGTACCCGCCGCACCAACAGCAAATGATAAAGAACACAGAAACACGGCACATCGCGTGCCTGGGCCCCACTCATTTTCAAGAATGGCAGTCATCAGGTCCCACATGCTCCAGTACGATTCTCCATATGCTCTGCGGATGGAAGCATTTGAAGCCATACCAATCAGCAAAATTGCAAGGGTTGAAGGGATATAGCCAATCGATTGGGGCCAGGTGGCACTGTGTTTTTTCTTTGCATACCGAGCAATATCTGGCTGGTTAATGATCATTGCAGACACCGATCCAATGATGGAGTTGATCATATGAATCCATTGGTTACCCGTAGTGGAAACCTTTTCCACCTTGACACCAATGTCGTAGTCTCCAGGCCCACCACCCTTGATCATACAGAAGATAAACAAACCAAAGGCCGCAATGGGCATGATGATGCCCTTGACAGTGAAAAACCAGCGGATCTGTCTTGGATGCAAAAACATTAACGGAAACTGTGCCATCCAATAAAGCAAAAAGGCAACCATGAGCCGCGTCGTAATTCCAGCACTATCAGGGATATGGTTTGGAATATCTGTCCATTTATGGCCAAACATGCAGCGCAGAGCAATATCGAAACATCTAGAGCCATAATAAGTTTGGACACCGAACCATAAGGCTGCCACAAACATACGCACAAACACAAAGAAGCTGCCAAGCCGGACACCAAAGACTGCCCTTGCAACCGCAGGGTACCCAATATGGTAGTCGGCTCCCGAACGTGCAGACACGACCACTAAGAGACAGCAGAAGAAGGTAGTTAAGATAGCACCCCCGATAACCTGTTTATATGGAAGCCCTGTGGCTTTCATAAGTGAAGATCCTGTATTCCACGAACTAACCCCAAACGCTGACTGGAACCAAACCACGATGTAATTGTACGTCCTCCAGGTTCTCTCCTGTGGAGGAGTTGGTTTCAGATCGCGGTTGGCTCTAAGCAAATCATCTTCATTCTCAGTACTGTCTCGCACGGACACATAGTGGTCAAAGCGTTTGAGGGCGTTCATTTTGATGAGAGTTTACCGATTCGAGGCTGGTTTTTATAGTTTTCAAAAATCTGCCGAGACTTTGATAAGTTGCCCTATCGTGCATAAAAAATTTTGCGAATTTGGAAAGCAGAGATTGAAGATAAGAAAATACTCTCGGGTTGGGCAATATATCTCTATTCAAAAATATAGGACAACTTGCCCATAGGGCCGGGCATGCTGGACCCTGTCCGCTTTACATACTGGCCTGTGCTTTTTGAGGCCATCAGACCGCCGTTATCTCTATCCCAGACCACACAACCCCGCAAAATGGTGTATCTTGGCCAGTTTGTAAATTCCACTCCTTCAAAAGGCGAGTAGTCTATGCCATGGTGGAGCATTGAGTTACTCAGAACGAATGGTGCCATTTTACCTTTAGGGTACCAAATAACAAAGTCTGCGTCCTTGCCAACAGCAATCGTTCCCTTCTTATCTAGGCCGTACAATTTTGCAGGGTTCGAGCAGCACAGTTCAACGTACCGTTGTGCAGTAATTCTACCTGTCTCAACACCTTTGCAAAAGAGCAAAGGCATTCTCGTCTCAATGCCCGGTAGGCCATTTGGTACCTTTTTGTAGTGGGGAATCCCATTCACCAAACCAGCTTTTTTTCCTAGCGGATGGTCGTAAATAGTTGGAGCATGGTCGCTGCTGAACACTGTCACCGTTCCGTTTTGAATGGCTTTCCACACGCCATCGAGCTCAGCTTGAGATTGTCTCAATGGTGGCGAGCAAATGTACTTGGCACCCTCAAAAGGATCATCTTTGTGGACATGATGTGAGCACTGGTGTTTCAAGTAGTCAGCTGTCAAAAATAAATACTGTGGACAAGTCTCTGCAAATATTGGCACCAGATTGTTTTGTGCATCTCTAACGGTCGCCAATGCCGTTTCAGATGACATGTGCACAATCAGAATAGGAACATCTATCATTTTGGATAAAGAAATGACCCGATAAGTGGCCTCGTCCTCAGCTACTTTTGGACGACTCTCAGAGTGGTAAAACGGATCCGTAAGTTTCTTCTCCTCCAGTTTTTTGCCTATGAAGTCAATGATATCTGCGTTTTCCGCATGGATCATTGTAGTGATTCCCAATTTGCGATTCGACAAGAGAATTTCGAGTACCTGCTCGTCGGAAAGACGATACCGAGGATACGTCGTATACACTTTAACCGAGGTGATTCCGTGCTGCTGAGCCAGCAGGGGAAGCTGGGTCTTGAGTATTTCGTCAGTGGGATTGGAAATGATCACGTGGAACCCATAATCACAATAGGAGCTATTTTTTGCCACTGTGTGGTACTCTTCAACAGCAGAAACCAAGTCAAAATCCTCTTTGGAGTTCTGGATTGCAAATGGGATCACCGTGGTAGTCCCTCCCGGAGGAGCAGAACGTGTTCCAGATTCAAAAGTGTCACCAGCAGGAGTGTTCTTCTGGGACAGATGGACGTGCGAGTCAATACCGCCTGGCATGATATAGCCTCCCTCGGCATCTATAATTTTTTTTCCCGTGAGCGGTGTTGCTGAGATCTGTTCGATGACGCCACCTTTGATACCAATGTACGTTGATGGTGGCATCACGTCGGAACCCACAACGACAAGCCCGTTGTGGATAACCAGATCGAATTGCCCTCTTTGATACGAAAACATGCTATTTTCGATTTGGCCGAACCAGCTCCTTTTTATCGCAGATAAGTTGCCCGATCCTGCATATAAATAAAAAGGATAGCCACAGGACAGGGACTCGATAAATTTCATGTCTCTACAGTTAGAAGATCTTCCATTCGTTGGCGGTTCGGGAACTTCCATCAGAGTTCTATTTGTCAATCCTAATGCCACAGCCTCGATGACAGCGTCTTGTCTGAAGATGATTTCTAGCAGTCTTCCGCCGGACACTACGGTCTATGGGTATACTGGGCCAGCTGGTAAGGCTCCGGTGACAATTGAAAGTCATTTAGACTCCGTGATATCTGCAGCCGAGTGTCTTAGAGATGCCTACCCTCTCTTCTCTCAAGTCGATGCCGCTGTTGTTGGCTGCTTCTCGGACCATCCTCTCGTCAACTCTATACGAGAAGAGTTTGATATCCCATGCTGTGGAATAATGGAGGCAGCATTCTACACTGCCAGGATGCTCGGCGGAAAGTTTGGAGTCCTTTGTACTGGATATCGATCACAAATCCGTCACCAGTACGCCGTCCAAGCCTACGGCTTGGAAAACTTCTGCGCAGGCCTTTTGTCGACAAAACTCACAGTCAAGGAGCTAGAGACGAAGCCAAGAAAAGAGGTTCTCTCATTGATGGCCAGTTGTGCAAAGCAGCTGGTTGAGCAGCAAGATGCCGACTGTATTGTTCTCGGCTGTGCGGGGATGGCAGATATGGCTTCAGCTGTCGAACAGGCACTGGAAGGACGCAGCGTGCAAGTCATCGACGGAGTTTGCTGTGCCGTTAATATACTGTCTGGCTTTGTACGTATGGGGATGAGAACTTCCAAACGGGGATTGTTCACATGGGCTAAGCCGGGAAGAGAATTAAGGGGACAGCCTTACCTCTAACAAAACCTTAATTGTATTCTATACAAGTTTGTCAAGCCATAAAAGGGGTTGGGAAACAGTAAACTGTTCTTCCAGGAAATTTCCCTCGCTCGACGTTCCCACAAAAACAGTGTACGTCGCTGCCTCCATAATCCATTTATCGCAAGCTTCGTTCCAGTAAGAAGTGGCAAACTTGCCGTCGATGGATATGTGTACTTTCTGCGAGCTTCCAGCTTCCAAATATATCTTCCTGAAACCTTTCAGCTCTTTGAATGGCCGCTTAATTGCCGGACAGCTTTGATGAACGTAGACCTGAACAACCTCTGCACCGGCACGATCACCTGTATTTTCCAACAAGACGTCAACCTGCAGCACGCCATCGTATTCCACTTTCAAAGCAGACAGAGCAAAGGATGTGTAGCTAAGACCGTAACCAAATGGGAAAAGTGAGGGAACTTTAAATGTGTCGTAAAAACGGTAGCCAACGTAAACATCCTCACCATAGAGCACCCTGCCGTTTTCTGTCCCAAAATTAAGATACCCAGGACAATCCTGTAGACGTCTGGGGAAGGTAAGGGGCAGCTTCCCAGCAGGGTTGATTTTTCCAAAAATGACATCTGCAATTCCGTTGCCTGTTTCGTTTCCTCCGTATGATGTGTACAGCAGAGCCTTTGCTTTGCTCACCCAGGGCATTTCGACTGGCGTCCCAGCCTGAATCACCACGACAGTGTTTGGATTTGCATCCAGCACAGACTCAATCAGACGATCGTTGTGACCGGGGAGTTTCATGTCCTTCCGGTCTGATCCCTCAGATTCCCATTCTTTGTTCAGCCCTGTAACAACAATAACTTGCGAGACTTGACGAGCTGCCTCTGCTGCCTTCTGTATCTCCTGATCATCGTCTATCCGCGGAGCACCACCAAACATCAGACCTCCTGCTCCAAAAAAGACAGGATTCGACTGGTGAAGCATACTCGTTGGGGACGAGCCAAACTCAATACGTAGCTTGTACTTTTGTCCGGCTTTCACAAAATAAGATCCACGGACCTCAACTGTTCCTTTTCCATAGAACGACTCGCCAGCTTTCTGGTTGTGCAAATTATCAATGATCAACTGATCGTCCAAAAACAGCAGCGCAGTTCCGTAAACACTGACACCAAAATCGAAAATTCCGTCCACTTCGGGAGTGAAGTTCGATGTGAGGCAACAATAAAATGTGCCTGACTTCAATTTCGGGTTGACATAGTCATTCATCCGGAAATAATTGACGTCTCTTAGGATCAGATCATCAACTGCGTCCCGGTCCTTGACCTCAAAAGACTCGTTGTATATCTGAAAGCGCACACCAGTACTTCCATTGTCTAGTTTCAAATAGCGAGCAAGAGAAGGCATATATCTGTGAGAATATGCTCCGATCTGAAACGATACATTCTCTGGGCCAATCTCTTCTCTGATTGCATCAAATGGAGACACAGTGTAGTATGGCGTTACTAAAGCAGACCCCCCACCGGAGTAGGCAGTGTATATAGCATTGGGACCAATGACCAACGTCTTTTCCTTCTTTAGTGGTAGCACACTATCTTCATTTTTCAAAAGCACCACGGCCTCGCCTGCTAATTTCCTCAAAAAGGCTCTGGTTTCAGAAACATCACGCTGCTCTTCTGCCTTGTCTTCCTCAACACCCGCATCTATGACACTGTTTGCCAACTGAAGCACTTTACGAGCGCGCTCGTCCAATACCTCTTTCGAAATCTTGCCAGCAACCAAGGCCCTACTTAGGTTAGGTCCTCTCCATATTCCCGGACCGGGCATTTCCAAATCCAGGCCAGCCAGCAATGCTCCTGTAGTGGAGTAGGTGCCTGTCCAGTCTGACATTATGAGGCCTTGATAACCCCACTGGTTTTGGAGAATTTCGGTGAGCAAGTATTTATCCTCGCTCACATGGACTCCATTGACTCGATTGTAACTTGTCATAATAGCTTTGGGATTGGATTCTTTGATCGCAATCTCAAACGGACGGAGATAAATCTCACGCAGAGCACGCTGGGAAATCACTGAGTTCGAGCTGAATCGCTCGTGCTCCTGGTCATTGCCAACGTAGTGCTTCATAGTGGCAGCAAGACCAGACTTTTGAAACCCATTGATATACGCAGCAGAAAGGATACCTGATAGGTACGGGTCTTCCGAAAATGACTCAAACCCACGTCCGCCGAGAGGAACGCGCTGGATGTTGGCTGTCGGTCCTAAGATAACGTGCACACCTTTAGCTCGGGCTTCTTTGTCCAGCAACTCGCCGACTTGGAACAGAAGTTCGCCGTCCCATGTAGACGCAAGGGCAGTCCCTGATGGGATACATGCGGTTGGAGTACTATTGAAGTGGTTCTGACCGCGGATACCATTTGGGCCGTCCGAAGTACGAATTTTGGGAATTCCAAACTCTGGCAGACCAGTTGTGTGCCAGTAATCGGCGCCTTGAAATTAGAGTTCTGAAGATGTCACGTACCTGCGGTGAGAGCAATTTTTTGAGCTTCCGTGAGGTGCTGGAGCACTTCTTCAACTTCAAATCTGCGAGACATGTGTGTAGTTTTGGGTTTGAAAATACTTTTATGTGCCCAGAATTTTTCTACCTTCGGGCAACGTACATTGCGGGCGATATTATTATCAATATGATAATAAGTCAGTGCGGGAGGTATCCGACACAATGAAAAAAAATTCTACGTCCTACATCGTTTATAGCAGGTTTCAAGAGGACCAGTGATCTTCAGATCTAGCATGGCTTGAACTTTCAAGGCCTCTTTTCTTTAATACAGATGATTATGTACACCGCAAAGAAGGTTTCAAGGGAGCAGCTGGCAGCCACGCATAGTTCTAATGTAGCCGATCATCTTGGTTTTGCCAAAGACATGCCTCTCTGATTTTCTCTATTTTCCAATGTCTAGATTCAGACTCTCATTTGTCGATAGCACTTGTTCCATATTTCGTCCCTCTCCTACTGCAGTGAAACGGGCAACCAAGTCTCTGTCTTGATTGCTTTTATACAAGTGGTTTCCTAGTACAACTATCTCGGAGGAACAAGTGCTTTTGCTCCCAAAAGGCCAGAGAAAGAGCTCTTTGGACTCTGCGTTCCCCAAGAGTTCGTGGGACCGCTGGCCTCCGGACTCGATTTACTCAAGCATCATCTTAGATGTTTAGTTTTAATTGAAACAGGTCTATACCTCTATTCTCTATTATTCCGTCTCACGTGCTAATCTTGTTAACAGACTCAGGTTTTCCATTGCCGTAAAAATATTCAACCAGATTAGCAACGCACTTTCTTTCGAATGCCTTGAAACTGTCGATGGAGGTCACACCCACATGCGGGAGAAGGGTCACTCTGTAGTTTTCTAAGAGCTTTGGGTGAATTTTCGGTTCAAACTCATGAACATCAAAGCCTGCTCCCACCAACTGGCCCCGTTCAAGAGCATCGATAACTGCTGCTTCTTCAACAATAGGTCCCCTGGCTATATTGACGAGTCGAACATGATCCTTCATGTGTTTGAATCTATCTCCATTTATCAGATGGTGCGTGGCAGGAGTGTGTGGACATGCAACAAATACACAGTCGCTAACGGCGAGCATGTCATTCAAAGTTTCAAAGTATTTCAGATCTTTTAATTTTCCCTCATACTCAGGTTTTGGAGTTCTGTTATGGTACGCCACCTTCATTCCCAGTGCCTGGCAAGCTACGGCCACACGGAACCCTATGTTACCAAGTCCAATAATTCCTAGCGTTTTTCCGGACGGATTTTCACCCCACAGAGCCAGAGGTGCGGACTCGTAGTATCTGTTGGTCCGAACACAGTGCTCCGCGTATGTAAGGTAGCGGAAAGATTGAAGAACCAGGGCAACACCAACATCTGCAGTTGCAATGGTGCAACAGTCTGGCGAATTGCAAAAAAGCACGCCTTTTTTTGTCAAGTAGTCGACATCAACAATGTCGTAGCCGTGTCCTGACTGAACAATAATCTTCACCGTGTCGGGCAACACTTTGACTGGCTCACCTCTGAATAAGTAGTGATGCACGTAAGGCTGGCCTTTCAGCCAGGAAGAGCGACAGATCGCCTCTATGCCTGCAAACTTTCCGTCAGGCTTCTGCATCTCCGCAATGTACTCTTCCTCTGACTCACAGTCGTAAGTAATGACCTCAAACTTCTCGTTGAGAGTTTTCCAGGCAGTCTCGTCATGTATATTCTGAACGGACGGTATGTACAACACCTTTGGCTTGTGGTCGATCATAGTTGATTTCAATTTTAATGGTACTTCATTTTTTTATATCGCCGATCGGGCAACTTGCAGAAAGAAATCTTATCTGAAATTAGATAGCGCGAAATTAGTATTCAGGCACATTTAATATCCACATGGCAAGGCCCAGATGCCGGAACACCAAGGACCTGCTCTGGAAAAAGAATCGGAGCTTGGTCATGTTTGCCTCAACAGCTTCAGACTGACTCGGGGGACGTAGTCGTGATACGAGGAGGAAAAAGTTTGCGATGGTTGCAAAATTGAACCTTGACCAAGAATACCAGAAAGACTCGAAATGGTGCGGCCTTAGTCTTCCAAGAATCTCCAGAACCTCTGCAGTAAGTGCCAGACACTCTTGCTCGATCATGGCCCTTGCAACTTGGTCCTCTATTGTCTGAGTCTCGATTAAACGGAGAAGGGCGCTGTAGATTAGGACTTTTGCCGTTACAGCTGCAACGACCAGTGCTGCCGCACTTCTGCCACCGCACAAGATCTGGTCCAAATTAAAAATATCTGAGTTTTCGTTCCTCAATGAGTCAATGCGCTGTATAAGCAGCCTTGCACTTTCATAAGCTGGACTCAGCGGAGAACTGTTTAGTCCTCCTAAGTCATCAATCACCATGGTAACACTCACCATCAGGCTGAATATGCGTACCTCGTATTCATGCTGCTCTTGTGATCCCCACGAATCGGGGTAGAATGCAAAATCAGATCCGTCAACCATCGCCACGTTCCATGCTTCTTTGGATATAAGACTTGCCCGTCCGAGAGATACACTAAACCATTTTTCCTGGATATACAGCGTCCACCACAGCCGTCGACGCACTCTTTTCTCCCAGTCAGGAATGTTCCAGTGACGACACTCAACATTAATGCCCATAGATTGGCAGATTGTAAATGCAACACTTAGCAGAGATAGTTCTTGAGTTCCGTCAAGCTCAACATTTTCAAGCGTCAGTTTCTGCGACAGCAGCAAGCAGGATTGAAGAGTTCCATAGCAGGGATTTGACGTCTCAGCAAGTATTGTAGCTCGGGTAACAGAAACCAGAGACTCCACAGTTGGACACTCCGTCAAGCTCAACTCAGGATGTCTGTGCCACCAATCAACGGTAACCGCAAGAAGACTGCCAAACAGCACAGAAGGAAAGACCTTTGGGTCCTGCTTGGCAAATGTGTTAAAGCGGCCACGCGAAAAAACGGGAAAGTAAGAGTTCACATGTTTGAGAAATAGCACCATAAGTTTGGGTATGTGCGGGCTGAAGAGCTGCTGTATAAGCGAATTGATACTGGGCACATCGTAGTTTGTTGGTCTGCGTGAAAAGAGTACATATTCTGCGGCTTCTGACTGGGCCACTTTTCGTATATGGCACTCTTTTGGTTCGGCACTTTCCAAATTTTTGGACAGATGCTGGACAACGGGATCGATGTAGCCAGATTTATAGAGATACACGTTTTGGTACTTTTTGAAAGCATCAATGGAGGAATGTTCTTCGTCATCTCGCGCGGTTACGGGAGAGGTTATAGCAACGTTGCTGTACTGACTTGAACCTACGATCAGGCCAAAAAGCTCATTCCAAATATCTGCATCAGGAATTAATTGATCTGCGTGAACACTGTTTCTCCGGTCAAGAGTTTTAGGATCCAAAGTTGTTTCCAGCACATCAACATCATCTGTATATGTTAGGTTGGCCATTGAATCATTATTGTCCAGCTCCGCAATAGGGTCTATTTCAATTTCATGGCATTTAGTCTGTTTGTGCCGATTCACAGGCGGTGCTTTATCTGTGAACTCACATCGGAGGTTGAATTTAGCACACAGCTGGCACGGCGGCTGTCCATCGATAACACAACCGGATTTTCGCTTTCGACACCTGTCGCACGGCCGCACTCTTCTGGATCTGTAGGGCCGTTTAACGGGAGGCATGGTGCTTTGGGAGTTGCCCGAACCTAAATAGTTTTTTTTTACATTGCCCGCGCATGCATATGAGATATATATATGATAAGAAAATAAAGATCTCACCATCATATCATGACTAGATTGCTAAAGGTCGCAGCTGCCCAGGTTGGCAAAATTGATATTGATACTCCTTACGAAGAGGTGGTTCAGCGCATGATTGCGCTGCTGGATCAGGCGCACGATAAAGGCATCAAGCTCGTCAACTTCCCAGAACTTACCTTCACTACCTTCTTTCCTCGGCATATTATTCCGTTCGGCCCAGAGCTCGATAAATGGTACCAGAAGGGCGACGTTACCAAATTCGACCCATTCAAGCCATTTTTTGAGAAAGCAAAAGAGTATGGCATTGCGGTTTGCGTTGGCTATGCAGAGCTGACGGACGACGATGAACATTACAACACCTCTGTTTTTGTCGACCAGGCAGGAAACAACCTAAACAAGTACCGGAAAATGTTTCTGCCCGGTGACAAAGAGCCATTAGAAAATGTTCCATGGCAGCATTTGGAGAAGAGATACTTTCTCGAAGGCAATCTAAACTGGAAAGCATTCAGATGGCCGGGAACTGGAACCGGCCACGGAGGACCTATTATCGGGCAATTGATATGTAACGACAGGAGATGGCCTGAGTCGTGGAAGATACTAGGTCTTCAGGGAGCGGAGATTGTCTGTATCGGCTACAACACTCCTGTTTCCAACGTGGTAGAGCCAGGCAAGGCCTCACAGATGGTCAACTCCGATTCATCTGAAGCCATGGCTACTTTCCACAACGAGCTGTGTCTACAGTACAATTCGTACCACAACTGCTGCTACTCTTTGTGTTCTGCACGGACAGGCGTCGATGACGGCAAGTACTCCTTGATTGCAGGAACAACCATTGTTGATCCTCAGGGTGTGATTATTGCCAAGTCAAAAACCAACGAAGACGAGCTCGTTTGGGCTGAGATTGATCTTGACAGCTGCTACCCGCCAAGAAACAGAGCTTTCAACTTTGCCCGCCACAGACGTCCCGAGGAATACAAATTGATAGTGGAACAGAAGGGGGTCAAGGAGCCTGCTCCGTTGGAGGATGAAATGTAGCTATAAATACCTGCACACATAGGCTGATTTAATGCAGTCATCTTCTACTAACCGATATGCGAATGCTGGAAATTTTACTGTTCCAGAGACAACTAGTTGTTGAGAGTCTAACGGCCGGAACTTGTAATGGAATAATTAAGCGTATTTTGAGCCTGCTCTCGTTTTCAAAAACCGTGCGCTCTTCTACTTTTGATAGTCGAATCCCATGGGAAGCAGTGACGATCAAGCACTTCTGGCCCAAGCCCGAGGCACCACCGTCTTATCAGGGAAAAATATCTCGGTAGGGTAGCTTTACTTTAGGGAACTTCTCCAGTTGTGAAATCTCAGCCAGTACGCTTTTTGAAATTGGAATCCCTAAACGACCCAATCTCATGTAGTAACACAACCTCTAAATGTAGCTTCTACATTCTCGCAATATGATCATTGGAATTTGAAAAGACTAGTTTTAAGCTGACCCAAAGGTAGCTGGAACAACCTCCAATAAGCTACATTGCTGCCCTCATATAAATTGTGCTACCAGGGCCAGTCATCTCGCAAAAATTGAAATCAAAGCTGCAGAAATTTCAGACCCTACAATCGGCCTCTGCTTTCTCCTTGCAGATTCCAAGGCTCTAATTTCGTGTATCACCACCACTCATACAAGATTTGGGAAAACACTTCAATTATAAACGACTAGGTCTTGTGGACCTTGTCAATGTGCACCAAGCTCTTTCTCAAAAGGCTGGAGACTAGTGTAATCAAGATAAATTATCCACAAGCCAAGCATGGAGAAAGGTGCTTGATTTACACACTACATCCCTCTTACAAGTCCCAAAGCATTTCACATCATGTGCTCTTATTGTAATTGCTCCACTACGAGGTTGGTTTTTTATTGCAACCATATTTGTACCTCTCGCACCTACAGTCTTGGAACCAAAAAGTTGATGATCGCTTCGGCAATCTCCTCTGCGTGGGTTTCAAGAGCAAAGTGGCCAGTATCAAAATAGCGTATCTCCAAGTTTTTCAGCTTCACGTCTCTTCTAAACGCCTCTGCCCCAGCGAAGCTGAAAATGGCGTCGTTTTTTCCCCAGGTAAGCAGTACAGGAGTACCGGAATTTCGGAGAAACTCCTGAAACTGCGGATAGAGGCGGATATTATTCTGGTAATCAAAGAACAAGCCAAGCTGGATATCTGTCTGTCCTTCTCTAGAGAGAAGGGCCCAGTCCAGCGTCGAAGGAGCCAAATCGATCGCCGCCGTATCAACCACACCATCAAAATACTGAGAGTCGACATTTCTCTTGTCCTGAATATATGCTCTCAGCACAGATGTCAGCTCTGAGTCACTTTTTCCCGCCGCCCAGTACTTTTTCAGCGGACCCCAGAACCTGTCGTCGATTCCCTCGTCATAGGCATTTCCGTTCTGCGAGATGACTGCTGTAATCCGAGTAGGATTTTTAAGGGCCAGACGGAAGCCAACCGGCGAGCCGTAGTCAAAGACGTAAATTGCAAATTTCTTCCAGCCAAGCTTCGTCACGAACTGGTCAACGGTCTCTGCGAGCGCCTTAAAATCAAAGACGTACCCCTCTGCTGGTACTGTAAAGCCGAATCCTGGAAGGTCTGGGGCAACGACATGGAAATGAGACGATAGCAAAGGAATCAGGTTGCGGAACATATAGGACGAGGTCGGGTAGCCATGGAGCAGCAGCAGCTTAGGTTTGGAGTTGGAGCCGGCTTCTCTGTAGAAGACTTCAGTTCCTTCGACTGATATGCGGTGTATTTGCTCAATGTTGGACATATTCTCGAATAACTGTAAACCGATCTACCATACCATATTTATACTCACTATTAATAATAGGGATCTAATCAGGGCTCTAATCATTTTAATTATTTCACTTCATTTATGTCCGCAAAAGAAAGGCTCCGGCCCAAAAAGTACGTGTGCACGGAGCCTCAATGCGGCAAGTCGTACACGCGGCCGTGTCTGCTGCGCCAGCACCAGCGCACACACGCAAACATGAGGCCTTTCCTGTGCCAGATTCCTGACTGCGGCAAGGCATTCTACAGACAATCGCATCTGGAGGTCCATATGTGGTCCCATTCCAGTACAAAACCGTTGAGTTGCAGCGTTTGCCACAAGGGCTTTGTCACGTCACAACAGCTGCTTAGACACAAAGCAAAACACCACGAGCGAGAGCTAATTTGCCCCCACGGATGCGCCGAGAAATTCCAGTCACAGCAGGAATTAGGCGACCATATGTTGCTTACACATCTTCTCAACAACGTTACAGATAGCAACAGGGACGATACGTGGGACGATCTGTTTTGCAAAGAGAATGAGTGCGCCGGCTACCCGCAGTACGACTCGTCTGTTAGTCTGTTTCGACACTATGACGATTTTCACGAAATGATGCCAGAGTCGTTGTTTACGTATTTTGTGGAGTCTCCAAATGGTTTGCAGGCACCTGAAGCATCTGAGCCGTCATACGACTGATGGAAAGTTCCTTGCCAGTTCTCGTCATACATTTTGAGGTATTAGCATTGAAGAGATCCATATTGCGCTGAAGAATGTCCGGTTGCTCTCTGCAATGCCTCTAATGCTATACTTCCACCAGAGATGGGATCCACTGCTTATGGCCTATCCAATTTTGCAGACTCGGCTATAACCCTTGGTCTGAACTTCAATCCCCTCGTGACTTTCATATCGATAAGGAATTAGAGACTTTGAGAGCAATGACATTCCTAGACATTATGAATACCGTCGACTCTGCAGCTGCGAGGATGATTTGTTTATCCAATATTCAACTTTGGGCACTCTTAGCTAGTACTACATATATTCCTGGTGGCATATCTCCACTAACGAATACCTAGTGCAAAAATTCTAAACAAGGATGCAGGAATTTGTGTCATATGGATCTCACGATAGACACAAACCGAGATTACGCATTTCGATTGCAACAAAGGGGCAACTTGGCATAAAAATAGTATTATAGCTTAAGAATACGGTACCTCAATCTTCACATCAGCAGCTGCTTCAAAGTATGTCAGTCATGCTCAATGGCGCCCCGAAGTCTGGTCGTTAGGCGAGACATTGAAGAGTGCGGTCATGCTCGCAAAGAGCTTCGACTAAGTGCGACATTTAAGGAAGTATCAAACTCTGCCCTATACTTCGATGAGCGATGAGTTCTTGCACACGAAGACCAACGTATTCGTGTTTTTACCGATGCGCCGCGAGGAGCCCGTTCATTGTCCATGGAAACCAGCTATTCCCTGGTCACGTGATGCGCGTGGTGTACGGCGAGCTTTAGCAAGACGGGTCAAGGTAGAACCTGTCCAGGGCAATTTGTGCCCAGCAGTCCGGTGTCTCATGAGTCAACCGCATAACCTCAAACATAGCACAAATTTAGCGGAAACAATTTTCAGAAGCATTCCTAGATTAGCAATCAAGTACCGTTCCCGTACCTCCTAATCAAGCCTGGTTCTCGCGGCCGGCCTCCTGCTCCTCCTCCTCAATGTTATGCGTGAGCGACGCCATCTTCTTCTCGGGACCGACGAGCGTGATCAAAAACACGTATGCGAACACGGATCCGACGAAAATGACCATCACCTTAGCGTAGTCAAACACCTCCGAAGTGTCATGGCCGTCGACTGGGAAGTGTTCGCCCATTGTCGTCTCAATCGTCGACGAGGCCGAGGACGCAAGGTTACCGAGCTGGTAGGCGACACCGACAACGAACGAACGGAAATCTGGCGGAGCAAGCTCTGACAGATGGATTGGAATGACACCCCAGGCGCCCTGAACGCAGAACTGCAAGAAGAATGCGCCGGCGTTGATTCCAGTTCCCTTGATGTACGCCCATGGGTATAGCAGCGCGCCACCGCAGACGCAGCAGATGAGGATTGAGAGACGTCTGCCGATGAAGTTGGAGAAGTGGCCGACGACAATACCGCCCACGAAAGCCCCAAGGTTGGCCACGCAATTCGTCACGGTGGACCTGTCTTCCGAGTAGTTGTACAACTTTGTCAGCATCGTAGGATACAGGTCCTGGGAGCCGTGAGACATGAAGTTGAAGCCGGCCATGAGCAGCACGAGATAGATAATCATTGCCCAGTAGTTCTTGAGAGCGCCTATCGCCTTCTGCTTGAACGTTGGCTGCGGAATACCGCAGTCTCTGTTATACTGCTCGATTTCTCTCTGGCGCACAAACGCCTTGGTGTCTGGTAGCGAAAGTCTGAAAGCGAACAGACAAAGAGACACAGAGCCACCAAGCAAATACAACGACTTCCACCCCATTTTGACGTTGTCTGCAAGCACTCTGGTGAACACAACAGCCAGAAGGTAGCCGAACGTGTAGCCCTGCTGCAAAAGTCCGGAAATGAAGCCTCGGGCCTCAGAAGGGCAGTCGTCGAGCGCGGTAGCCGCGGCATTTCCATAGATTCCGCCCAGCATAATGCCAAAAATGGCTCTCACGCCGAGAAACTGCTCGTACGTGCTGACTCCGTAGGTGCCGAACTGGATGGCTGCCATGAGCAGGATGTTGATGCAGAGCGGGTACTTTCTGCCGTACCTGTCGCCCAGGTATCCAAACACGATACCCCCCACGGATCTCAGCATGAGCACGAGCGTGATACCCCACGTTATCTGTTTCACAGTCTTATCAAAGTATGTAGCAAGCTTGGAAGCGTTCAACGAGACAGAGAAAAAATCGTACGCGTCCCAGGTCCAGGCTAGAAATGCAGACAAAAACATGACCCACTGTTTTCCAGGGATGAGTCTGAGACCAGGCAGTGGGTTCAACAGGTGTTTGTTGGCCTTCATCATTTCCTTCGAGGGGAGAAGATCCGTAACTCTTGTCTTGGCATAGTGAGCAATGGAACTTGCTGACAGGTCGAGAGGTTTCACCTCGTCGACCGCCAGTCCCTTGTAGTTGTCTTCCTTGACAGAGAGCGATTCCAGATCACTCATTATGAAATAAAACTCGCAAAACTATTTTGCGAAACCACGGCTCTATATTTGCCCAGACAGCCAAGGAGGTACAACAAGTTGCGTGCTTGGGTTGCAGATTTCAGTAAGATGTCTCCACGGCGTGCTGCATGGGAAGTCCCTATTTGGCTCTGACATTGTTTGCCGTGCATTGTAAAAAAAATTGCCTATTGTAGTTCCCCAAAAAGTATGCCTCGGAGTCGCGGCGAGCGCAAAAGTGTGACCAACGGTGAAAAAATTTGTCCGTCTGACTGAACAGAGAGGTTGGAGGCGGGGTTACTTTCTGTGGTAGTGGCCTGCCCAAATATCTGTTATTGTGTACGTGCTCCGTCCAGTCGGAGATTGAATATATCTAATCCCTTGAACAAGAGCTCCAGACATTATCCTGCTCAGTACATGATAATATTTTGATTTCCTCGCACTCAAATCTCTCTGCCTATCGGACACGTCTCCTGATGCAATGCATCAAGCACATGCCTCACCCGATATGACTGTGTGAGGAGATCTGTCCGTATATTATCTACTCTGCCTCCGATACCCCGCAATATGCCCGAGTCCTCACGAGGCTTTTCCCGAAATATAAGGGTACAGGATCCCAAAAGTCCCGCCCGAAAGCGACATCTGCCAGCCGTGGAGATTGGCGGAGGTGGCGCTAACACTTCTCTAAACTCCGGACCTTGAGAGCTCCCTATGCACATTGCTCTACATGACACCCTTACACCGCAATAACAATACTTTCCAGGCTTGTCGCGTATTCTATCTTAGCAAATAAAATATCCATCATGGCCCCCGCGCAATCCCTGCTGCTGAACACGGGACGCAAAATCCCCACCGTGGGTCTCGGAGTCTACAAAACTCCTGCTGAACAGTGTACTTCACTTATCTACGAGGCTTTGAACGTCGGTTATCGCCACATCGACTCCGCCGCTCTCTACGACAACGAGGAGGAAGTTTGCGAGGGAATTGCCCAATGGCTCGCTGAGGACCCTTCGCGCAAGCGTGAGGATATCTTCTATACGACCAAGATCGGAGATGGATCCCACGGGTACGAAAAGGCGAAAAACGCCATCAAGGTGTCGCTGGAAAAGGCAAAAAAGATCCAGTACATTGACCTGATTCTGATCCACTCGCCACAGTCGGACTGCGAGAGAAGACACGGGACCTGGAAGGCATTGGAGGAGGCCTACGAGGCAGGCACGGTGAAGAACATTGGCGTCTCGAATTATGGCGTGAAGCATCTGAAGGAGCTTCTGGCGTACCCGGACCTCAAGGTGAAACCCGCCATCAACCAGTTTGAGCTGCATCCATGGCTGCAACGGCCGGAACTGGTCAATTTTTGCCGGCAGCACGATATCGCCGTTGAGGCGTATTCGCCACTGGCCAGAGGCCAGAAAGTTGCCGACCCCGTGGTCGTGAAAATGGGCGAGAAGTACAACAAAACCGCCGCTCAGATCCTCATAAGGTGGTCTCTCGAACAAGGTTTCATCACCCTGCCGAAGACCGCCACCAAGGCCCGACTGGCCCCGAACCTCGACGTGTTCAGCTTTGATCTGGCCCCAGAGGACCTCGAAACTCTCAACAGCCTCGAGGAAAACTATATTAGCGGCTGGGACCCCACAACGTATCCTTTGGACTCTGAAAAATCCTAAGCAAACGGAGTTGCTATTCTGTTGATTTGTGACACTATATGGGCGCTGTTTTGTATTGTTGTTTCGTTCAAAACCCCGTTTTCCAGTAATATCTCCAAGTACTCTCGCATAGCAATCAATTCGGGACCAACCAGCTGGCGAAGTAGACTGCCGTCGCATTGCAAGACGGTCCTGATTCCGGCCAGCACTGCCTCCACGACGATCTCCTCGTACTGCACCACAAGCTGTTTCATGTGTTCCGTTAGAATCAGGACCAGCTCCCGCACCATATCCAGCACCTGGATCGAGGACGGAGTCGCACAGTCGAGTATCAGCGCCAGCGTCCTGAGAAAGTGCGAGTTGAGAATCGGCGAATAGTGGCCAATCACAAACCCAGTGCCTGTCTTTGCGTTCACGTACTGCCACGTCGAGACCAGCAGGAAATACATTTTGGGCAGCTCGTTGTTGATGAACCGTGTGTCTTTGGTTTTGGCTGGCTTTTTCTTTGTCAGTCGCGATGAGATCCGGGTCACCGTGCCCGTCAGCTCCAGCATGTCCATCTGCTTGGTGATACTCTTGAGCTCCGGTTTCTGTTGCTCTTCGTACTGCATAAATTGTCTGTGTATATTTTCTGGCAGCCTCTGCGGCCCTAGTCCCGGCACTCTCTCTTTGCCAGCCACAAACTCGTCGTCGAGTCCCGATTTCTCTCTGGCACTTAGGCTCAAACAGCTCAAGATCAAAATCCGTCTATTGAGCGAAATGTCTCCAGAAAAAAAGGTCTTGATGAGGAACGCGGCCGCCTGCTCGAAATCGCCGACACATATGGCTATGCAGCACGACAGTCGCCACGACTCGAAGTCGGCGAACTTATACGGATTTGAAAGGCCCAATACCAAGTCCAGCAGTGTCTCGCTGTAAAAATGGAGCTCCTGACTATTTGCTTTTGTACGAACCAGCGGAGCGAGCACTTTGTTCAAAATGTCGTGTTTTTCGTATGCAAGCTGGTCTTTCTGGGAGTCTGCCTGTAAATACGAGATGACCTCTTTGAGGTAAACAGGCGTCGGAACGGTGCGTTTGCGCGAAACTGTCTCGTCGTCGGAATCCTCTGGATCAGAGTCTATGACGACGGGAGCAGGTTTGATGATTTTGGTCTCTGTGTATTGTCTCTGTATTGTTTGTTCTTTCCTTCTGATGATGGTGTATGCGTCCTCAAGGGTGCAGTCGGGAATTGGCTTTGTGATCTCGTTCATAAAGTGCTCTCTTTCCCTGTTGTGCTCCTCGATGTCAAACATTGGCTTCTTATTTAGTCGCTCATATACTAAATCGCCGACGGCCATGCCGAAAAACCTTACTTTTGGCGAGTTCGACTCCAAATGGTTGCTGATAGCGTTCAGAAACTCGCCTTGCGTCGATATATCTCTTATCTGTGTGTCGTCGAGCCTAAGCAGGATCAAGAGTAAAAGCCGCGTCAAACGTTCGTGTTCACTGAAAGACGTCTGTTGAATATACGACTTCAATGAGAACAGCGAAATGTACCTTTGAGCAAGTGCTTCGTCGGTCTGCAAATGGCCAACAACAATTTTCTGCATCTCCAGCGGCGAGTTTACCACAAACGAGACGGCAGTGTGCCCGTCACGGATCTCGAGCTCGCCATATACTTTATTGTAGCCAGCCACGTTGACATCCTGAATGGAAGACTCCATGAGCCCTAGAAGCTGTTTTAAAAACAACATATCGTTCTTCTCGTTGAACTTGGCCACCAAACGGGTGTACATGCTCTTTTCAAAAGGATCCACTGCGTGCATCCTCAAACAGCCGTTCACAAACCTCCAGTCAGCAACGCTTGAGGAAAGTGCCAAGTCAAGAAGAATCTTGGGATACCTGTCTGCGGCTTCCTTCAGGTCATCATAGTGGAGCTCTGTGGCCGCCCTGTTCAGTTCTTCATACACCCGAACGGTCAGCAGAGACCGCAGTTCTGACAATTCGGTATGCTGGACGTTTGTCAATATTTGTCTGAACCTCGGCGCACTGACGGTATCCGCCAGCACCTGTGCAACATTCTCATCCAGTCTTCGTTTGCACTGCAACACTAATTGGCCCAGGCCTACTCGGCAACACAGGAGATCGCAGATCTCCCGTCGCACTTCTTTGTCTGATAGCTTGTACACGCTGAGAGTGTGATTGATCAGCGTTGATGCTATTTGAAGTCGTTCGGTGTCTTTATGGTATTCATCAAGGTAGCCCAGCAGCTCTAGAAGATTAGTGGGGCCTTTTTTAAGCTCCTCAAGGTAGACTTTTAGCTCCATGGGGTTTTTTATTTTTTATGTTTTATTTTTTATTTTTCTGATTTATTTTATTCGTTTCGTTTATGAACCCCCTAGTGCCTTTCGACCACACCTACATCCTCTATGACGAGTCCAACATTCTCAGCCTTGCCGTGGCGCTGTTTTCGCTGCTCCCCATTCTGATCCTCGTGTTTCTCTTCTCCTGGTTCGTAGTGACACGCGAGGTCGAATGCTGTCTCGTTGCAGCGGGACAGGTGCTCAACGATGTGGTCAGCTGCATACTAAAGAGACTAGTTAAGCTCGAGAGGCCAACAAAAGGCCAGATTTTCAAAAAAGACGGCGGCCTTGCCTACGGAATGCCCTCGTCGCACGCGCAGTTCATTGCATTCTTCGTCACATACATGTCGCTACGAATGTTCCTGCAGTGGCCGACTCCTGTGGAAAGGTCGACAAAAATAGGCCTGTTTGCGCTTCTTGTTGCCGCGCAGCTTCTCGTGTGCTATTCGAGACTCTACTTTGAATATCACAACCTTGCACAAGTATGGGTCGGCACGATTCTGGGTCAGGTTCTCGGGAGCCTGTGTTTTGTGGTTGTCGCACTGCTTCGAGACCTGGGAGTGGTCGATTGGGTGCTTGGCCTGCAAATCTGTCAATCGCTATTCATTAAAGACTCGTTCCACTCCAAACATGCCTACCGCACGCTGCGCCAGGAGTGGCTCGAATGGAAGAAACAAGGCTAGCTCTGCTGCTTTGTAATTTTCGGAGGGGCAGGAACAGAGCCGGAGGTGGTCTTGCTCTCGCCGTCGATGAGCTTCGACTTGGCTGTCTCCTCCTCAAAATAGCTCGTGAGGTCGCCTTTCGGCGCAGCGTATTTGGACGGTTTCTTTCTTCTCGCAGTCGGCTCGGCAGGCGTCTCTGCAAATGAAGGAGCACGAACGGCCGGCTGCAAAACGTTTTCTGATTGTGCGGGCACATCTAGTGCCTCTGGCTGTGCACTGAACATCACGCCGCCCGGAGTCAGGTCGACATCGGAGTCGTCCTCGTCCCGGCCGTACTTCCCCACCACCTCGGGGATTTTGTGCAGCAAGCCGTATCCAATATCGCATCCCAGCAGCCCGCGACCGCCCCATGTCTCGTTCGGATACACCGTGACGGGCCTCACTGCGTCGTAGTCGTGGTTGTACACGTACAGCACGATTGAACACGGCGTTGCGCCGGACGTAGCGCTCTGCTGCCACTTGTTGTATACAGACTGGATCACTCTGCCCAGCAAATCCTCACCCCCTGTAGCCAGCAGTCCGCCCTCGCAATTGATGATGTACTCGTCGGGCATGATTCCCGCGTGGTATGCTGGCGAGTTCGGATGCACCCGCATCACGTGCCACACGTATCCGGCCGCGCTCAGCGGTGTCAGTTGCAACGTCACCTGGAGCCGTTTGAATGCTGAGTTCTGCACAACGTTTCTGCTCTGTGTCGAGGGCGATATGCTGATGTCGTCGAGCTGCTCGTTGTTGTCGGCCGTAAACTCGTGATTTGGGATTGTAACGTCCCTTTCGACTGACCCTTTTGCGCTCCACACACGGAAAACAAGATCGGACTTGTTAGTATTCACCTCGTAGGCCAAAAACTCCAGCAGTCGCGTATATTCAGAGGACTTTTCCTGGTGTGCGTACGGATTGGAGTCATGCGATTCCCCGCTCGGCAGAAACGACACCACAGGGTACCCATTGATGGCCATGATGAAATCGAACCAGCTTTCAAACCCGTACTTTTCACCCAGCGAGTTTTTGTCAACGGCCAGCACGCGCAGGCCCATGGAGCCCTCACTGTTGGCGTCCGATCCGACATTGAGATAATTCGTTGCCTGGGTCTCCAAAGTGGACACTATTTTTTTGGCGAATCCAAACATGTGGTGAACAAAAAAATTAAAAACAAAAAAAATAAAACTAAAAAATATATTTTTTACTCATAATTTGGAGATTGACCGCACCAAGGCCAGCCAGCTACCGGCGCCACTTTTCCTCCTTTTCAAACATGTCGACGGCCCTCGAAACGAAAATCCTGCCAGTGAAGCCAGAGTCCATCTCGTTTGACGCGGCAGGAACAACCCTGACTATCACCGACGCAGAGACAAAGCAAAATCTAGAGTACGCCGCAGATATCCTGCGGAATACCCACCACGCCGTCGGGTTCCCTACCGAGACAGTCTACGGACTGGGGGGCTCGAGTCTGAGCTCCGAATCAGTGAAGTCCATATACGCCGCCAAGAACAGACCGGCAGACAACCCTCTGATCTCGCACGTCTCGTCGGTCGACCAGCTCAAACGAAAACTCATGGTCCCAAGCCAGGAGATACCCGAGATATATGCACCTTTAATTGAGAAGTTCTGGCCTGGCCCGCTCACAATACTGCTGCCAATGCCTGAAAACGTCCATGACTCGCCAATATCACAGCTTGTTACCTCCGGCCAGCCGACGTTCGCCGTCCGAATGCCCCAAAATCCGGTTGCACGTGCGCTGATTCATATAGCCGACCTGCCGCTTGCTGCTCCATCGGCAAATGCGTCGACAAGACCATCTCCCACCACGGCCGCGCACGTCTTCCACGATCTCAAGGGACGCATTCCGCTTATTTTGGACGGGGGACCGTGCGATGTCGGACTCGAAAGTACGGTTGTAGACGGCCTATGTGATCCGCCTATGCTCCTCAGGCCCGGTGGAATCTCGCTGGAGCAAATAAAACAGGCAGGCGGGCCACGGTGGCAGAATATTGTGGTTGCGAAAAAAACGGCAGGAAAACTAGAGCCTGTGCGGACACCAGGAATGAAATATCGCCACTACTCACCGACAGCAAGGGTGGTTTTGTTTAATAATTGTGGGGATGGAAAGGAAAAAGTCAAAGCATACCTGGAAAAGAACAATTTGCAGAATAAAAAGATCGCTCTGCTTAAGACCCGTTGCTTTGCTAAAGCAAATGACATCAGTCCTCTTATTTACTATGACGGAACTCTTGGAACTTCAGGCGACGAGATCCAGCGGAACCTGTTTTCCGCTCTGAGAGCCCTCGACGCTGAGGAGTACGACTACATATTGATCGAAGGCGTGGAAGAGACTGGTGAGGGCCTTGCGATCATGAATAGACTAAGTAAAGCAGCCAGCGAGACTATTAATGGATGAACTTTTATTAAAAAAAACATTTCTTGTCAAACTCGTTACAACTCGTCGTGAGTAGTGTCCTTGGTATCCGACTCTGGCTCATTGGCTCCTCCGCTCTTAGCGTCCCTGATAGCCAGTCCGTCAACACCAAAGGTACCCTTCTCTTGAATGAAAGAAGCCAGGGACTCCAAAGTTCTTTGTCCCTCGTAACTGATCGGGCCAGAACCGTCAGCAGGATAAAGGAAAATGGTAGGGTATCCGGTGATCTCGACGCCCGCAACGTCGTTGGCTGTGTGGTCTATCTTGGCGATCACAACCTTGGCGCTGGCAGCGGTGTCGTTCTTGTAGATAGCAGCCAGCTCCTCATAAGTAGGGGCAAGTCTCTTGCAGTGACCGCACCATGGAGCGTAGTACTCCACCAGAACATCCTTCTCTTGATTGACAATTTTGTCGTGCTCGTAACCAACCAAGTGGTAGACAGCCTCCTCTTGGGTCTCCGGAATAGGCTCACTTTTCACTATTGGCTCCAGCTTGCCCTTCTTGAAGTTTTCAACAAATTTAGGAATCTCAGAGAAGTCCAAGTCCTTGTCTTGGGCGATGCCGTATTTGAGGTTGGCTTGGAGATCGTGAATGACAAACAGTGGGAACTTTTCCTGCATGTTGAGGTTCTTAGCGTGCATTCCGTATTTCTTGGCCTCGAGCCCGGCGAAATTAATCTCTCCTCTATATTTCTTGGCCAACTTGGTGATTTCGTCCGCGACAGCAGCTTTTTGGGACTCGTCTTCGTAGAAGAAGTACGCTAGAGGAAGTTTGGATTCCATGTAGGATTGGAACGTGGAACCGGTAACATCACCGAAGAGAGGCTTAGTCTCAACACTAATGAATTTTTGTAATCCTTCTTCGTCTAATGTCTTGTTGGCAAAAATGGATGCTTCCTCGGTCTTTTCGCCCGGTCTGAAAACAACGTAGGTTGGAGCGGACTTTTCCTTGACGTATTTCTCAACATACTCCGGGTTCGAGGTCGACACAAACCTGAACTCGTCTCTAAGGCGGTTGGCCAACGAATGGAATGTCTCGTTGCCAGAAGACTTCGAGTCTGGAGGCAGCACCTGCAGGATCATTGGTTCGTTGAGATCTGCTAGAGCGTCCAGCAGATCAGCCGTGTCCTCAAGCAAAGACACTGGAGGCAGGGATTGTTTGATCATGTAGCTGACAATCGCTTCCTGTTCTCTTTGACCTTGGTAGTCGGTCGGCGAGTTGTTGCCTCTAAAGACTTTAAGAGTTGGGTATCCACGGATACCATAGTCGGCACATAGATCTCTCTCCTGGGTGCAATCGATCTGGGCCAGCTTGATGTCTTTTTCAACAAGCTTGTCGGCGGCTGCACTAAACTCTGGTCCAAGACGCTTGCAGTGGCCACACCATGGGGCGAAGAACTCGGCCAAGACGAGCGGGTTCTCCTTGATAAACGACTCAAAGCTCTCTGCAGTCAGCTTCACAACGGCAGAATCTGGAGAGGCAATGGCAGCCTCATCGGCATCGCCTCTAGCCACGGCCATCATAGCCAAAACAGAGGTCAGGATCGAGACATTAAACAACTTCATAATGACTCCGGAAAATAAAAGGATTAAAATGTCTTTATACGTGTCGAAAATATTTGTAGCGTGGCAAAACAAGACACGTGAGTGTTATAGTAAGCGCGGAAAAGGCAGAGGAAAAAAAAAGACAAGCCCGTCAAAACTTACTAAGCTCTCGATGTAAAAGGTCTCTCTATTACCCGGCTCTGATTTTATGGGGAATATTTAGCTAGCCTTAAGATAAGATTTGAGCTGGGTTCTTTGTCTCACGTCGCTACAATGTCCCCGAAAAGAAAAGGATCTATTGCAGCGAATTCCGACAACTCGTCGGCAAACAACCACACAGGGATTCACTCGCTTCTCTCTGCTGCCATACCTGGTTTATCCACCGAACTGAGCTCGATCAAGAACGATCAGCTATTGCTACTGATTATACAATATTTTACAGATCTCGGAGGACCGTTTAAAGACATTGCCGACCATGTGAGCCAGACCACAGGCCTCCAAGTCACCGACCGCCATCTTAGAGAGTTTAGCGATTTTTTACGAGACACCAAAGTTGATCTAGAAGGGGCAAGTTCTTTAGAATTGATAAACAACAATCTAGCCCAGCTTGTGGGTGACGACTCGCAATTGTCAAAAATTCAACGAGATGTCCGTGTGCTGATCAAAAAGACCCTGTTCCTGGAAAGCCTGATCCTCCTGAGAAATAACAACCGAGCATTGCGAACCCTGAGAACACTCACAGCAGACTATCCTGACGATGAAAAGGTGGAAAGTCTAAGCAAGAAATTGAGCTCGTTGCTGGTCAGTTTTGGCGACCAGATTGAGCTCGTCGACTCCAGCACTAAAGCTCTACTCGAAGAGCTGGGATGGCAAATAGGTGGAGATCTTGCTGTTTCGAGAGAGTGCCTTGTCAATCAGGTGCTGGCGCTGCTTCCTTCCGATAAAGTTATCCCGCCACATAGACTAGCACAGCTGTTGAAACAGGCAGTGGCATACCAGCAGCTTAACGATCCTTACTACATTCCTACGAGCTCGTCGCAACCCCTAACTTTACTGAGAGACGCAAACACATACATGAAGGACCAATTCCCAAAAAACCTAAAGATCCGTCTTGAACATCACGAAAATGAGTGCTGGTTCGTCAAGTACTCCAACACGGGGAAATATCTGGCCAGTGCTTCGGTCGATAAAACGATTGCTATTTACGACACACAAACCTACCGATTGCACAAGCACCTCGTCGGCCACGACAACACGATTATATACCTGTCGTGGTCTCACGATGACACCAAGATCATCACCTCTTCTTTTGACCAGACCGTCAAGGTGTGGGATCTTGAATCGGGTAGCTGCATTGCCACCATCTCTGACCAGGACCTGTTCAACTCGAATGTCCGGATTCGGTCAGTGGAATTTTTCAAGTACAGTGACCAGTTCATCATTGGCTCACCCGACAAAAAGCTGTGCATTTTCAACCTAGACAAGGAGCTAGTTTACGATTTCAAAATCTCCCACAGAATTGAAGATCTGGCTCTGGTCAACGACGAAAAATTGCTTGTTGTAACGCACTCATGCCAACTGATGATTTATGATATCACTTCTTCCAGCTACGAGCTTTCTAGCATCATCAATATCGAGAAACAACTAACCTCCATAACCGTTTCGCCGGACGATCCAGACCACTGTCTGATAAACGTGAAGGCAGACGAGCTGCAGCTCTGGAACATCTCTAAGACTTCCCGGCCGTACCTGGTGAACAAATACTACGGGCTCCAGCAGTCGGACTACATAATTAGGGGCTGCGTTACAGACAAAAACCTTGTTCTTAGCGGAAGCGAAGACGGGCTGATTTACATTTGGAATAAAAAGTTTGGCAACCTCATAGAGTGTTTGAAAGGGCACAAGTCTCTCATCAACTGCATCGACTGGAAACCAACCGACAATGACGACTACGAATGGGCAAGTTGTGGCGACGACGGGGTCGTGAACATCTGGGGCGTTTAGTGGTCTATTCATCTTGTTCTTGTTCCAAAACGGTTGCCTCGTTGATCCCACGATCAACATCGATTCCGTGCGAGAATATAGGCACGGCAGCGATCAGCAACAAGAACAGCAACCAGAAACATTTGCGAATGTCGTGTGTTTTGTCAATGATGAGGCCCACTAGGAACGGCCCGACAACAGAAGAGCCTTTGTCTGTGATGCTGAACAGCGCAAAAAACACAGATTCCTGGCCCGGAGGAATCAGCATCGAGTATAAACTCCTTGAGATCGTTGCCACGCCGCCGAGAGAAAAGCCGTACCAGATAGCCAACCCGTACATTTCCACGGCGTGATGGAGACCCATTGACCGAATAAAAAATCCCAGAATCCCGTACAGCGGGATTATCGATGCCCATGTAATGATGAGAATCATGGTCTGCTTGAGCTCGAGCTTGAAGTACGGCTGGATCACATTTGGTAGAAGCACGGACCCACCAATGGCGGAGACCATTGTGAGCACGCCGATTTGAGAGAGCTGCACGGTGGTCATTTGCAGATCTGACTTGGCAAACAAGATAGCCGTAGAGTTGATTGTTGTGAGCGAGTCGGAGATGATGAACCAGCCTAACAGAAACGCCATGATGTCTTTTAGTTGCGACGCCGCTCTGGCAGCCGATAGGAGGGTTTTATAGCCATGCAAAATATACGCCCCTAGCACGAGTAGTCTGTATTTTATGCTCTTGATGGTGTAACCTGGTGCCGACGGGTCTGGAGGCTCAATTGAGACGTGCAATTCCTTAGAAAGCCGTGGTTTCAGCAATATCTGTATGGGCAGCTGGAATGCAAGCCACCACAGTCCTACCAAGCCAATAACAAGCTTCAAAGGGTAGATCAGCGAGTCTATGTTCGGATTATTTCTGACATGGACAATGACAAGCATGGTGATGATTTGCATCAGAAGAGCCGAGATGTAGCCGGAGGCAGCGCACATCCCGCTGATCTTGGACGAGACCTCGCCCATTGTTGCTAGTTTTGACGATTTGGACATATTGATCTGTCGAACCGATGGATGGTTGTTCACTAAGAGCGACAAAAACGAGTTTCCACAAACGTTGACTCCTCCGAACGCGCTGTTGGCCAAAATCGCCAGCAGCGACGCCATATAGTAATTTCGATCATTGATCAGCCAGTAGCACATGGTGACAAGTCCCCCAATGACTCCGAATCCGACAAGCATCGATTTTCTGTGTGACCCTCGATCAGCAGCTCCCGACATGGAAATCACAAGCACGGTCTGGACAAGGACCGAGATTGAGAACGTGTATAGCGCATAGGAGGATGTGTCAATGTAGAAGCGGCCGCCAAGCAGCGGCAGCACGCACGAATCGTTCTGCGAATCGTTTATCATCGTGCTATTGAGGAAGTCTCCGTCGTTGGGGGGCGTCGGGATCGGAATTGTGGGGTCCCGGGGCTGGTTGCACGGAGTAATCTTGTCGATAAGCTTCACACCGTTGTTTCTTGCAATCTGCTCGAGCAGCAGCGGCACGTACGTGCCTACGACGCTGACAATAAACGGCTCGGCAGCCCAAGAATACAGACACCAGCCAAACACTTCTGCCTTCGTGGTGAGCGGCTGGTTGATATTTTCGGGCAGCAGAAGAGGCGACTCATCATCAGGTGAAGAGTCAAGCAAAGGGTCGGTCATATCAATAGGGCAAAGGCATCCAGTGCGCTTTCAAAGTGCTAATAATTAATATGTAATTAATACTCAAACGTTTCTCTGTCAATCGCAGCCGCGGGTCTGGTTCATTTTAGTAAAGTGGCAAAGAAAATAAAAAACCTAAAATACAACATGGACAGACTGCAATCGTTACTAGGATCCAGAATGGGTGGCCTTGGAGGTGCCCAGCAGGGTGATCAGCCGGCGATCGACAACGCCGAGACCGTGTACATCTCGTCACTTGCTCTATTGAAAATGCTGAAGCACGGCCGTGCTGGAGTGCCGATGGAGGTGATGGGTCTAATGCTCGGCGATTTCGTTGATGACTTCACCATCCACGTGGTGGACGTGTTCGCCATGCCCCAGTCTGGTACGGGAGTGTCTGTGGAGGCTGTGGACGATGTTTTCCAGACCAAGATGATGGACATGCTCAAACAAACCGGCAGAGATCAGATGGTGGTGGGATGGTACCACTCGCACCCTGGATTTGGGTGCTGGCTCTCGTCCGTCGATGTCAACACACAGCAGTCTTTTGAACAGTTGAATCCCCGTTCGGTCGCCGTCGTGATAGACCCTATCCAGTCGGTGAAGGGCAAGGTGGTGATAGACGCATTCAGATCGATCTCGTCGCAAACCTTGATGCTTGGACAAGAGCCTAGACAGACCACGTCGAACGTGGGTTTGCTCAACAAGCCAACCATTCAAGCATTGATACATGGTCTCAACAGAAACTACTACTCGCTCAACATTGACTACAGAAAGACTTCCAAAGAAACAGACATGCTGCTGAATCTGCACAAGAAGGAGTGGACTGCGGGACTCAAGCTCCACGACTACAACGAGAAACAGTGCAATAATCTCGACGCCTCCAAGAAGATGGTCAAGATCGCCAAACAGTACGTCGAAAGGGTGGTGGAGGAGAGAGAGCTGACCGAGGAACAGCTCAAGACCCGTTACGTGGGTAAGCAGGATCCAAAGAAGCATCTGGGTGAAACCGCAGAGGCGCTCATTGAGGAAAACACCGTTTCAATCATTACAGGAAACGTTAATAGATTGGCCATCTAATGCATTCGGTCTATGTTATCCTTTGCCAGAATTGCAAGTACGTCTGGTTGAGGAACAAGAGGTCTTTTTCGATCAGTCTAACCTTGAGGTCATCGATTTCGAGCCATTCGTTGCGCACCTCATCTAGAACCTGTATTTTGTAGTGGGCCTGGTTCTCGCTCTCCAGGCTGTAATTTTCGTTCTGGCCGCTGCTATATACCACGTTGGCTATGAGCTTGTAGACATGAGAGTCTACTTTAAGTTGCGACGGATTGAATTTCACTACCGTTGGATTGATATTGGAGCCATTCACGCCTGCGATTTTCTGTGTGTCGTCCTTTCTTTTAATATAGAGAGTCAGGAACTGCGGTGGTTTGGCTATTTTGTAGCTTTTCGCAGCAAACAGGTCTTCAAGCGCCACCTGGGGGATCTCTAGCTTGGCGCCATCTTTGAACAAAGTCACTGGCGGCAGCGTCAATGTGAGCATCCAGAACTTAGACTTCCCAGATGGAAGCTCCACTTTTCCCTGAAAAATAGACGAGATCAGATTATTTTCGAGTTCTGAAACCAGTTCCTTGTGCATGTTGTTGAACAGCCACATGAGGAAGTCCTTGGGCTCGCTCTCGTAATGCAGGGAAAATCTCTTATTGGTCGACGAGGATATGTATTGCATCAGTTCGTGGGCAGAGATGTGAGATTTGAACAGATTTGGAGAGCACATCTTTCTCACTAGAAGGGAAAGCTTGCCTACCAGCTTAGTTTTGTGGAGCTTTTCTGGATACAACAGCAGATAGTCTCTCAATGGAGGAATGTGTGCGAGGGCTTGCAAAATTACGTTTGAATAGTCGTTTGCACCGAAATTGCTCAGTCCAATGAACCCTGGGCGATACTCTCGACCAGCAAGATCCCGTTTGAGCGACGTGTCGTGGTATAGGTCTTTTAGGTCCTTGTATGTGGGGTTGATTTGGCGTCGAATGTCGTCTAAAGATGACGCGGTCTGCTCGTCCAATTGATAGTTCTCGGGTAAGATATGGAAGGTGAGCGTGTCGAAGTTGACAAAAACGTGGTGGTCGTCGTTGATCGAGTGCAGAAAGCACTCCGAGTCCATTGACCGACCTCTGAAGTACTTGTTGCACACCAGACAGCCGTAGATGTTTGTGTTGGACAGCGACACGCAACAGACCTTCTCATAGTCGAAATCGAGGATTTTCCTGTTGATTGTGTCCAAATACAGCGACGCGTCTCGAGTCGAGATTTTCTTTCGGTCCGGAACTTCCCCTGAACTATCTTGTCTTTTTCGCTTCGACATTTAAATCGAACAAGAAATTAGAAACAATTTTTTTTTTTTCATATCATGTACCCAGCGAAAGCGCACGCCAGGAAGGTGAAAGAACACTTTTTGACCAAAAAACACAATGCCAACGCCGCATTCTTTATTGCGGGTGCCTCGTTGAAGCTGTATCCTTACTGCGACCAGACCGCTCCCTTGAGACAAAACAGATACTTTCACTACCTTACGGGAGTGAACCAAATCAGTGGCTGCTTTGTTCTGTACGATGTTTCCGCAGACAAATTGACGCTGTTCCTGCCAGATGTCGACGCCGACGACATAATGTGGAGCGGACTACCCCTGTTTCCCGAGGAGGCTATCAAGAAGTTCGATGTCGACGAGGTTCTCTATGCGGCCGTCGTGGACACAGTGTTGCAAGATCTACTCGCCAACGGCACCGAAATTTTCACCACTGACACGGAGGAGTACTCCGGCCAGCAGTTTGCCAAATACGTAACTGCGGGCGACAAGGACTTCTTCTATGCGCTGGACGAGGCCCGGCTGATTAAGGACTCGTTCGAGCTGGATCTCATGCGCAAGGCCGCCAAAATCACCGACAACTCGCATCTTGCCGTCATGTCGGCCCTACCTATAGAGAAGAACGAGGGCCACATCCACGCGGAGTTTGTCTACCATTCGATTCGCCAGGGCTCCAAGTTCCAGGCGTACGATCCGATCTGCTGCTCTGGCCCGTCGTGCGGCACGTTGCACTACGTGAAAAACGACCAGGGTCTGGCCGGAAAGGACAGCATTCTGATTGACGCCGGAGCAGAGTGGGAGTGCTATGCGTCCGATGTGACCAGATGCTTCCCGATCAGCGGAGTCTGGACTAAAGAGCATCTGGAGATCTACAACGCGGTGCTGGAGATGCAGAACGAATGCATGAAGGAAATCAAGCCTGGAACCCATTGGGACGATTTGCAGCTGCTGGCTCATAGAGTACTAATCAGAAACTTCCTCAGGCTCGGCCTGTTCACGGGAAATGAGGAAGACATCTTCCGGTCCGGCGTGTCTGCCAGCTTCTTCCCGCACGGACTAGGCCATCTCCTGGGCATGGACACCCACGACGTCGGCGGAAACCCGAACTACAACGACCCAAACCCAATGCTGCGCTATCTACGGCTGCGCAGAAAGCTGGAACCGGGCATGGTGGTGACGAACGAGCCGGGAATCTACTTCTCGCCGTTCCTCCTGGAGCCTGCTCTGAAAAACCCGGACACCAGCAAATATATCTGCCAGGAAGCAGTGGACAAGTACATGTACATTGGCGGAGTGCGCATCGAGGACGACGTGGTGGTGACGGCGCACGGCCACGAGGTGCTGACACAGATCACGCGCGATCCGCACGAGATCGCCAAGATCGTCCAGGACGGACTGGCCAGGGGCCGTTCCGGCTTCCATGTTGTAGTTTAATATAAGTAGCTACACACCGCATCTAAACACGTTGGACCGCTGGTGTCGGAGCTGGATGGTTTCCTTGCGCTCAAGAATGCTCAGAGCCTTTTCTAGCGCGGCCAGCGAGTAGCTGCCCTTCTCAACAAACTGTCTTCTGAGCGTTGCGTACGACGTGGACCAGCCAAGCGGGAGTCTGCGCTTGATTTCGCTCTCGATCTTGTGAATCTCCGACGTGATCTGCGCGTTGTCAGAATTGCCCTCGTGGACAGCGTCCATCGTGGACGCGTTGAACAGCCGGATCGCCTCCTCAACGTGTCTTTCTGTGGCGACAGGCGCCAGTTCCAGCTTGGCCAGCGCCTCAGTGATCCGGATAATGGCCTCGAGCTGCCGGATCGTGATCGGGATCGACGACCGCTCGGTCGAGTGCGACTCCTTGTTCTTAACCTCTTTGCGGATCCCGACAAAGTGCGACGACAGCATCTCGCTCGCCTCGTACGACAACCGCGGCGCACACTTCACCTTGCAGTACTGGATGTACCGCTTCATCTTGTCCAGCGGGATCTCGCCCTCAACCTGCGTCTCGGCAGAGCCGCCGTTCGTGTGGATGTTCATCACGTGATGCGCTATCGCTTCGTCGCGCTGCTGGTTGTGCTCGTCCTTGACGATGAAAATCATGTCGAAACGCGACAGAATTGTCGTTTGAAAGTCTATGTTCTCGCCCGGCGACTTCATGTCGTCGTAGCGGCCAAATATCGGGTTCGCCGCCGCCAGCACCGACGTCCTAGAGTTCAGCACCGTCGTGATGCCCGCCTTCGCAATCGAGATCGTCTGCTGCTCCATCGCCTCGTGGATCGCCACGCGGTCCTCGTCGCGCATCTTGTCGAACTCGTCGATGCAAACCACACCTCCGTCCGCAAGCACCATCGCTCCTCCTTCAAGATAAAAGTCTCTCGTTGTTGGGTCCCGCTGCACCGACGCCGTCAGACCAGCTGCGGACGATCCCTTACCGGACGTGTACAAAGAGATCGGCGACACTTTCTCGACGAATTTGAGCAGCTGCGACTTGGCCGTGCCGGGGTCTCCAAGCAGGAGCACGTTGATGTCTCCTCTCAGGCGCATGCCGTCCGGCAATATCTTCTTCGAACCGCCCATCAGCAGACACACAAGGGCCTTTTTGATGTCGGCGTTGCCGTAAATCGACGGCGCAATCGAGTTCGAAAACCGCTCGTACAGGTTTTCTGACCGTGCCAGCGACAGAAACTCTTCTTCCTCCTCCTCGGAAAACACAGAACTGAGCCCTCCTGTCTCGGCGTCACGGTCCGTCTGGATGCCCAAAACGTTCATGTAAGGGTTTCTGATGGCGACGTTGTTGGCAGAGGGCCCGTTTCGGACCTTGGCCTGATAGATCGAGTAGATTCCAACCACGTCGCAACGGGTGCCTGGAATGACCCGATTGCACAGGTTTCTGTCCACACTCAACAGAATGTGTCTAGGCATCTCTCCGATCGGCACCATGTCGGTTGTCTCCTGGAGCTTGAGCACCTGCTGGTCGATAAACACGGACTTGTCGTGGACAATGATGTACGGGTCAGGAGGACATTGATTTCTTTCTCCGTTAGGCTGCTGCGCGCTTTGGCACGATTTGGGCGTCTGGATGGCGCCGAACGAAAAGCCCACCTTCATTTTCATTGTGTGTCTGCACGAGCGACACATCAAAGTGACTTCAGTTGCCTTAGAGTGGAGGGTGGACGCGGAAATGACGATTCCCGAGATCTTGACGATTTTCGAGATATGTTCGGAGTCCAGGTTCCTGATCGAGAGCCTGTTGTCGTTCGAGAGCAGAATCAGCTGGCAGGTGGGGAAACTGGTGGGCGTTTCCTCGTGAGAAATGAATATAATTCTTCTTGCGATCTCGGTGATGGCCTTTTCGAACAAAGGGACCATTTCCGACGGGTCGTCCATCAGTTTCTTGTTCAGTTCGTCATTGTAGCTAATTAGATGCTCGTTGTGCACCGTGAGCTGGTACTGTTTAACAAGGATATTTTCTCTGAGTTGATCTCTGTAGATGAACTGGTTGTCGACCCTAAACTCGAGAATGAACCGTTTGAATGCCTTGATGACCTCGCTGAACTGATCGTCGCTCGCAGCTTCACCAGGAAGCACGGAGGTGCTGTAAATATCTGCCCGTTCGAAAGACATGAGAAGAAACAAGGGGTTAGATTTTTTTGCTTACACGTCCGTAACAAATTAATTATCCCTTTTCAGAAGTGTAATTACGCGTAACAACCGTAAACCGGCTGGCTGTGAACATGATAAAATTTTTTTATTTTAGTCTCTTGCAAATGTAGAGATGTGTTGATAAAATTTTAAACAGTTTTATTATTGTTTATTGCTTCTTGTTTGTTGGAAACGCAACAAAATGGCCCAAGATAAGCAGACATCGGGCACGGAGCCGTCCGCGGAGCCGAAGTCACCCGTGATCGACCCGCAGATCACCAAGGAGCTCGACCACGAACACATAGACCACCATCAGCTAGAGCTGCTCACCTCCCAGCTTCCTGGGTTCAGATTTGATAACATCGAACAGCTTAACGACGAGGAGCTGAATATTCATTTCCAGAAAATCATTGGTGAGCAGGAGGAGCACAAAGACGAAAAAGACAGCAGCAAGTCTGAGGATATAAACAGTGAGAAGGAAACGCAACAGCCACAGGAAGAAACACAGCTCAAATCGCATTCCGAAGCCACAGTAGACGATAAGGATAACAAGCCGGAGGACCGTAATTTGGATCCTACCTTGTCGATGTTGTCCGGGGAAACCACAAATTTCAAAGGCCTGTCCATTCCTAATAACTCGGAGCTCGTGCGAGAAACCACAGAATCTCCAGCTTTGAGGGCTTACCGAGAGCTTGTCCAGAGCCAGCAGACGCAGGCGGCCCCTGTTGATGTTGTCCATGCCCAGCTGGCTGCTCTCCCGCTGACCTTCACCGCCCCATCCAATCTCTCTTTCAACATTCAGCTGCTGATCAACACGCTGCCAGTGTTGGACAACCTGGCGACTCAGATATTACGAATCATCTCCCAAGGGCCGTACCAAAAGATCATGGAACTGGTTTCCAATCGCGAGTCTTTTGCAGGCATTGCGTTTGGAAACCTGATCGAGCTGTTTGAGACTACGAAAAGGGTGTACAACTCCGAGGAAAGCCCGTTCTTCACAGTGGAAAACGTCACTTTTGGCCTCTGGAAGTACGGCGAGGCTGCTCCTGAGTTTTTCCGCGGCAAGGAAGACACGATAGAAGGAACGTTGCGGAAGGTGAATCTTGCGACTTTCCTTCTCGCGACGCTGGGACTGATCGACTTGGGATTCTTCTTCTTAAACGAGGCGTTCCTGGACGTGTTCTGTCCTCCACAGAACCTGGACCCGACGCGATCGTTGTCCAACCTCAAGCAGGACAACACCCTGCAGTCTACCTTGTTGAGCTCGTCGTACCCCTTCGCGCAGAGCAGCAGAGCTCCGAACAACCAGACCAAGTTTCTCAAATCGCACGCTATTTTATTCCTGGAGCTTAAAACACAGGCTTTCATCTCGGCCATTGAGCTGGGCGATCGTTCTAAAGAGGAAATTCTCAAAGATCTGTTTCCTGATAATCTGGATGAAATCCTACTGAAGCGCAAGCAGCCCGACTTTGATACCTCAAAACACACCATTGTGCGCAACTCGACGCTTTTCACGCCGGCCGAGCTGGACTTTCTAGCCAGATGCGACTCCAGAAAGGATAATCTTATGAACATGAAGGAGGACGATTCGCTCATGGAAAAGTACGAATGGATTAAGTTTCTGAACGATCTTCTGGACTATGTGTCCAAAAACGTGGGTTTTTTGATTTGGGGACCAAAGGGGAAGATCACAAAGGAGCTTACGAGATTGCGTCTGGGCACTGATTCTGTCGCGAGAAAACGCCAATTCGACGGCGACGGCAAAGACTCGGGCGAGAACACGCCCGAGCCAGAACAAAAGACTAAGAAAGCCAGAAGCTATCGACAGAACAGACCGACGACGTTCAGAAGAGTCTGGAGCCAGGAGGAGGAAGAGGCGCTGAGGGACGGGCTGAAGCTTAAGGGAACGCAATGGACGGCCATTTTGGAGCTGTACGGGCCCGGTGGGTCCATCAGTGAGGCTCTGAAGAACAGAACGACACTGCAGCTCAAGGATAAGGCCAGAAACTGGAAGATGTACTATTTGAAGAACGGACTGGAGCTCCCTGACTATTTGGTGAAAGTCACAGGAGAGCCTGACAGAAACTACTCTCACGACTCGAGCAGGGCGGCCACGAAGGTTGAAAGACCAAAAGCTGGAACCCGGCACGCAAATATTCAGACGACCGCTACCAGAATTCCGCAACCAGAAGCGGGAGCCAAAAAGCACGAGGAAGGAGGCGACCCCAGCTACGAGGACATCATCAACAATTTATTTGGGGGCAACGCCGAGCGCGCAAAGACCGCGCAAAAAGGCTCGTCCACTTCGCGCAGTGACAACCCTGAGGATGCCGCGAACGAGCTCAAGGACCTGGTGGCCCAGGCGTTCGAGTCGTGATTTTTCTAGAAATCTCTGGTTATGTAACCCGGACTCCCATGTACTATTAGGCGAAAAAAATATCAAAAAAATATCAAGCACTTAAAACAATATAGCATTGATTAATCTATGAATAGCGTCCTGAAAGTCAGATTGTTGCCTCGTCGGCTGGTCTGGAATTCACAATCGCGGTCCATGAGATATGCCAGGCCGCTTGCTTTCCATGGGATAAGGGGTGCGTGCAGAGAATTCCACAGTAGCAGGCCCACCCAGCTAGAGGATCCGTACAAGACGCTGGGAGTTAGTCAGAGCGCCTCTGCCTCGGATATCAAGAAGGCGTACTACAAGCTTGCGAAAAAGTACCATCCAGATGTCAACAAGGAGGAAGGAGCGGAAAAGAAGTTCCATGAGTTACAAGAGGCGTATGACATACTAAGCGATCCACAGAAAAAACAGCAGTACGACCAGTTTGGAGCCGCAGCGTTCGATCCAAACGCTGGAGGCGGAGGCGCCGGTTTTGGCGGAGCGCACGGCGGCAACCCATTTGCCGGTTTCCAGGGCGGGTTCCAAGGTGGCAATCCATTTGAAGGGTTTGGGTTTAATTTCGAGGACTTGTTTGGAGGCATGGGTGGAGGTAGACAGCGTGGGGTCCAGCATTTCCAGGGAGAGGATGTGGAGGTGCTGAAGACGATTTCGTTCCGCGAGGCCATTTTCGGAACTCGTGCCTCGATCGATTACAGAGCGGTGTGTCAGTGTGACGCCTGTTCCGGCTCGGGTCTAAAGCGGAACCGCAAGAAGAGCACGTGCAGGAGCTGTGACGGAACAGGCTCGCAGGTGTACCAGTTGCAAGCGGGCTTCCAGATGGCGTCCACGTGCAAGGCCTGTGGAGGAAGTGGAGTATTTATTAATCCCTCGGACGCATGTTCGACCTGTCACGGCGAGGGAGTTGTGGATCAACACAGACAGACAGAGGTTAACCTGCCAAAGGGTATTAAGGACGGGTCGAGGATCCGTGTGAGCGGCGCCGGCAATGCTCCTCACACTACGACGTCGAAAGGCACTGTTCTGAGCAACGGTGACCTGATCATCAGAATCAAGGTGGCTCCGGACCCAGAGTTTGTCAGGGACGGCGTCAACGTGATCTACAACTGCAAAGTTGCGATGACGACGGCGGCTCTGGGAGGCACCGTGGAGATACCAACCCTCGAGGGCCAGAAGGTGAAGATCAAGATTCCTGCCGGGTCGGAGCACGGCAAGGTGATCACGATTCCTGAACGCGGTGTTCCGTACGCAGGCAACAGAAGAGGCGACCTGCGGGTGGTGCTGAACGTTGTCCCGCTCAAACCGCAGAATGCTACGCAGACGGCGCTGTTGGAGGCCCTGGCGGATGCCTTTGGCGACAACAAGGCGAACAGAATGGATCCTAGCTGGAAGCCGCTGGAGAGCGTTGACCAGGAGGCCTCCGCGGGTGCCGACTGTGAGCACCCGTCGAACCTCAGGCGGATCGAGTCCTTCCTGAGCAATGCGTTCAAGAAGATCCTGAACAAAGACGATAAATAATGACTAACGTGTACATACTGCCAGCACTGCCAGCAATCTCCCGTAGACGGTCTGGCCAGACGACAGCGACATTGTTCCTTGCGCACAGCCAAGCCCCTACATTCTCAAACACGTCTCTACGACACGCTTCTGCTGCACCGCCTAGTTATATTTAGTAGTTTCCGTTTTTGGAAGGAGGTAAAGAAATCACCGCTTCGTGTAATCTCACAAATTTCTCGGTTCTCGCCTTTTGCTGCCTCCATGCTTCTTCCTTCGCTCCTGGAGGTGATCCAACAAGAGTCCTTTGAGGACGTGCCGCTGAACGGCACTGTGTCGCGGTCCAGCACGGTGCACTCTTTGCCGCGAAAGCGAGGCGGCGCGGCCCCCGGCACCGCAGCGGGCACCTCGCCAGAGGCCGTGTTTATCACGCCGTCCCAGCGGCTGCGGCTGGGCCAGAAGAAGCGCACGATGGCCGCCGAGATGATGAGGCGGTCCTCTGCGCTCGACACGGCAGACTTTCTGTCTGACGACGAGCTGCCCGACGACCTCATAGTGTACAACGTGCCGTACACGCGGCCGCTCCGGTCGCTGGCGCAGCGCGAGCAGGCGTACCGGCCGTCGCCGCTGCGGCCGCTGCGGAAATACGGCTCTGTGTCGAGTTTCTCCAGCTTTGGCTCGCCCAAGACGCGCGCGTCGTCGATCTTCAGTGCGTCTTCCGATCTCTCGGAGCTGAGCCTGCTGGAGGACGACTCAAAGTTCAGTGACGACGCGTGCAGGCTCAGTCTGAGCGAGGACCCGCTCGTGAACGAGTCGCTCGAGCGCATCGCGATGCTCAACAGCTACAAGCATCTTTCAGTGCCGGCAACGTCCAAGGAGAAGCTGGGCTACCTGACGGTGACGAGACAGACAAACCTGCCGCCAAAGGACCCGCGCGAGGCGTCCAAACACACCAGAGACTACCAACGGCTGCTGCAGGCGCAGATCGACCAGGAACAGAAAAAACTGGCCGAGCGGAAGAGACATCTCGAGGAGCAGGCGAAGCAGACGGAAAAAGACCGTGCCGCGTGGCGCGCCGTGCTGCGCGACTACGACCGCCTCGTGTGCCTGGCGGAGACCCGGGAGCTGTGGTGGCGCGGCGTGCCGGCAGATCTGCGCATCAACGTGTGGATCAGACAGATGGGCAGGACCGAACTGAGCGACAGCCAGATAGCGCAGTACTTGAGCGAGGCTGACAACATTATCAGCAAGGCGTGCGATTTCAAGGTGCAGCGGCCGGATCCAAAGCAGTTCGCCGCGCAGAACAGCAAAAACATCCATTTAATCAGGAGCGTGCAGAGCTACTCCGACCTGATCCAGCAGGCGTTCCCTAACCTGCTGATATTCCAGTACGGCCAGGCGTTCGACTCGATTCTCAAGGTGATGCTTGCGTTCAACCTGCACCAGCGCGAGTCTGCGAGCCGGCAGTTCCAGCAGATCCAGCTCACGCACCTGGTAAATCTCATCTGCGTGCTCTACTACAATTTGCGCGACGAAAAACTGACACTGCGCATGTTTGTGAACTTGGTGTCGAAAAAACTCATCTACCATCTGTTAGTGGACACGAACAACGAGTACCTGGAGGACATCACGGCGCAGTTCGACAAGTTTCTCGCCAAAACGAGCCCTGCCATCCACGCACATTTCAAAGCCGTCGGCTTGCAACCACGCACAGTCATCGCCAACACGGTGCCCAGTCTCTTCTCCAAATGTCTCAACATGGACGTGTGCAGCCGGCTCGTCGACATATACATCTTCGAGGGCGACACGTTCCCGCTGCGCGTGCTGCTCGCGCTGATTCGCAAGATTCAGTATAAATTACTGGGCTCCAAAGAGGAGATCTGCAACGTGCTGGGCCCCGAGTGTCTGGCGCACCTAAACAAGTCCGAAAAATACGCATACAAGTATCTGGACGTCGGGGACGCTATAGAGTTCATCACGGACGTCCGCACGGTGCTGCGTCGCCAGAGCGTACCTCAATGATGCCTCCTATATTATGTAATATACGTACATATTCTACAACGTCACTGGCAGCTTTGCACTTTTTCGAGCAGGTTCTTGCCGTCGTCGGCCGTCTTGACGCGCGCAATATACGTCTCGAGCTTGCCGTCGGGCGAGAACGTTGGGATCCGCATGGAGTTGCCCTTGCCGATCAGCTCGTACTTAACGTCTTTCAGAATAGCCACGTTGAGCAGCACGTTCAGGCTGCCCTCGGACCGCACCAGGATCCGCGACTTGCCCGTTTCTGTGTTCTTGAGCACCTTCAGCTCGCCCAGCCCGATCGACTTGTACGGATCCGACTTGTCAGCCGCGTCGAACTTGAGCACCTTGGATTTTTTCGTGTACAGAACCGTCTCGTTCTCCTCGCCGGTTTTCGTGTCCACCTTCTGTGTCAGCTTGACAACGGCAAAGTCGCCCTTGACGTCCTCGTTCTGCACCTGCTCCTCCTCCTCGTTGGCAGTGTCGTCCTTGTTTGCTTCTGGTTTTGGTGCAGAGAAATTGAAGTTGAACGTCGAAGCGGCAGGAGCGGTGTTCTGTGACGTGGACGCGAAATTGAACGGGTTGGACGCGGCAGGCTTTTGTGCGGGCTGGGACGAGAAGTTGAACCCGTTCGAAGGGGCGGAGAACGAGAACGCCGGCTTGGCCGGCTCAGAGTCGGCCGTTTTGGTTTCGGAGGGTTTGGTGAAGGAGAAGGCGGAAGAAGAGCCAAACGAAAAGGCTGGTTTCTGCTCTGACTTCTGCTCTGAGTTTTGCTCCGGCTTCTGCTCTTCTTTGTTCTCCTTTGGCACGTTGAATGAGAACGCCGGTTTATCTGTAAACGAGAATGTTGGTTTTCCTGCTGGTGTTTCTGCTGGTTTTTCCGCTGGTTTTTCTGGCTTTTCCACAGGCTTTTCCTGCCTTTCAGTCGGCTCGGGCTGGCTGCCCAACGAGAAGGCCGGGGCGGGCGTCTGACCAAACGAAAACTTAGGAGCCTCCTTAGGAGCCTCCTTAGTCTCTGTCTGACCAAATGTGAACGCTGGCTTCTCCTCCTTCTTCTCCTCCTTTTCCTCCTTCTTTGGCAGCTTAAACACATTGTCCTTGATCTGTGTGCTGCCCGGCAGCTGGAACTTTGGGCCTTCTATCTTGACGTCGTCGTCCGAGTCCGAGTCCGGAGGCGGAGCGTGGCCGAATTTGAACCCGTAGTTCTTCGACTTTGGCAGCGTGTCCAGCTTGAACGCTGGTCCTTTTATTTCCACTGGCTTTTCCTCCTCCTCCTCAGATTCTGCAGGCTTGGTATCGCCAAACCTGAACTCGGGGTTCTCCACCTCGCCCACCTTCACATCGACCTTTGGCACCTCTGCCTTTTTCACGGCAATTTTATTTTTCACCACCTTGTCGTAATACTCATTGTACTTGGACAAAACGGGACGCAAGTCTGCAATGGGGTTCTTTTGAATGGCGTTGTTGATGGCCTGCAAAAAGAGAGCATTCAAGGATTTTAACTGTGTAGGCTGGTCGCTGATAACCTCCTCTGTAGACTTTGAAGATGCAAGCGTATTGGCTGGTTTACTAGATTGTTCCGTGGCGGAGGCCCCGAGGAACCCAAAAGCCCCGCCAATTTTGGGCTCTGGCTTGGAGCCGTTCGCGGCCTTGAGCCGCGGCTTCAGCCTGGCAATAGGCCGCGACGCCATCACGTCCGCCGAAGCACGCTTGGCTCCCTCGAATACTTCCTCGTCGCTGTCGTAGTCCTCGGCAAGAGCGGCGTCTGCTGTGAGCTGGGATTTGCTTCTTTTAGCCATGGCAATTCCACAAAACACGAACCAGTTGACCTGTACACAAACACGAGGCTCTAGCGCGTTTTAAGTAGGATATCAGTTTCAACTGCGAAACAAGTTCGAAGCACACGGGCAGGCTGGTGTAGGGAGGTGCGCGAACGGGCTGGCGATCTCGACTGGAATATGTGTCACATGACTTGCACGCGGGCTGGGTATCTCTGCTTATCTAAGCCAGGTTAAAATTTTCAAAACCGTGTGAATTATTTGGATAGCCAACATATAACACAAGGTAGGTGGATTATCGACGTTCGCCGCTAACACGCTAGATGCCTCCAAAAGTTCAACAATCCAAGGCAGCAAAGGCCGCTGCCGCCCTTGCTGGTGGTAAGAAGTCCAAGAAGAAGTGGTCCAAGGGAAAGGTTAAGGACAAGGCCCAGCACGTTGTTGTGCTGGACCAGGAGAAGTACGACAGAATTATGAAGGAGGTGCCAACCTACAGATTTGTGTCTGTTTCCATCTTGGTCGACAGATTGAAGATCGGTGGATCCGTCGCCAGAGTTGCTCTCAAGCAGCTGGAGGAGGACGGTGTGATCAAGCCAGTGCTCAAGCACTCCAAGCAGTACATCTACACTCGTGCTACGGCTGAGTAGATTAGTATAATACATGATGCAGAACTTTTGTAGCACGATCGGAGGGTCTCGTAGCGCGTCAAGCGTAAAGTCGGGGCGGCTGGTGCGGCCGGCGTCTGGCAGGCGTTCAGCTGCGAGCCTGTACTCCTGGATGCCGCCGGTGCCCGAAATAACGCTCTCAAATAATTCACAGATTAAATGCCCACGCAAAAAATTTTACCTCAAAAGTTTACTGTAAGTACTGATGATGATTGTTCCCCAGAACACTTCGTAGGCGAATAATCTCCGATTCGATGAGCCGTGAAAACATGCATCACCATCTGAAACAGTACTGACCTCCAGGTTTGGTTGACGTGTTCAGGAAAACACTTCGATGAGACAGCCACAGGCATTCTATGATGAATACTACTTCAGTTCTGCTTCTGAACAAGTCTGAAGACAACACAGTTTACCAAAGCTCAAGTTTCTGACGGATGTCTTGTGTCTCATCTATGTAGTTACATGTAGTTACTCGGCCAAGTACTGGGACTCGAACTTGCTCTGTTTGACGCTCAAAAACTTCTTGACCTCGCTCCAGAGCTCCACGATGGTTGGGTTCTTCTGCTTCGACATGAACGTGTCCAGTTTGCTGATCACCGAGTAGACGAAGAACCTGTTGTCCTCGCTGTGCAGCAGCCTGAGCCAGTAGAACATCGCGTAGCTGACGAGGCCGAAGCCGGAGTTGCCTCTCATGCACAGCGTATCGAACGCAAGCAGCACAAACAGGAACAATTCGTTGTAGACGATGATTTTCTTGAAAACCGGCTCCAGTTTGAGCAACGGCCTGATCTGGAAGTGGCTGGACAGCTGTAGCGTCGCAATCAGAAGATACGGCAGCAGCTTGAAGAAAGACGACCATCCGAAGAACCAGTGCACAGACAGAACGAGGTACTGGAAGTTTTCTGTGGTCATGAGCGTGAAATAGGAAGGCAGCGATTTTTTGTCAAAGTGAGACATGATGGCCACGCTGTAGCTGATCCAGACACCCACCCACGCAAGTCTGTAGCCGACAAAGGCCACCCACGACTGGTGTTGCTTGTGGACAACGTAGTACCTAAGGAAGATGAGCCCGAAGAGCAACGTGCTGACATGGCCGGCCAGCCAGGCGTATTTCATAATCGGCTGTGGCCGGGCGGCCTTTTTGCGCAGTTTCCTGTTCTTCTTGCCGGAAGGCCGCATTTCAGCCTTGGCCGTGCCGTTAGGCAGCGATTGAGAGGACATGGTGTTAGCAATAACAACTGAAATTTAGGCAGGAACTATTTTGGTCTGGGGTGTAGAGTTTCGCCTGATATGGTGCTTATAGCTTCCTTTGGCAGCGAAAGCAAAGAAGTGAAGAATCCGTGGTAATGGTGGAATGCGTGCAGAGCAGAGTTGATCTCGCGCGAGTAATCGCAAATTGTGATTAGTTTTGGGGTGAATTTTGGCAGGTACAAATAGGACAGCTACGGAAAGTGTAGCAATTGAGCCACATCCACTTACTTGTGCCGCACTGTCGAGAGCATTAAGCTTGTGTTCCTTTACAGTTACTGGCTTAGACTCCGTTCAGCAGGTCGGGTTATTTGATGACTACCAGGGTTGACCTGAATAACGAAAACGGCTCCATAAGTGCACAATAGGAGGCTGACTATGCCGAACGGCCTGCTCTCTCCCTGTGTTTTCCACCTTCGAGCAAAATTTCATCATTGTGATTGGGAAGAAGCGTGAAAGATGCGGTCCTACGTTGTCCCAGATGGCAGTATAAATGGGATTGCGTCTGCCATGGAACAGATTTTACAAACGACGGGACGGGAATTTACTTTCGATGCAGCATTCCTCAGATTTGTGCTGCCAATGCTGCACCACTGAGTCGCAACCACGTTGTCGTCTGTCCAGACGATGATTTCGGCTCCTTGGAAGCAGATTCTGTGTCGGCCATGGAGCAGCAAATACTGCTTTACACAGTGTAGCGTTGTCGAGGACGGCGAGTTGGTGAGCCTCCTTGGACTACATGAGCTTTTTCGCGGAGTATGGGGGGAGGATAAAAAAAACAGTGTAGCTTATTTCAGCTTTATATTTCCTCATTATTTAATTTTCGTCCTTCAAATTACCGTTCCTGAGCAAATGAAAACGTCCCTCTTATATCCCCCGTCAGCACCAAAGCAGAGAAGAAGCCTCAGCCTTGCGGGCTGCCCATCTAGAACAATAGCGTGTCTGTCCTCCCGTAGCTCTTTCTTATATATTGCCTCCTGGCATCTCGCCTCGCCCCCCACATTTTCCGCTCTGGCCAAAATGCATTTTTTGTATGCAGAGTCAAATTAATTTTTAATTTACTTCATTTTTTTACCATGTCGAACGACACCTATGCCACCCCGCTGTCGTCGCGGTATGCGTCGAAGGAGATGTCGCAGATCTTCTCTCTGCGCAACAGGTTCTCCACGTGGAGAAAGCTGTGGTACAACCTGGCAATTGCCGAGAAATCGCTCGGTCTTTCAGTCGTCACTGACGAAGCTATCGAGCAGATGTCCAAGCACCTCGAAATCACCGACGAGGAGATCGAGGCCGCCAAAAAGGAAGAGGCCATTGTCAGACACGACGTGATGGCGCACGTCCACGTTTTTGGCGAAACGTGCCCTGCCGCTGCCGGAATCATCCATTTGGGAGCCACCTCGTGCTACGTGACAGACAACGCGGACCTGATTTTCCTCAGAGACGCGTACGACGTTCTGATCCCCAAGCTTGTCAACGTGATCAACAGACTGGCCATATTCGCTCTGGAGTACAAAGACCTGCCGGTGCTCGGCTGGACCCATTTTCAGCCCGCTCAGCTGACGACTGTTGGAAAAAGAGCAACTCTGTGGCTCCAGGAGCTGCTCTGGGACCTCAGAAACATGCAGCGGGCTAGAGACGACATCGGACTGCGTGGGGTTAAGGGCACCACCGGCACACAGGCGTCCTTCCTGTCTCTTTTCCACGGAGACCACGACAAGGTCGAGGCTCTGGACGAGAAGGTGGTGGAGCTGCTAGGATTTGAGTACGCGTATCCTTGCACGGGGCAGACGTACTCGCGCAAAATCGACATCGACGCGTTGCACCCGCTGTCGTCTTTGGGCGCCTCATGCCACAAGATGGCCACCGATATTAGACTGCTGGCGAACCTCAAAGAGATGGAAGAGCCGTTCGAAAAAAGCCAGATCGGATCGTCTGCCATGGCCTACAAGCGCAACCCGATGAGATGCGAGCGCGTGTGCTCGCTGTCGCGTCACTTGGGCTCCCTGTACCAGGACGCGTTCCAGACGGCGTCCGTGCAGTGGTTTGAGAGAACGCTGGACGACTCTGCCATCAGAAGAATTTCCATTCCGGAGGCCTTTCTGACGGCAGACATTCTGCTCTCGACGCTTCTGAATATCACGTCCGGCCTGGTGGTGTACCCGAAAGTGATTGAGCGCCGCATCAAGGCGGAGCTGCCGTTCATGGCGACCGAGAACATCATCATGGCGATGGTGGAGCAGGGAGCTTCGCGGCAGGAATGCCACGAGGAGATCCGCGTGCTGTCGCACCAGGCGTCGGCGGTGGTCAAGCAGGAGGGCGGCGACAACGACCTAATTGAGAGAATTAAGAGCACAGACTACTTCAAACCTATTTGGTCACAATTGGACAGATTACTCGACCCGTCCACTTTTGTTGGTCGTGCCCCACAACAAACTGAAAAATTCGTCAACGTCACTGTTGCAAACGCACTGGAACCATACCGGGCGCTTATCAATGACGAGCACGTTCAATTGGCTGTCTAGAATCGAAAAACAAGGGTGACTACTGCAAAGGGTCGGAGTCATCGAAATCTTATTGTTTAGGTGCAAGAAACAATACGGAGCTCACTCCGTGCTTATTTTTCTCTGTAAATTTTTTTTGCTCATGACTGAAAAAAAAATGCTGCCCCCCGTAATTGGCGGCACGTCATCTGCCCCCATTTACTCTGCACTCATTTTTATTAGCATCAAATTCCCTTTTTTCTAATCATCTTTTATAGCAATTTCGATGGCCCAGGTCGAAGACTATTCGTCGCTGCACAGATTGCGGAAGAACTCCGAGATTCTTTCCAATGCTAACAAGATCCTGGTCGCCAACAGAGGCGAGATTCCCATCAGAATCTTCAGATCTGCCCATGAGCTCTCCATGCAGACCGTCGCCATCTACTCGCACGAGGACAGACTCTCAATGCACCGGTTGAAGGCAGACGAGGCGTACGTCATTGGAGCCAGGGGCCAGTACTCTCCCGTCCAGGCGTATCTGCAGATTGACGAGATTATCAACATTGCCCTTGAACACGACGTCTCCATGATTCATCCCGGCTACGGCTTTTTGTCTGAAAACTCAGAATTCGCTAAGAAAGTCGAGGACAGCGGCATGATCTGGATTGGCCCGCCCCACAACGTCATCGACGCCGTGGGAGACAAGGTCAGCGCCAGAAACCTGGCCGGCATGTGCAACGTTCCGGTGGTTCCTGGAACGGACGGACCAATCGACAGCGTCGAGCAGGCCCAGGAATTTGTGGACAAGTACGGCTACCCGGTGATCATCAAGGCCGCTTTTGGTGGAGGTGGACGTGGTATGAGAGTGGTTCGCGAGGGCGAGAACATCGCGGACGCTTTCCACAGAGCCACATCCGAGGCCAAAACCGCTTTCGGCAACGGCACCTGTTTCATTGAGCGGTTTTTGGACAAGCCGAAGCACGTCGAGGTGCAGCTGCTGGCCGACAACTACGGCAACGTTATCCACCTCTTTGAAAGAGACTGTTCCGTGCAGAGAAGACACCAGAAGGTGGTTGAGATTGCTCCGGCCAAAACTCTTCCTATCGAGGTCAGAGACGCCATCTTGACCGACGCTGTGAAACTGGCCAAGGCCGCCAACTACCGGAACGCCGGTACCGCAGAGTTCCTCGTCGACAACCAGAACAGACACTACTTCATCGAGATCAACCCTAGAATCCAGGTCGAGCACACCATCACCGAGGAGGTCACCGGAGTTGACATTGTTGCTGCTCAGATCCAGATCGCTGCCGGTGCTTCGTTGCAGCAACTGGGCCTCTTACAGGACAAGATTACCACCAGGGGTTTTGCCATTCAGTGCAGAATCACGACCGAGGACCCTGCCAAGAACTTCCAGCCAGACACGGGAAAAATCGAAGTGTACAGGTCGTCGGGAGGTAACGGTGTGAGACTGGACGGTGGTAACGGATTTGCAGGCGCCATCATTTCCCCGCACTACGACTCGATGCTGGTCAAGTGCTCCACGTCTGGCTCTAACTACGAGATTGCCAGAAGAAAGATGATTAGAGCTTTGGTCGAGTTCAGAATTAGGGGTGTCAAGACCAACATTCCTTTCCTGCTGGCTCTTTTGACCCATCCAACGTTTGTGTCTGGTGACTGCTGGACCACGTTTATCGACGACACTCCTTCGTTGTTCGAGATGGTGCAGTCCAAAAACAGAGCTCAGAAGTTACTGTCGTACCTTGCTGACCTGTGTGTCAATGGCTCGTCGATCAAGGGCCAGATCGGCCTGCCAAAGCTGACCAGGGATGCCGACATCCCGGTGATCCACGACATTAACGGCTGGGAGATCGACATCAAGAACACTGCTCCTCCAGACTCTTTCAGACAGTACCTTTTGGACTACGGTCCCGAGCAATTTGCCAACCAAATAAGAGCTTTCGATGGTTGCCTGATCATGGACACTACCTGGAGAGACGCTCACCAGTCGCTTCTGGCAACCAGAGTTAGAACTATAGACTTGCTGAACATTGCTCCGGCCACGGCCCATGCCTTTAGATACGCCTTTGCCCTGGAATGTTGGGGAGGTGCCACTTTCGACGTTGCGATGCGTTTCTTGCACGAAGACCCATGGGACAGACTGAGAAAGCTGAGAAAGGCCGTGCCAAACATCCCATTCCAGATGCTTCTGAGAGGAGCCAACGGAGTGGCGTACTCCTCGCTGCCTGACAACGCCATTGACCACTTTGTGAAGCAGGCCAAGGACGCCGGAGTGGACATTTTCAGAGTGTTCGACGCTCTGAACGACTTGGAACAACTGAAAGTCGGTGTCGACGCCGTCAAGAAGGCCGGCGGTGTTGTTGAGGCCACTGTCTGCTACTCTGGAGACATGCTCAAGCCAGGCAAAAAGTACAACCTCAAGTACTATCTCGAGACCGTCGACAAGATTATGGAGATGGGCACTCATTTGCTTGGAATCAAGGATATGGCGGGTACTTTGAAGCCTGCTGCAGCCAAGCTGCTGATCAGCAGCATCAGAAAGAAGTATCCTTCTGTGCCTATCCACGTCCACACCCACGACTCAGCCGGTACCGGTGTGATCACCTACGTTGCTTGTGCACTTGCCGGAGCCGACGTGGTCGATTGTGCGGTCAACTCGATGTCGGGCCTGACGTCCCAGCCTTCCATGAGCGCCTTCATTGCGGCCTTGGACAACGAGATCAACACCGGCGTGACCGAGCAGAACGCCAGGGAAATTGACGCGTACTGGTCCGAGATGAGACTGCTGTACTCGTGCTTCGAGGCCGACCTGAAGGGTCCAGACCCAGAAGTGTACAACCACGAGATTCCGGGAGGTCAGCTGACCAACCTGTTATTCCAGGCCCAGCAGGTCGGTCTGGGTGAGCAGTGGCTCGAAACCAAGAAAGCTTACGAGGAGGCCAACATGCTGCTGGGCGATATCGTCAAGGTCACTCCAACGTCCAAAGTTGTCGGAGATCTGGCCCAGTTCATGGTGTCCAACAAGCTTTCTCCCAAGGACGTGGAGAGGCTGGCTTCTGAGCTGGACTTCCCAGACTCTGTGCTGGACTTCTTCGAGGGCCTGATGGGTACACCGTACGGCGGCTTCCCAGAGCCTTTGAGAACCAACATTCTGGCCGGAAAGAGAAGAAAGCTGACTCGCAGGCCGGGATTGGAGCTCGAGCCGTTCGACCTCAAGAAGATCAAGGAGGAGCTGCAGTCGAGGTTCGGCAACTCCATCACCGAGTGCGACGTGGCCTCGTACAACATGTATCCGAAGGTGTTCGAGTCGTTCAAGAAGATCCAGGAGAAGTACGGCGACCTTTCTGTGCTGCCTACGAGGTTCTTCCTTGCGCCTCCAAAGCTGAACGAAGAGATCTCTGTGGAGATCGAGCAGGGTAAGACCTTTGTGATCAAGGTGATGGCCATCGGAGACCTGTCGCCGCAAACAGGCACCAGAGAGGTGTACTTTGAGTTCAATGGTGAGATGAGAAAGGTCACTGTCGAGGACAAGCTCGCCGCCGTGGAGACGGTCACGCGTCCTAAGGCCGACGCGCACAACCCGAACGAGGTGGGGGCTCCTATGGCCGGTGTGGTCATCGAGGTGCGCGTCCATCCTGGCGTCGAGGTCAAGAAGGGCGACCCTCTGTGTGTACTGAGTGCGATGAAGATGGAGATGGTGATCAGCTCGCCTGTTTCGGGAAAGATCGGCGAGGTCATTGTGCACGAGAACGAAAGCGTCGACGCGGGCGACCTGATCTGCAAAATCACGAAATAGTTGGCAAGAAAGCTTTAAACGTTATTATATCATACAGCACTACTTTCTCCTCGCTCTGCGCTTTTCGTCGCTCTTCTTCTCCTCCACGAGCTGCTCGTACCGCGCGGCCAGCTCCTCGTACTCGGCCATCTTTTCCTGCACTTTCTCGTCCTCGTGGCTGGCTCCCTGCCACACGTTCTGCGGGTCGGCCAGCAACTCCGCGGTGTGCTTGTTTTGCGACAGAATTTTGCTCCAGATGTGAATGAGCTCGTTCGCCTTGACTGTGCTCTCTTTGATGCGCTTGATGTAGTTTGTAGACTCCTGGATGGAGATGCGGCTCTGCTCTATGGCGCCGTTGATCTTTTGTAGCTTCTCCAGCTCCGCGTGGATCGCTGCGTCGCGGTCTTTCTGGTGCGGCCGCGCCGGCGACGTGATCACCTCCTCCAGACTGTTGAGTGCTGGCGTTATTTCTTGAGACATTACGCGTGCAAAAAAGTTTTTTATGTCTTTAGGATTCGATTTCAAGTTGGTGCTTCTCACCGAGGACGGCGAGAAAAACGAGGACGGGAGCATCAACGCTACGGAGATGCAGGAGTACGTGCTTGCGGGGATCGACTCGATGGAGAAAATGAACGAGTGGTTCGACAGGTTCGACGAGCAGGTCGCGTACCCGAACGAGGGAAATATCAAATACGACGTCGGCTCGGATGGCATGGTGGTGGTGATTGTGAAGACGCAGGAGGTGCGCAGCCGGGTGCAGGACTTTGTCGCGCAATTTAATAATCACGAGTAGCAGTACACTTAGGCATTAGTTGGTATTAATTTATTTAGCACTGTTTGGATATTTTTTCTTTCATGAGTGAGTCGCCCGACGTTTTGCCCATCTTTGCCAACTCGCTGAAGCGGCACGACGATTCCAACTCGACCTCCCCGCGCGTCCATGGGGACGCGCACGCAGCGGCGGCCGACAGGTTGACGCCGCTCGAGAACGCGCGACAGAAGCTCAGCACCACACAGAAGAACCTGCCTCGCCAAGATCGGCCGCGGTTCCTCCTCCTGGTGCTGCTGTACCTGATCCAGGGCGTGCCCATAGGGCTGGCGTTCGGGTCGGTGCCGTTTCTGCTCAAATCGGCGCAATTGAGCTACACCCAGGTCGGCTTCTTCTCGCTGGCGTCGTACCCGTACTCGTTGAAACTGCTGTGGTCGCCCATTGTCGACTCGTGCTACCTGAAACGGCTCGGCCGAAGACGCTCCTGGATCATCCCTGTCCAGACGATCTCGGGACTCACGCTGCTGTTCTTGGGAACGGTGATCGACTCCCTCATGCGCAACATGCAGGAAAACCTCTACACCCTCGCCTACACCTTTTTCTTCCTCATCCTGCTCTGTGCGACGCAGGACATCGCCGTCGACGGCTGGGCCCTCACGATCTTGTCCAAAGACGCGCTGAGCTACGCGTCCACGGCACAGACGATCGGCCTCAACACGGGCTACTTCCTCAGTTTCACCGTGTTCCTCGCGTTCAACTCTGCAGACTTCGCGAACTCGTACCTCAGGAAAACGCCGAGCTCCGACAGCTTTCTGACGCTCGGCCAGTACATGTGGTTTTGGGGGTGGATCTACCTGGCCGTGACAGTGGTGATTCTCGTTTTTGTGCCGGAAGACCCGCTTTCGCGCGGAAAACAGGCCTCCTCCAAGGACATAGAGCTGGAGGAGCTGCAGAGAGACGAGCAGTCCAGGGCCAACGTGGTGCAGGCGCACACCGCGTACAACGAGCCGGCGGGCAGGAGCACGCTTTTGGACGTCTACCACAAGATGTGGAACGTGGTCAAGCTGAAAAACGTCAAGCTTTTCATCTTGGTGCATCTAGTGTCGAAAATTGCTTTCCAGGCCAACGAGGGAGCCACCAACTTGAAACTGCTGGACAAGGGCTTTTCGCGCGAGGACCTGGCCATCACAGTGCTGATCGACTTCCCGCTGGAGATCGTTTTTGGATACTACTCTGCCAGGTGGTCCACGGGAGACGAGCCTTTGAAACCGTGGATGTACGCGTATCTGGGCCGCATAGCCGCTGCTGCGCTGGGACAGGTGCTGGTGTGGTGCTTCCCGAGGGACGGTCACGTGACCACAGCGTATTTCCTGTTCGTGATATTCCAGCACCTGCTGAGCTCGTTCATGTCGACGGTCCAGTTTGTGTCGATCTGCGCTTTCCACACGCAGATTGCCGACCCGCTCATCGGCGGCACATACATGACCACGCTGAACACGCTGTCGAATTTGGGCGGTCAGTGGCCGAAAATTATCGTGCTCAGTCTGATCGACATTCTCACCAAGGCCCGATGCATGCCTGCCACGCCAATGGCGGCGAATCCGTTTGAGGAGACTCCGTACTTCAACTGCTACGGGCCTTCGGCCAAGAAGGACTGTCTGGGCCACGGCGGCGTGTGCAACACCATTGTGGACGGCTACTACAGCACGAATCTACTGTGCATGATTATTGGAGTGGTATTGTACTATGGATGGATCAGAAAAACGGTGGTCCATCTTCAGGCTCTTCCGATCAGCGCATGGCGGGTGGGCAAGTCCACGCTGCCTATCTGAACAGTCGGATCGACGCATAGATGCTCAGGTAGCTGAAGACGAGGCCTGCGATGTTTTCGAGCAGGGTGTGGAAATGGACAGAGGTGACGAAAATCATCCAGAACCAGAGCCACAGCAGAAGACCGATAAACACCAGGGGATTGTCCTTGAGCAAGCGGCAGAGGCTTGCGGTGTCTCTGGTGCGCGAAAACTCACGCCATTCGTTGTTGAAGTTGCGTATCTCGGTGGCCAGGTCGTCAAGCGTGTAGAACCGCGCACATTCTAGGATCAGAAACATAGAGCTTAGAGACAGAATGAACATATGGCCGGACGGGTCGTGGCCGCCTGTCCACCTCCCCTTGATGGCGCGGCACTGGGCCGAGGTCAGCGAGCTAGAGTAATAGAGTTCAAGGTCGGAGGGCTGCATCAGCCTGAATTTTTGCGAGTCAGTGGCCCGCGATTGCGGGATGTTAGCGCACGAGCCGCCGGTGAGAACAAAGATCTTGTCCATGATGGGCAGGCCAAAAAACCACTGCGAATAGAAGAACCAGCATAGAGTCACGCATGCAAACTGTTTCAAAGAGCCTGCCAGCGAGTCCGCACTGAAATAGCGCGACGTGCTGGGCACTCTGAGCAGCAGTAGAAGGTACACGACAGACGTCCAGAGCCAGCCCTTCTTGACGAATAGGACGTTGAAGATGTTTCTTTTCGAGGTGAAGTAGTTGTGTGTCGTTTCCCGGGGCGAAGCAAGCCAGACCAGTTGGCCGAGCACAATCACTATTGGGTAGAGCAAAGCGACGAGGACTTGGAATTTGGTCAATTTCGCTGCTCTGGCGGCGACGTCCAGCTTGGCGTCCAGCAGTTGCAGATGTCGACCGACAGGATGGTCTTGGCGGACGGCCTGGGACATGAAGAGGCGAAACAACAAAAAATTAAATAGAAAGTAAAATAAATGAAATAAAATAAATGAGACAAAATAAATAAAATAAAATAAAATCCCTTTCCAGATGGCTGAGGTCGCCGACGAGGACCTGCCCACCAGATGGGAGATCGAGCTGGAGGTAAGTGTAGATTTCTGATTGCTAACTTATCAGTTTGTGCAGTCGCTCGCTAATATGCAGTATCTCACTTACCTGGCCCAGACGGGGTTCCTGGAAGACGAGAAGTTCCTGAACTATCTAGAGTACCTGGAATACTGGCGACGTCCCGAGTACGCCAAACAGCTTGTATACCCGAATTGTCTGCATGTGCTGACCATGCTCAAGAGCCCGCAGTTCCGCAAGGACATCGCAAAGGCAGAGCTGAGCTCTGTGCTGTACAACGACATGGTCGAGCGCTGGAAGGAGCCGCTGCGTGAGCCACTGAAGGGCACCAAGGAGGATTCTGGAGCAGGCGGCCAAGAGCAGCCGCAGTCCTCGCCACAGATAAAGAGCGAGGACACTCACGAAGTACCCCAGGTCTCACCCGTGCACGGACTAAAATAATTATTTCAGCATCATTCCACCATGAAGAGCGAGTACTGGAGCAATTTGGCGGGCGGCGCAGTGATTGGGCTGGCGTGCACCGCGTATCTGTTTCTGCTGGGCCGCGTTGCTGGGATCAGCGGCATGATCGGCCGCGTTGTGTCCGGGGAGAGCATCTGGCCGGACGCTGCGTTTCTGGCGGGGCTGGCGACGGGGCCCGTTGTTTGGAGCTGCGCTACCGGGGACTGGCCCGAGCTATCGCTGAGCACGCCGTGGTACGTGCTGCTGCCGGCAGGGTTTCTTGTTGGCTATGGCACGCGGCTGGGAAGCGGCTGCACGAGCGGGCACGGGGTGATGGGTCTTGCAAGGCTGTCTCCGCGGTCGATGGTGGCGGTGGGCTGTTTCCTCAGCGCGGGCATAGCAACGGCTACCCTGGCACACCGTTATCTATAACGGGGCTTCTGGTGCCACTGTATCTGCCCAAACGACCGGCACAGGGAGCCCATGCGTGTGTTCATATAGCCACTTGCGCCTCCTTTGTACGCTAACACACCGTTTTCTGTCTACAGTGTCCAGTCTGTAATTCTGCTACCGTCCAAATTATTCCTCTACAATTCCAATAATTTAAACTAGTCTGCATGTTGCTCAGAAACATCGCAGCCTTCGCGTGCGGCCTAGCGTTCAGCATAGGCCTGATTCTTGGCGGAATGGCCAACCCCGCCACCGTGCGCGCGTTTCTGGACCTGGCCGGCGACTGGAACCCGTCGCTGGTGTTTGTGCTGGGAGGAGCGTTGTCTGTTGCATTTGCCGGGGTGAGGCTGCAAAAACGGCTTTCGCGGCCGGTGCTGGAGAAATCGTTCCAGCTGCCGACGGCGCGCCAGATCGACGCCCCTCTGGTGGCCGGGAGCTGTCTGTTCGGCGTCGGCTGGGGGCTGAGCGGGTTCTGTCCTGGCCCGGCCGTACTGTCCATATTTGTCGGCCAATGGCCGAGTCTCACGTTCGTGTTGGGCCTGCTACTTGGTATGGCTACGTACGGTATGAGGAGGGGCCAAGCTAACACCGGCAAGACCAATTGACGCTGCTGCCAGTTGTTCAGCTGGGTGCCCCGGCGAGGACGTAATAATATTTTTCTTTTCGCAATTATCATTTTCGCCACCTCAGTAGAGAGCTCCTCCTGAATGAGTCAATTTATCCAGCTAAACCTCTCCAAAGACCCGATATACGACCACTGCTTCTCGCAGGACCGCAAGAGCGTCGCCATCACGCGCCAGAACAACGTCGAGATCTACGACCTGTCTGCTGCCGGCAAGCCCAAGCTGGTCGCTGTTCTGCAGCACCACGACAAAACAGTCACGGCGGTGGACATCAGCAAGGACGGCAAGATCGTCACCTGTTCGCAGGACAGAAATGCGCTTGTCTGGGAGCCCGCTGCGGGCGGCGAGTACAAGCCGACGCTGGTTCTGCTGCGTATCAACAGAGCGGCCACGTCTGTGAAATGGAGCCCCTGCGGGTCGAAGTTTGCCGTCGGCTCGTCTGCGAGGGTGATTGCGGTGTGCTACTTTGAGGTGGAGAACGACTGGTGGATCTCGAAGCACATCAAGAGACCGCTCAAGTCGACGGTGTTGTCGCTCGACTGGCACGAGAACAGCGTGCTGCTGGCGTGCGGGTCGACCGACGGGCACGTGCGCGTGTTTTCCACGTACATCAAGGGCGTCGACACGAAGCCGCCAGCCACTGTGTGGGGCGAGCGGCTGCCGTTCCAGACGCTGTGTCTGGACTACAACGTGGGCTCGTGGGTGCACGACGTCAAGTTCGACCCGAGCTGCTCGTTCGTCGCGGCCGTCGGCAACGACTCGGCCGTGTACTTTGTGTACCCGGGCCCGGGCGAGCAGGAGGTTGCGGGCGTCTTCAAGGCCAGAACGTCGTACCTGCCGTTCCGGACGCTGATCTTCGCGTCGCCAACCAAGGTGATTGCCGCGGGCCACAACTGCCACCCGATCGTGTTCGAAGGAGACAGCAGCGGCTGGCAGCAGACGTACGCGATTGACGACCCGGCCACGAAGACAAAGACCAGCAGCGAGAGCCAGTCGGCGCTGAACCTGTTCAGACAACTGGACCTCAAGGGCTCGAGCGATGCGCACAGCGGCGAGCTGCTGACGGTGCACCAGAACACGATCAACGTGCTCAGACCGTTCCAGACGGACGCCCACGGCGTGCTACGGTTCAGCTCGTGCGGGAACGACGGGAAAATCGTGATTTTCGACGTGTAAAAATACATAGACAGAAAGCTAGACGGTGTCGTCCTGGATGGACGTAGTGAGCTCGTTATTTTGCGCGAGGTCTCCGGTGTTGTTCACCACCACCTGGTACACGCTGGACTTGAACAGCGTGGAGATCACCGAGATCTTGGTCTCGAGCTCGCGCAGCTCTTCCAGAAGACTGTCCTTGGTGAGCGCGCCGCGCGACAGACCGTCCGAGGTGGAGTCGACCTCCTTGTTGAGCGTGACGATGTCGTTCTTCAGCTGCAGCAGGTTGAGCGCAAGGTTCTGGTACTGCTTGAGCGTGTCGATCTCCAGCGGCGACAGCTCCGACGCGTACGTGTCGTAGTCCATAGACAGAAGCTCCTGGGACACGTTGTTGGACATGCTGGTAATATTTATTTGGCTGGCGTATTTTCGTTTTCACTTTCGTTTCGCTTACATAAGATAAATAAGATAAATGGCACTCTCACCTCACCTCCTCGAGCTCCCTGTCGGCGACCTTGTCGTCGGCGTACTCGACGTTCTCGGCCTGCTCCTTCATCACGATGTCGATGTCGCCCGCGTGCGCGTTGCCGCGGCCCGTGCGGCTGAAGTGGATCCGGTTGACCTCGGAGTGGTCTGGGGCGAGCTGGGCTCCACGTCTGCCGATCAGGTACCACGGCAGGGCAAACAGCTCCTCCATGCTCTCGAGCGACCTGCCCGTGACCTCTGGCAGGAAGTACCAGCAGAAAACGAGCCCCAGCAGACACACGCCGGCGAAGAAGTAGAACGCTCCGTAGTTTGTCATGGCCAGCAGCATCGAAGGCACAGCCTTGGAGTTGCCGTACTGGTTGGCGAAGTGGAACGCCATCACGACGGCGGTTCCCAGCGACCGCACGCGCAGCGGCAGCACCTCGGAGTTGAAGAGGTACTGCACGGAGTTCCAGCCCATGGTCCAGCCGATGCCGTTGAAGTAGATCGAGGCGAGCGCGCCCTTGCCGGCGCGCACCTGCGATGCGGTGAGGTGGACGTGCTCCTCGGCGGCCTGCGGCACGATCGTCATGTAGATGGCGAAGTAGAGCGACGAGACCAGCTGGATCGTGATGCCTGCGTAGAGCGACTTCTTCCTGCCGATGAAGTCGATCAGGAAGAAGGCACTGAGGTAGGCCGAGGTGAACTTGACGACGCCGAGGAACGCCGTCATCATCATCTTGTCGGTCTGCTTGGACTTGCCGACCATGGCGAACAGCTCGGGCGCGTAGATGGTGATGGCGTTCGAGCCGCTCCACTGGCCGAGGATCTGGATCATGATGCACAGCGCCATTCTGATGCGGATGCTTTTCACCGTCACGAGCGACTTGACGTTGGTCCACAGCGACGTGCCGCGGATCGCGTCTCTTTCGACCTGCAGCTGCTCGTTGATGTCGGCGATCTCCGACAGGATGTAGGGGTGGTCTGGCTCAAGGTGTCTGAGCTTGCTGAAGTTGATGAGCGCCTGCTCCATGTTGCCCTTTTTGATGAGCCAGCGGGGCGACTCGATGCAGAAGAACATGGACAGAATGAGGATCGAGCCGGCCAGCACGATCTTCAGCGAGGTTGGGTAGATCCACTGGTGGCGGCCCGTCTGGTGCAGCGCCGTGCCGTAGTTGGCGAAGTAGGCCGTCATGATGCCGAAATACACCGCGCCCGCGAAGATGTTGTTGCACGTTCCTCTGATCGCCTTGGGAGCGCACTCAGAGATGTAGCAGGGCCCGCACACGACGGTCGTGCCGATGCAGAACCCCTCGATCAGACGGCCAGCGTACAGCTGGCCGATCGAGTGGCTCGTGATCTGGATGACGGCGGCCACGGCCCACACGAGGCACCCCACCTGCAGCGTTCTGATTCTGCCGAGCGCCTCGGCAGCGTAGATGGACACCAGCGACCCGCCGATCGAGCCCAGCTGGACCATCGACGTGATGTTCGACTTGAGGTTGGCGAGCTCAGAGGCGGACTTGTTGGGGTCCTTGAGCCCAAACTCCTTGATAAAGGCGGTCTGGGCCACCGTTCCGGCAATGTTGCCCTCGTCGTAGCCCCTGGCGCAGCCAAGAATTCCAAACACAAAGATAGACAGAAACAGGGTTCTGTTGTATATTTGTGGAGGGGCGTCGTCCTTGTTGAAGGAGAACCTGGAGGACCACCAGTGTTTTGAGTCGCTGACGGCCTCGATTTTCGAGTTTGTGTCCGAGTGGATGGATTCAGACATTGATGAGCAGTGGTGAAGCAGGGGAAGCCAGGAGTGGTGTATTTATACGTGTTCTGTCTCCTCGCGAATGACCCAGGTGCCGTGCTACCCCACTGAAAAATACGTATTCTTGTCGCCGCAACAAGACACGGCAAACAATAGATATGCAGCACCCACGCAAGATCCGACAAAGATGGATAATATTTTTACATCCCCGCATGACCGCTTTGCCTAAAGACAAGCACGCCCCTCACGGCTGGCTGATCAGGTTACTCCATGTTGCGATTCAGGGTTCTGCTACCCCACACCAAGCGTTGTCTTTTTTCCGTCAATGAAAAAGGGTCTTCCAGGGTCCTGGAGATCTGGCTGGCCTGCCAAGGGAAGGGGACTGGTCTGGGCAGAACGTCCATTCTGTATGTGTCTTGGTCATGCAATTCCAAGACCGCGATCACTATTATGTCAGATCACGCTCATGTGACTGAGAAAAAATTCGCACCCACATACGTCTTCAGCACGTCTGCCTGATTCTGGGAAAAGCGCGCTTACCTATATCTTCTCCGCCATTAGCGATCGCCGACAGCGCCCGGGGAAAAGACAGGTCACGTGACACAAAGTCTCGACGAACCACAGGGACAGTGCTCGTAACAAACTTCCCGCACAGCCGGCCGCCTCACGTGAACGCAAGTCACGTGGAGTACACCGGGCACAGGCGCACGTCCGATGTCGGATCTGCTAAGTTGTATCCGATAAAAAGTCAGACTCATGTTTGATGATTTATCGTTACAGAAGGACGACCGCGAGTCGTTGAATGCGTCCGCGCCAGTGCTGGAGGCAGAAGGCGTGCAGAGATATCTCCAGATGGCGAACTTCAAGCTGCACCGGTGTCTCGACCGCCACAACGAATCTTTCAGGGATTTCTGGAAGCTCGATGAAATCCCGGACAAAAACAGCTTCTTCTACCACCACTTCCCGAAGGTGGCCACCAACCACGACAACGAGCACCACGTGTCCAATTTCGGCATTTTTTTGAGCCACTTCTATCTCGGAAGGTGGCTTCCTGACACCATACAAAAGCTGTTGTTTCCTATCGAGCCGGTGGAGCAGAAGCTGAGCGCGAAAAACATGCCCACCATCGCCGAGTGCCGTCTTTGTGAGAGCCTGCAAGGACTGTCTGTGTGGACGCGGACGGGCGAGTGGTTCTGTGTGGACCGCAGCACCCAGCTGCATTCGAGCGACGAGCTGGGCGACCGATTTTTCAGCACGTACGGCGAGTACTGTCGGTGGCGCAAGACGTACAGCCAGCGGCTGCGGGAGCTGGAGCAGCAGGCGTACGAGCTTGACGACTTCGACGCGCTCGAGAAAGAGCTTCAGCGCCTGGAAAAGCTCTGCTTTAGCGCCAAAGTCGACGCAGATACAATTCTTTCCATCAAGAGAGGCTAGTGCATATTAATATTATTATTCCTCGTCGTCGCTGACCTGGATAGGCTGTTTCAAAGGGTTTGCTTTCAAGTGGTAGTGCTGTTTGCGTCTTTCCTCGAACAACCTGTGTTTTTCCTCCGGCGACAGCTCCTTGTTTTCGTCGTCCGACTCAGGCTCCGACTCAGACTTATGCTCGGGCTGTTCCACAACCTCGATTCTATCTTCGCTGTAGACTTGTGCGCCGTCGTCGACGCCCTCGCCCAGGTCGAGCGCCTCCACCTCGTCCTCCTCGTTGTCCGAGCGGTAGTAGTCGTTATTTGGGTCAAACCCCCCTTCGTACGGAGTCTTGGGCTCGTCTATCTTCATGGTTGCGCTTTTCTCCAGCTCGTTGATCAGTATGTTCTTCTCGTCCCACTTGAGGTGCTCCAGGTTGCCCTCGTGCTGCAGACGCTCTTTCTGCTCCTGAATCTTGGACCGGATCAGGTCGCCCTTGGAGGACGAGTCTCGGAACAGCTTGGAATTGAGGCGCGTGTTCTCGATCACTTTCTTGCGGTCGAACTCCGCAGCGTCCGTGCTCAGCGTGCCGGGCTCGTCGGCGCAGTAATCTGCGTCGCGGGGCGCGTTTTTCAGGATTCCTCGTGGCATGGCGATATGGCAACGAATGGAAGAAGCGGCGTTTCTGGGGTAGAGATGTGCGCGGATTGCGCGTGCAGAGGTGTCCTGCAATGACTAATCGACGAGAAAATAAAACGTGCTCATTATCCGCATTGGGTAGTAGCGGCTCCCATTTTCTACCGAACCGTTTGCTCCTTGAACATTTTCGCCGAATTTTATGCAGGTCTAATGATTAAAAAATTCGGGAAGCTTCTATACCTCCTGTCAAAGTGAAAAGGGGAGGGTCGACGAGGGCCGATATCTGGCCCCAGAGACACGCTTTCGCGGCAGGATCAAACGGAACTGGCTGGGCTGCGGCAGGGCTTCCACCTGGCCACTTCTCCCAGCTCCAGGGCCCGCAATTAGCACTTGCTGTAGCTCGCTTCTTGCCGTTTGGGGTGAGCATCTGGGTGGGGCACACGACCTTGGAAAGAATATGGGCTCAAGAAGGGTTCCAGAGCTAGATTAGCTTCCGAGGCCTCTCAGAGGCCATGTGCGGACACGTAGACAGGACGAGCGTAATGGTGGCCGTTGAATGCCCCGGAAAGCCAAGTTTCGCGTTTCCCGCTTTGTTCCGAGACGATCTGCTCAAATCCGAATTTTGGGGAGGGTTTCGGGCTAGCAGCATGTGGTGGGCCGATTTCGATATGTACCAATGCAATTTAAACCTCTTGTTTTCCAATTCTTTCTCCCAAGCTCCCATTCTCCCCATGCACACCATTTGGATTAATCTGTTAGTGGCCGTCGCGGCCTGCCGCAGCGTCCTTGCTATGGACATGGAAGCACACGGCCACACCACCTCTACGCTTTCTGCCCCCCTTGACCTCAGCACTGTGGTCCCCGTTGCACACGAGGCCCACCACATGCACGGTGTGCCTATCCTCGAGACGGAACTGACTCCAGCGGAGAGATTGTTCTGGGAGGCCTACAACACCACGTCCTACTTTACTGTCGACACCCCATACAAGTCGCAATTGTACGTCCATCTCGGCCTCGTCTACGCCGCCTACGTCCTGGTGTACCCGCTTGTGCTTGTTCTGCGCAACGTCAACTCGAAGTGGTTTCTGCCATTGTTGACCGTCCAGTCCGCCATGGTGATTGCCTCGCTCTTCTGCTACTCGCTCTTCATCAGCAACGCGCCGGAGCTGTACCCGAACAACGCCTACTCGAAAATGAGCACTGGCCTGTTCCTCCTCGTCATCATCCACCTGTTCAGCTCGTTTGTCTACACAGCCAAGAAATGGCTCGAGGGCCCTTCGCCGGCCACGCACGCGCCATTACCGGGTAAAGATATCCCAATGAGCGAGCTGAACGGGTTCGCGTCGCCGTCGAGCACGCTGTACGAGTCGGACGACCGTCTGCAGCGTCTGAGCGCCGACTCGTTCGATCTCGAGGACCCGGGCTCGTCCACGCTGAACAGCCAGCACTCGGTGGCCGCCCCCACGCAGAAACGCGACTTTGTGCTCGCCAGACTGTTCCAACTTGGCCCCGTCGCCAAACTCGTGTCGGTCTTCGGACTGGCCTCGACGTTTAATTTCCACGTCCTTAATTACGGTATGCTGGCCTACTTTTTAGTCTACGCTCCAACGGGCGTCGCTGTGCTCAGCTGCATCGGCATGGGCAATCACGTGTTCAACCTGCTGGCGCACTTCATCAAAGGCGGCGTTTTCTTCACACTGGGAATCATCTCGCTGGCCAGATACTGCGGCGCCTGGACCAAGCTCGGTTGGGCCTGGAACAAGTCGTATATCCTGCCTCTTGAGAAGCGCACGTCGCTCCTGTACAGGCTCCAGCCCAAAAACAGCATGATCACCATGGAAATGGTGGAGAGCTCGCTGATCCTGTTCTACGGTTGCACGAACGTGTTTCTGGAGCATCTGGCTGCTCCAGGCGGCCCATGGACGGCCAAGGACCTGCAGCACGTGTCGATCGCTTTCCTGTTCATCGGCGCCGGCCTCTGCGGCGTGGTGGCCGAGCTGAAGCTCGCCGACTGGCGCCTGGAGAAGTTCTATTCTCAGGTCGGCTCAGACTTCCAGGTCCAGAGCTACCGGCCTGCTCACGTGACCCCAGGATTCAGTCCTAATCCGTTCCCAGCCTTCACGATTTTCTGGACCGGGCTGCTGATGTCGCAGCACCAGCAGGCCTCCCAGCTGTCCATGATCATCCACGTGCAGTGGGGATCACTTCTGACCTACGGGTCCGTGGTCCGGTTGGTGACCTTCCTGCTAATGACCTTCTTCCCAAAGAGCCAGTCGTTCCAGCCATCCAGGCCGTTCACAGAGCTGCTCACCTCCTTCTGTTTGCTCTGCGGAGGCCTTGTCTTCATGGAGAGCACGGACCCTGTCGTCATGGCGCTCGAGTACAGAGGCTGGACCCCAATGTTCACAATGAACTTGAGCGTGGGCACGGTTTCGCTGCTGATGGCTTGGGTCATGTGTGTGTTCTCTATAAGAGACCGGCTCAAAACCGGCTCGCACTAATATTGCAACGATAATGAGGCAAATGTATTCTGTATAGTTGATACATTTCTGCAAAACATAAAGAGGTTGATGGGTGTATTAATTACAGCACGTCTGCAGCCAGATCTTATGCGCTTGCTACGTTTTTTTCCAAATACTCAATTTGAAGTTGCCTATCTTCTAGCCCCCCCACGTCTAGCAAGCTCTGGCGCCTTGAACGGCACCCTGAGTGTGGCGATTTTGTAGTTGCTGGCTGCCGTCTTCGGCACGCCAAACGCCTCGCATTGCGCAGCCGTCGCGTTCTTAATGACGCAGCCGAGCGAGCGGAACAGCGACGTCAGCCTCGACGGCTTGAGCGACAGCTCCTGTGCCAGAGGCGACACTTCCACCTGGTATTCATCCAGCTTGAGGATCAGCGCCAGCAAATAGCACAGGATCTTGTCCTCGCACTTGGGGTCGATCAGATAGCTCCTATTATTTTTTTTCAAGATGCTGAAATTTTTCAGCACGTAGTCCACAAGCACCACGGGCGGCTGGTTGAGCGACTCAATCAGCTGGTCTTTGGCATGGACGCGACGATTGGCGTACAGTCCCATCAGAAGCGAGACATAATACAGCATCTGCAGCTTGAGTTTGCGGTCGGGAGTGTCTTTGGTGATGGAGGAGAGCTTTCTTAGCAGGTAGCGCGAGTTGGAGTACGGCAGCAGGTCCAGCTTGTCCTTGGCCTGGATGCTGTCGTTCTGCAAACTGTCGACTCTGATGCTGGCCAGCTCTCTCTTGGAGATGATGTTTTCGAGCGGATAGATGTCGTCGACGGAGGTTGCCTCGACGTCGAATTGCGGAGTGACTCTGTGCTCGTTGAGGTCGTCCAGCATCTCGCTTTTCGACGGAAGCATCGACGTGTTGACCTTGATGGAGTCGACGATGTCGGACTGCTCGGTCTCCAGCTTCGACGCGTCGATCTTGTTCTTCTCGAGGTCCAGAATGGCCTTCTTGGCCTTCTTCGTACCAAAGGCCTCGCCCAAAGCGTTTCTCTGCACGTTTCGCTGGACGTCCAGCTGTCTGATGTTGGGAATCGACGGCTTTCGCTTTGAGGAGACGCGCGTCGCCACCAATGGCGCTCTCAGAAGCTCGACCGTTTTTCTCTGCGGATCAAACACCCCCACATAGTATGTCTGGTCGTCCCCAATGCTTTCTCCCTTGTACTCCAGGCTTTCAGACTCCCCGTGGACCAGGTAGGTGTCCTTGTGTTTGTACAGGTCGAAAGACATGTTATCTGGCAGCTCAACGCCGTTCACACAGGAGCTGACCACGACGGAGTCGGCCGCGTCGCCGACCGTCTTGACGTCCAGCTCGACAAAAGAGTCCATGCTTATTTTAAAAAAAAAAATACGCAATAAAATCAAATAAATTAAATTTTTTCAGAGCACAGCCTGGACCTCATGGAGTCTCACTACACGGTTCTGGGGGTGCAGCCGGCAGCGTCTGTGGCACAGATCAAGGAGGCGTACCGCCGTAGACTGCTCTCCTCGCACCCGGACAAAACGGGAACGCAGACCCGCGGCAGCGAAGTCGCCAGAATCACAGACGCTTATCGGGTGCTGGTCGATCCCGTGAAACGACAGGAGTACGACGTCGCGCGGCAGGAAGAGCTCTCCAAGCTGGGCGTGGCGACCGGCGACGGCCTCGAAACATACTCGCTGGACGACTTTGAAATGACAGACTACGAGGACGAGCCGCGCTGGACCAAGAGCTGTCCGAGGTGCACATATCCGGGCGGCTTCGAGCTCAGCGAGGCCGATCTCGACAAGGGGACGGTTCTGGAAGACGGCCAGTACGAACTCATAATACAGTGCAGTAGCTGCAGTCTGTGGCTAGTGGTGAAGTACGCAGAAGAAGCAGACTGATAATACATAATATACATCGTGAGATAATCGTCATTTTTGCTCGGCGCGGACTATGGCCAGCATAGCCTTGCCGATACAGTCTAGATCGGTCAGCAGGGCCACGTGGCCCAGCGTGGAGTTGAACTTGCCGACCAGCGGGTAGCCTCTGTTTTCCGGGAAGACCCATTTCTGGTTGGTGACGCCATCTCCAGGACCGTAGAAGAAGTGGTAGTAGTTGCCCATTTTGATATCGTCGATGCCGTCGACAAGCGAGTAGCGCACAGATGGCACAGCGTTGCCGTAGACAACGGCCATTGGCGGATACTCGCGCGACTCGTCGTACTCGAGACTATCGAGGAACTCCGAGGTGCGCTTGAGCGTGCGAGAGAGGTAATCGTAGGCTTCGTCGAAAGAGATCGCAAACCGCGACTGCTGCTTGACGTGCGGCGGAACGGGCTTGCCTGCCTCCTGCGCTAGCCGGATGGAGCTGACTATCGGGCTCAGGTTGTACTCGATCCAGTTTTTCGGGTCGAAGAAATCGATATTGTACAGCTCGCCGGTGTTTTTGTCCTTGAACAGCTCGCCGTTGCGCGGAATAAACACAAACGACGAGCGCATCATGAAGTTCACCTCCGACGTCAGCAGGTCTTTGCAGAGCAGAATGTGGTCTGCGAACCGTAGCGGCCCCAATATATTCGAGCACGGCGCGGGCGTGCCGACATAGACTATTCCGCGGACCAGCGACGGGCCTTTCTGCATGGCCGCGTGTGCCACAAGGCCGCCCATCGAGTGCGCAATAATGAGCGCCGGCTTGCCGGTCCGTTTCTTGATGTCTTTGAGCAGAGCGTGCAGCTTTTCGGCCGAGATGTCGAGCGAAAGCCGCCAGTCGTAGCCGAAGTTGTGCACGCGGACTTTTGGGTTTGCGTCCAGCGTGGTCATGAGCTTTTTGCAGATATCGACCGGCCCGATGTGCGACAGAACGCCGTCCGCGTAAATTTTTTCCTCCGTGTGCAGCTCGTCCTCGTCTTTGGGGCCCAACAGCAGGTCTATTTTCTTGATGTTCAAGCCCGCCTTGAGCACTGGAATCCAGGCACGTCGCTTGGTCAGGGCGTCCCGCAGTATGCTGCCCCGGTAGCCGCCCAGAATGACGACGTCTCCTTCGAATTCGTGGAAAATGCGCAGATAGTCAGGCATTTCGTGGTTCGGGGGCAGCTTGACCGTGGGCTTGAGAGATTTGAACAGCGCATCGATCTTGTTGTCTTGGAGCTTAGTGACGTCTTCAAACAAAATGGCCTCCTCAACCGTCGAAATTGACTCCTGTCGCGCCAGCTTCTGGCGGATCTCGATGCGTTGCAGCTCCTTGTCATCCGGCTCGAAGATAGTTCGCGTGGGGCTCAGAACCGACCGGATGGAGGACAGACGGCTCGGCTTGTGGGGGCCGTTGGAGCCAAAGGGTAGCGAAAACGAAAACACCTTGCGTGTCGGGCTTGCGTCCTCCACGGCCGTCTCCTGGCTGTCCTCGTCGGGCTCGATTTGCCGCGCAGGCTGACCGCCGATGATGGACGACTCGACGTCGCTGTGAGCGCGCGAAAACCGGTTTTTAGGTGGGACGCTCGGCTCCTCGGCTACCAGGGGCTTTGGCTCGTGGCCAAGGTCGAACTCGTCGTCGTCGTAGTCGCCCGCGATCTCGGAATTGGTGCTCGTGGAGTCCTCGTCCTCGGTCTTGGAAGTGGGGGCGCTCGGGGACGTGGGGGACAAAATCGCTTCCACAGATCGTTTCCACTTGTCTGTGAACGATTCCGAGATCGCCTCCACGGACCGCGTCGTGGCGCCAATCGCCTTGCCCGCAGACGCCGAGAGCGGGTTTTCGTCTACGGCCTTGGTGAAGCTCTTTCTGAAGATCCGGATCGGCGACGAGGTGCGTCGCGCAACATGGGTCATGGCAAAGGCTTTAGGCCGAGGGCTGGCAGAGTTTTCGCGACTGGGCTGCGCAACGCCGTCCGTCTGCTCGCCTGGCGAGTCGGAATGCGTGGGGGCCGGCGGCGAGCTGTTGGAACGCGATTTGTGGCCACCGAAAAGTCTCATTGCTGTACAATGGCAAAAGGAAGACAGACACAAGGATAAATTACCAGCCGAAATTTTTTTTATCTCCAACTATTTCCAACGCATGCCCAGCGTCAGCAGACGGTGGGTATTTGTTGGAAAATCCGCACAAACTTGAGTTTCCTTGGAGCTCCACGTGCCGAGGGAATGTGTCTCTGTGCAAAGATCGACCAGAACGAAGAGAAATCCCGCAGACAGCACGCTAGCGCAAGTACACTGTTTGTAGGGTTTCCCGGGGCGATTCTCGCCCCGGCCGTTCTGACACTGTAAACACTAAAACGCAATACCATTATACTACACTTAAACAACATATAGATCACCCTCTCAGGAGTTTGTCGGCGTGTTGTTGCCAAACAGCCCCAGGGGCGGGTTGGCAATCGTCGCATCGCCCGTGCTGATGATCTTGCTCTGCAGCGACAGAATGTACTCCTTGAGCCGGATGTTCTCCTGGCGCAGGCTCTCGAGCTCCTGCTGGCAGTCTCTGTGCTGCTCAAGCTTCTTCTCGAGCTCCTCGATGTGGTCTTTTCTCCGCTGTCTGAACGCCTTCTGCGCGGCCCTGTTCTGCGCAGCCCGCTTCGACTGGTTCAGCGGCTTGCCGTGGTACGAGGGCCGGCCGTTCTCGTCCTGGCCCGGCGAGGCGGACTCAGGAGAGCCGCTGTGCACGGGTGGCGACGCAGACGTCGGAGGAGGCGGCAGCCCGCTGTTGGCGCCAGACTTGCCGCCGTTGGGCTGGTACTGCGCATGGTACTGGGCCTGCGCCTGTTTTTGGGCGGCCTCCGTTGCCGGGCCTCTATTGTTGACCGCAATTGCGGCGGCCGCGGCCGCCACCTCGTCCTCAAATTGCCCGTCGGAGGGCTGCGTCTTGATGATCTTCTGGAACGAAGGGTCGATACTGCCCAGGTTGTTGGCGTTGTCGGTCATTGCTGGAGGTTAGTGTGCTGGGGCCCACATATTACGTGATGCTTGCATAATCTCCGCCAGGCTTGTCCGTGCGCTGCAAACTTTGCCAGCCAACACAAACAGGCCGGGCGTCGAACGGTCTCTGGTGCGCAAAATACTTACGTCTTGGCGGAGTGTGCACACGCTAGCGGTTGTCTGCAGCTGGATGAGTGTCTGGATCGCTCCGTCTTTCGTCTTACCTAAACAAAAAAATAAGAGCAAGAGCTTGGACTCGTGTTGCTGATGTAATTTATGAATGTTTTTTATTTTTTTCTAGTCCGACCCCCTTCCGCACCATCGCCGGTGCACGGGTGCGCATAGTCCTCCTGGGTATGACTCTGGAGAAAATAATTGAACAGTATTTAATTTTGTGATGGACTACGATCCGGCTCTCCAGCAGCTGAATGTGGAAGCTGACGACCCCAGTCCCTTGAGGTCGCGACACAAGTCCGAATCCGTTAGCAGCTCGTTCAAACACCTCCCCTCCGCGCAATCAATGGCGTCGCCCAGCACGAACTACTCGGCTCGTCCGTCCTCCTCAGAAAGCGGCTCCTCGATCGATCTTGTGGGCAGCGCAAAACCCAATGGGCTCGAAAAATCGTTTCAGGGACTCACTCTGACTAGACACTCCGCTACCGCATCCAGCATCTGGTCCACAAACACGAGTCCTGCCGGCTCGAATGTGTGGAATCGATCCGTCTCGCAGCGACACTCGCCCAGGCCTGTCCCGCACGAGGCCCGCACGCTGTCCGAGGGCGCGAAAAAAGACCACCGCGGCGACGACTACGCCACGTCGCCGCTGCAATATGGCCATTCTATTCCGGAAGATTCTAATAATAACCTGTGGAACGACCTCAGCAACGAAATATCCACTGCCGTCAACTCGCCCGAACTGCTGGGCATCAATCTGCCCGAGTCACGCCACGTATCGCTCAACGGCTCGTCCCAACAGTGGGATCCGCTCTCGCAGTCCACAGGGTCACTGGTTACTCCAGGTTTCTGGGGTAGCACAGGCTCTCTCGACGACACGCCTTTGTCGCACCGAATGTCACGGTTTTTCCCCAGCCCTGTGATGGAGTCCCGCAAAGACACGAATGGAGCCGTTCTCGGCGAACGGAGATCGCACTCCACTGGGCTCCCTGCGTCGCCTCTCACACTGAGCCTATTTGCTCCGGAGAACCCCAAACCGTCCGGCGGGTCCCTGTACGGGCCGGTGTCGAGCATGGCCACCCCGCTCGGGGGCACGACACCGCTGATTCCGAGCAGAAACTCTAGCTACGTCGACCCGCTGTTCGACGGCTTTTCCTTGGGAACGCTCCCAACCTCGTCAGATGATACCAAAAAGCCAAAAATATGCCACGGAGACGAGCCAGGCACGGAGCTGGCCGTCCGGAGAATTGACGAGGACGCTCTGGTCCCGTCGATCGGCGACGAGGTGTCGCTGCCTCCGCGGTTTCCCAAGCAAACGTTCCACAAGCAGGACACACATTCGAAAATCATCAAATACATTAAGACAATCATCATCAGGCAACCCACACAGTACATGGTCTACGTTGCCTCGCTTCCCTACGACACGCCGCATTCGCAATGCCTTGCACTAATCCACCAGGCCTTCAAGGACTACGGCGAAATCACGCATCTGGTCAGAGACACAAATGCCAAGTCGTCCAAGATCCAGCCCGAAAACGACCTATTTGTGCGGTTCAAAATCGTGGCCAAGCTCTTCAACGAGCAGAAGCTACCGTACAAATCGCACAGGTTCTCAAACGAGTCCACAGGCAGGGACTCGAAAATGCTGCTATTTTTCGACTGCCCGAGCTCGTCGCCACAGGGAGATCTTGGCTCCTCGGGCAGCAGCACAGCGAAGAGACAGGAGATCTCCACATACCCAGAAGGCTTCTCGTCGACTTTCCACCGTCGGGGAGTCAACAACTTCATGTTTGTGCGTGAACTACAAAGCAAAATGATCACCAGCAAGGGCCGCGGCACGCGGAGCTTCCAGGAGATGGCTGAGTTCCGCGTTTCGCTGCCTATCGAGGAGCTCGATCTCAAGATGGGCGAGCCGGACGCAGGCCGCTACGACGACGACTACAAGAGACCCAAACGGTCGTACGTGGTCAACATTGATCTGCGCGTGCTCGAAAATAAGCCTGCGCCGAAGGAGGGCAGGAAATATTCGCGGTCGGGCCGGTCGCGGGAGAAAAGTGCCACCTAAGATAATAGAATGAGCTTTAATCTAGAGGCTGAAAAAATACTTTATTTATTCTCCTTTTATGGACCTAGCCCGTATATTCCAGGGAAATTTCTCCGTGTTCCAGCTGGAGCCGGGAACCATCAACCTGAGCGACGGCACTCTCGTCGATAATACGTATCCGTCGCTGTACTTCACCAACGCCTCCGACTGGACCGCTCTGAACGAGTATCTGTCATCGTACCAGGCGACCATCATATCCACCGTTCTGCCACTGACAAGAGACGATTTTCACGACTCGGTGATTGCTATCAGTTTCGTGCTCTGCACCGTGACCGTGGGGTTCTGGCTTCTCTTTCTGATCCAGTCGATAGCCACAGAAAAACGACCTCTGCATCTGCAACTGATCACTACGCTCCTTGCCGTCTTTTCGACGGTCGTCTTTGTGCGCTTTACAACCTTGATGAAGGAAGAGTTCGACGGCTGTTTCCAGGACCGAAGACTGGTCATCGACAGGCTCTTCAACAAGCTCTACTACACGGTGCCAGTGTGCATTCTGCGAGCGCTCACATACGTATCGTGGTACTCGCTGTGCGACCGGCTGGTGTCGGAGTTCAGAACCAGAACCGCCAAGAGCGGCAACAAGATGTACAGGTGTCTGGTGGCCGCCAACGTTGTGAACGCGCTGTTCATGGTGCTGGTGGTGGTATTCATCTCGCTGCACTATTTTTTAACGACAAAAAGCAACTACTACGTGCGCTACTGGGTGAATGTGACGGTGCTCGTGTTCACGTCGCTCGTGTGTGTGTACATTTGGGTGCTGGTGATGTTGTTCTGGCTGCTCCGCGTGGACAGACGGTTCAAGTTCCAAAATCTGGGGCTTCTGGTGACCACCTTTTTCTGCTACTTCTTCAATACAGGGATGCAGGTGATGGGGTCGGCGCTGGTGGCACGCGACCCAAAGTGGATGGTCCAGGTGAACCTATTTTTCGAGATTTTGTCCATCCATCTGCTCGTGGATTTCGTAAGCGGGCTGGAGAAGTACAACCACAAGACGGAGTCGCATAATATTGTGGGGAGAGAGACGATTGCTGCAGAGCGAGAGACTAGCGACATGGAGACGCGAATGCACGTCTCTGGCATCGGGCTGGAACTGGACGGCGATAGCGAGACATTTTCCAATTCGAGCGATAGTGGAGCCGAGCAATCCAGATAGTGGGTGATAAGCCGGAAAAGAGAAAAAAAGCCGTCGCGATCCACGGCTCTGTTAAAATTAGCGCGCACCGCCACAGCACAAAAATTCCAGAGATAGCGCAGTGGCCTCAATTGTTATCTTATCTAGGAGAGTGCGGATGAGAAATTCCGAATTTAGTATGTTTGACGGGCAACGAAAATTGTTCGTTTGTTTCCTTTGTGTTTCGTCTCCGCAACCTACCGGCCATGATGGAGTCTGGTTGTCGCCACTATTCGCGCTACGACCCCTTTGACACCAGCATCAAAGACCTGGAGCAGATCTTCAACTTCAGAATACAGCTCTTCGACACCCGCAAATCGCTTGGGAACGAGCTCGACTCCGACCTCAATGTGTGGCTTAAAAAGGCCCATTCCGCGGGCAAAAGCAAGCATCTCTCTCCGCCAGCTACCGAGTCCTCCAAACGACGGAGGCTCGACACAACAACGACGACGTGCACGTTTCTGGACGACTTCGAGCTTTTCCGGTACAGGGATGAAATACAGGAATTACGGGAGGAAGTCATTTCCGTACATTATCAACAGTACATCGGGCTCCCGACCAAGCCTGTCTCGCACAAGAAACATCACGAAGGTATGACAAAAGTATAGATAATGATTTATCTTTATGTACTCTACTATATTCTCGATTCATCAGAGTCATTAAATCAGTATATTTTTTGCGTTCACCGAGCCGAGGCCCTCTTACAGTGTGAATATCTTCCTCATCATAGAATCGAGAATGGAGCGTGGCTAGAAATCGGTTCGGTAAACCGGTCTCCAGCCACGCTGTCCGTCAGATATCTGCGACCTTTCAGCAGTTCCCTCACAGCCGGCGCCCCAAAATTGTACACGAGGAGCGCTTTTACATAAATGTGGCTGCCAGGTACTGGTATGTCCGCCCGGTCGGTTAATCATCACAGGACGGCGAAAATCGTTATGAGTAAACGACTGACCACTCGTAGCTCATACAAGGCTGAAACTTAACGAGATGCGATTGTCAACAGTGGCGTTCGGCCTTCAGGCGGAACAATTGGTCAATGCAAATAATCACCGCTGTCGAATGGACCTCCGTTTTCTCATAAAAATTTTCACGAAAAAACATCGCAGGGCTATATTTTTTTTAAGTGCTCCGGTGGTGCGAGGTGTGGCAAGCACTCATTCGGCTCCTGCCTCGCGCTCTGCCCCCTCGTTTGCTTCTCTGCCGTCCAGTCCGTTTACTCGGTCAAAGATCTGCTGCAGGTTGAATTTGCACAGTCTGTCGTAGTCCTTGAAGTTCACCACGCTCATGCCGATGTTATTTTTGAAGCAGAAAATGTTGATCAATCTGTCTGGTGTGCGGTAGTTGAGGCGATGGCCGGGCAGAAGCTCGGCCACAACCGAGGTGAACGTGTCTCTGTCAATGATGCTGAAATTTCGCTTGATCAGGTTCAAAGAGTACGACTCGTCGTTGTCAAAATGGCCCTGAAACGCTTTTTCGGCCAGCTTGCGAAACTCCGTCTCTGTTGCGTTGCACGAGACATCGATCGGCGTCAATTTCTGCAAAAACCGCGTGTTCTTCGCCTTCGAGTCAAACAGCTCGCTGCAAACTTGCGTCACGAATTTAGAGGGCACAATTGGCCTTCTGGTCTTGATGAAGATCAACGAGTCACAGTTGATGCTCATCTCCTTGACGATCTCCTTGTTTTTCGCGTCCTGGTTCTGCTTGTTCATCTCATCAATTTCGCGCTTGATTGCGTCTTCCACAGACTCTTCCTCCTTCTCATTCTCCTCGTCAGTCTCCTGCTCCACCGGGAAATACTCCTTCCATCTATCGTTGAGCAGCTGCTTCAGCTCTTTGGCCGCAGCTCCCTCTTTGTGCCTGTTGCACGAGGCGTAGATGCCAACTTGGCCTGGCTCGATCAGCACGCCGCTTTTGAACCGCTTCGCCTGGCCTCCTCCTCCGTGTATCCTCTTCCCCATACACTGAAAAATATTATTTTTATCGACAAATATATTAATTTTTATCTAGCCCAGCTTTTTTTCCTGCTGCTCAAGCTGCCTCTCGTGCTCGCTTTTCCACCCCTTGCGCCGCTGTCTTTCCTCGTACGCCGCTCTGTTTTTCAGAACACGGCTCGCAATGTCCTCGGTCGAGATGTTGTCGTACTCGTGGCTGCCCAGGTTCTCGTAGAGGCCGAGCTCTCGCATCTCTGTGTAGGGGTCCTCATCCTCGAAGGTGGGCCCGTGGAACACCTTCAGCACAGGCACAGGGAACTCGAGGACGTAATTCTTGGTCGGCTTGTAGGGAGCGCCAAGAACAATCCCGTCTATGTATTTGCTCTGGAGCACGCACAGCGATCTTTCGAATAAGTTCATGATAGGATAATTGATGCCCTTGTGCTCATTGACGTCCTCGTCGTTGTTGACTCCAACAAGCACAGCCGCGCCGTCAGCCGATGCGCGCTCTTTGAGCTTCTTCAAAGCCACAATATGTCCCGGGTTGAAGAGATCGAAACCGCCGTCGATGTAGTATATCCTGGACGACGCAAATCTGTCTGCGCTGGGCTTCACGAGCTCGTGGACCTCGCCGGTGTCCGTAGCATACGCGAAAACAGCTACCCCAGGGTTCTTGCCGTCCTCGCACGTGGCATAGGCTTTATAACGCCTGACCGCGTCGGGCTGAAGAAGAGGATGCGATGGCTGTCCAGCAGCGTAGTCTTGCCAGTCCTTGGCGAGAATGGGCGGCAGATGGTGGTTTTTTGAGTACAGCAGCATCCGGCCAACCAGGTCTGTGGTGGAGATGTTGGGTGTGCGTTTCACCACAATGAACCTGCCCAGCTCCTTGACAACTTTATAGCAGTCCTCTCCATTGGCATCCGTCGTGATATCGTCGCCGTGGACCACGTATTTGCACCCGTACATGTCCATGACGGCAGGATCGGTCACGTACGGAGCGCCGGGAACGGACTTCGTCACCCACCGACACCCGTCGACGGCGGCCAGACGCTCATCTAGCGTCATCACCACGGGTCCTTTATTTTCCAAAATATCCTCGTCCGAATGGACCCCAACGTAAAGTTCGGTCCCGTGCTGCCGAGCTTGCAGCATTGCGCCTGCGTGGCCTGGAGTTAGTCAAAATAGCCGTCTACGTACCATGGTGGGCAAAATCAAAGCAGCCGTCTATCCAGATCCGCGTCTCGACGAGAGGTTTCGACATTTGTTAAATAAACTAAAGCCAGGCTGTGTTTTTTTTTTTTAAGTAGCAAAATCAAACCAGGCACCTGTGCAGTTACAGCGGGACCGCATTACACCGTCGTGCTTTGGGGACTGTACTCTTTTGGGAATCAACATCATTTTAATGTCAGCCATCCAGAACACTCTGCAGTCGATCCAGGACCAGCTGGAGTCCATACCGTTCTACGACGATCTGGTAGACAAGTGGAACGAGCTGGCCGGGGACAAGATCAAGACAAAAGACCCGTTTGTCGAGGAACTGCCCGACGGCTCGACGCGCAAACTGAAACTCCCTGACAACGCTACAAAGGAGCAGAAAAAGGCGTGGAAACGAATACAAAGAAGAGCATGGATAGACGATAAGTGTTTCCTCGGATGCTATCCAATCGACTGCGGGATAGGCTTGGGGCCGATTCTGGTGATGCTTCCGGGGATCGGGCCGCTTCTGATGTACGCGATTCACGCGCGTCTGATCCACATGGCCAGCCAGGCGTTTGACATTGATCCCGCAACCTACTCAAAAATGCAGGCCAATATCTTGTTTGATCTGCTCATCTCGTTGCCGCCCCTGGTTGGCTCTTTCTTTGCGTGGATGAACGGCTGCTCTACGCGAAACGCGGCCATGGTACACACTCGAGTTCGAAAGCTGCTTGCTGCTCAGAAGCAACAGCAACAGCAGCAGCAGCCCCAAAATCGTCCAGACCGCTTGCAGCGGCCCGCGCCCGCCGCTTCTCCAGCCTCTAACCCGCCGCCACTGCCCCGTAAATCGGCTACAACACGAGATCACCCAGCGGCGGTGGTAACACGAAGATAAACCTGCTACCAAGCCTGGATTTTTCCAGAAAAAAGTTCGCGTAAACACGACTCGATGCGAGAAAATTCAAATTTTTTAAATTTTGTCTAGGATTCTCCGATTATTAGATTTTTCCTATTAAAGGGCAAATTTTCCACTGACATCGCTAGGAGTGCCGTATACAGCACTAACAGTCTAGTAGAGAGCCGCAATCTACAGGTTTGCCACAGATCAAGAGGAATCAGACATGGTGAAAGATACTAAGCTGTACGATATTTTGGGTGTGTCCCCCGACGCCACCGACGCCCAGCTGAAAAAAGCTTATCGGTTGGGTGCCTTGAAGCACCACCCAGACAAAAACCCTTCCCCGGAGGCAGCCGAGAAGTTCAAGGAGATTTCTGCGGCGTATGAGATTCTCAGTGATCCGGAAAAAAGAGATTTGTACGACCAGTATGGTGAAGAAGGTCTCAGCGGAGGAGGAGCGGGAGGCATGAACGGAGCAGACATTTTCTCGCAGTTCTTTGGCGGGTTTGGTGGCTTTGGCCAGCGTGGTCCGACCGGCCCTCAGAGAGGAAAAGACATCAGACACACTATTTCTTGCACTTTGGAAGAGCTCTACAAGGGTAAGACTACAAAGCTGGCTTTGAACAAAACCGTGCTATGTTCCACCTGTAAGGGTAAGGGCGGTAAGGACGTGAAAAAGTGCTCCTCGTGTGACGGTACCGGTATGAAGTTCGTCACCAGACAGATGGGTCCTATGATCCAGAGATTCCAGACCACCTGTGACGTTTGTCAGGGAGAGGGAGACATCATTTCGCCTAAGGACAGATGTCAGACCTGTAAAGGTAAGAAGGTCAGCAACGAGAGAAAGATCTTGGAGGTTCACATCGACCCAGGTATGCAAGCTGGCCAAAGAGTCGTTTTTTCTGGCGAGGGAGACCAACTTCCGGACATCATTCCGGGTGACGTCATTTTCGTGATCGACGAAAAGAAACATGATACCTTCAGAAGACAGGGCCACGACCTGTTCTACGACGCCAAGATCGATCTGCTGACCGCTCTGGCAGGAGGTGCCTTTGCCATCAAGCATTTGAGCGGAGAGTACCTAAAGGTTGACATTATCCCTGGCGAGGTGATTTCCCCAGGCTCCGTGAAGGTCATCGAGGAGAAGGGTATGCCTATTCCAAGACACGGAGGCTACGGAAACCTGTTTGTGAACTTTGAGGTCATCTTCCCACCTAAGGGCTTTGCTACTGAGGAGCAGCTTGAAGCACTGGCCAAGATTCTGCCCCCAAGACCAGCGCTCAACATTCCAAAGAATGCCGTTGTCGACGACTCTTGCGTCCTGACTGACGTGGATCCTATCAAGCACGGTCAGCGTAGAAACAGAAGCTACGACGAAGATAACGACGAGGAAGAGGAAGGCCAGCCTGGAGTCCAATGTGCACAGCAGTGAGTAATATTATTAGATCGCTTTTTGAAGTAATACCTAATTCTAAAAAAACCGTCGATCGACGCGCCGGTGATGTAATCGCTATTTAAAGATATGCGAAATATCAACAAAGGCTAATTATTTGGTCTTTTCCGAATTTGGGAGCCAAATCTCACCTGTTGCTATTCTAATTTTGGTAAATATTTGCCAGGAACAGGGGCATCCAGTCGAGCGACATGGCTCAACTTCCAGCTGTGCTCATGGGAGGTGCCCTCTTGTACGTTCCTGAGTTCAGGTACAGCCAGAATGCTTACTATCCCCAAGATATTACAGGTTACTTTTGTTCCTTCAATATGCATAGATTACTTACATGCATCTCTCATTCTGTGGTACATACTAGCAGGGAATTTTCTAAAGAAAAAAAAAGCTGGAAAAATCCCTGTTGCCTACTATTAATACCTTCTTCTCCTCTTCGACGACCCATGGCTGTTCCTCCACCAGGATACGACACTGTGCTTCTTCGCGAACACCTGTATCAGGATCTCAAGAACAAGTATCTTGTGATCCCTCCGGAAGCCCACGAGCCCGGCTTCAGGCCAGTCCATGAAATAGGACTGGGACTATTTAATTACTACCTTGTTGACCAGCACAGTATCCAGGGCGCGGGGATCCATGGTATCGCGGAGGTTGCGCTGGATTTTCTCCTGCTGACGCTGGTGGGAGCCTGTTTCTTTGGCATTTATAAGGTGATCTCCTCCTGGAGGAGGAGGGCTTCGAAACCCGTGCTGCTTAAAAAACAACAAACCGAGGACCTCGAAAAGGGTGTTTCCAACGATGTCAAACTCACGTACGCGCCAGATCTGCCATCTCTCGTCCACAGCCCCTCCACACCAATCAACTCGGAATCGACTTCGTCGAGCGTGCACACTACTCCGATCACAAGCCTCATGGAGTTTGATAATCCGTACAAACACGACTACAACCCAGAGCTCCATCACAGCCTTCTCATGAGCAGTCTCAAGATCCAGTAATTGCATCCACTAGCATCAGCATCCTTGCATTCTTTTCTTACATGGAACTAATACCAAGCCCACTTTCCATTGGCGACCCACGCTGGCTGGCTGGAGGAATGCAGCATGCACAGCGCAGAGAGCGAGCCGTTTCTGTGCCCCACACTTCCTCCCAGCTCGGTCACCAGCCCCAAGGCTGCCTCGTCTTTTTCTCCTGCATGATATACCAAGTCGTCGTGCCATATCTTGATTTTCTTCACTGCAGAGCATTCCGCCATGCAGCACTCGAGCAACTGGCGTGTCTGGTCTGGCGTCTCTGCATCGATCATGATTAGAGTCACCTGATCCTCGCCAAACTCGTAATACCACAGTGCAAAAGCGCTTCCTATGTGTATGCCAAATATATTGCCGTCAAACTCTCTTTTCTGGAGCTTGGCCAAATGGATCGATCTGTTCTGGAACCATTCGATGTTCTCCACCGACGGCTTCACAGCCACAGACCCCGGCGTCGCCTGCACCATTCTGCGAACTTTCGCGTCGTACTGGTCGATGAATTTCGGCAGCTTCTCTTCCGTCACGTACGAGTATTGAATTTCTGTTTTTTTGCCCGTCTCCAGCAGGGCCACAGGAACGTGGTAGCTCTGGAATCCGAACCGCGAGTAGTACTCGCCCACCTCGCTGTAGAGGAGCGAGAAGTCGTGCTCTCCCTGAAACAGCTCCCTCATCTTCCCCACCAGCTGCTCCATCATCTTTGTAGCATACCCCTTTTTCCTGTGCTGTTCCAGAGTGTAGACAGACCCGACTGCCACGCACTTGCTTCCGTGGAGCGATTTGTCGAAATAGTACGCGTCACGCACCAGAAACTCGCAAGCACACACAATATCCCCGAAATTCTCGCTCGGCAGCGCTGTATCTCTGAATACCCAGTAGTACGTCCCGTTGACCACGGTCTCGTCCCTCCAGAGATCGCAGAACCGGTGGGTGTAGTTCACCCGCTCCCGCTCAACGTACTCGTCCACGTCCAGATTGCCGCCCCAGGTGCCGTGGTTGTGGCTGAGCACGTAGCGCAAAACCTCGAGGTCTGTAATTCTCTCGAGAAGTAGCATGGGAAATATAATGAAAAAAATAAAAGGAACAAAATAAAATAAAAAAGATATTTCTGAATTCTCCATGAGAACCACAGTTCCGCGCCTGGTCCGCCCGCGCAGACCCGCCAGGGACACACGGCCGCTGCTCCCGCCGCTCACGCTCTACCGCGCAATCCTGCGCTCGCACCGCAAACTGCCTCCCGACGCAAGACACCTGGGCGACAACTACGTGCGGGCCGAGTTCAGAGCACACGCCAACGTGGAGGACCCGCTGCAGATCGTGGGCTTCCTCACGGCGTGGCAGGACTATCTCCAGGCCGTCACCAAGAACACAGAAGACGACTGGCGCAAATACAAGCTCACCTCGGACGCGCTCAGCAAGATGAGCGACGAGCAGGTGGTCCAGCTGTACGAGCTGATGCAGGAGGCCCGCAACGTCCACGGCGAGGACGAGTAAATTACGTAGTGCTACGAAAATACAGCGCATCAGCACAGACAGAACTCCCACCCAAAGTCCTCCACCACGTCGCACCAGTCAACGTAGCAGGGCTCGCCGCGCCGCAGCAGCTCGTCCTCGATCTCCCAACACCTCTGCACCACGAGCCAGCAGTTCTGGACGTTCTTCACCTCGAACGAGCGCACGAGCCGCTCGTACTTGGCCGTGATGTCTGCGCGCGACGCCGCGTCGCAATGCACCACGCCGGCGATCATCAGCGTGAGGCACAGAATCGACTGCATCCGCGTGCCGATCACAATATCCAGCAGCTTGCCGGCGTGCTCGCGCAGAGCCGCGATCTCGCGGTCGCGGAAGTCGGTCTTTTTGACCACCATGCGCAGGTACAGCCGCATCGTGATCTGGTGCAGCTCGAACCACGTCAGGTGCAGCGTCAGCAGCTCGCGGTTGTCGCTGATTTCCTCCAGCTGCTTGAACGAGGGCTTGGACTGGAGAATCCGGGACTCCAGGTCTTCGAACGACGCCAGACAGAGGTCCTCCTTTTCCTGGCTCAGCAGGACGGCCGTCTTTGTCGCAGCCTCGTCGCCAGACAGCTCCAGCACGCGGATCCGCATCTCCAGATCCTTGAGCTCCTTCCGCTTGTCAATGATCTCCCCGTAGATGAGGAACAGCTCGGCCGCAGAGCCCTGGAACGGGTCGAGACCGTACTCGTCGGTCTCGAGGATCTTGTGCCCGTGGAATATCTCCCTGTACGTGTTGATGTCCTCGTGCGTGCCGGACAGCACTGTCCTGGTGGCATTCACGTCGTGAAAAAAGTAGTTGGAGATGATCCATTTTCCCTCGTTCGCGTGCCTGGTGTCCTCGAAGAACTTGCGCAGCCCGCCGTACTCCGAAAAGGCGTCGCGCAGCTGCAGAAAAATATGGTACCAGAACTTGATGTCGCCAGTCGAGACCTCCGCGCCGACAAGCACGAGGAAACACGTTGCGACCGCCATGAAGTCTTTGAGCGTCGGGCGGGCCGCGATCTGCTGGCGGCGGGTCTGCACCAGGGCCAGAGACTTGGCAAAGTACGCGCGGGCCTCCTCGTTCTGCGAGCCGAGCAGAAACATGCCTCCCCACGCAACAATCCCGTTGAGCACGGCCGCGTCCTGCGCCGCGAGTCTCAGGATGTAGCTGAAGAAGAAGTTGGACTCCTGCGAGTGGCAGATCGTGATTTCCTCGGTGATAAACGAGATGTAGTGGTCCAGAAACAAGCGGCCGGTCTCGTCCAGCGACTGTGTGAGCACGTTGGAGGGCACGGTGACAGCGGGCGAGAGCTTACTTGTGAAGAGGTGAAAAACGGTAGGCCGGAGGAATTTCCGCGTGTCTTTCCGGTGGAGCAGCTTGACGAGCTCCGAGTCGGGCAAGTTCTGGTTCTCCACGATCTGCGACTCGTCCATCGGCGCAAAGTCGTCCTCGCTGGCGTCGAGCGGCTCGATCCGCACCAGCGGGTCGCTGGAGCCCAAAACGGGAGCTGGCGCGGGCGGGGGCCGGCTTTGGGGCTTCCTTACGCTCCGTTTGGCAACCGTCTTTGTCGTCGTACTATCTCTCCTGACACACGGGGTGTTTCTCCGTGCGCACAGGCCACACACGGGGTACGCCTCGTCGCACTTCTTTTTCTTCCTGCGACAGCTCACACACCCGTTTTTCGACCGCGAGCTCATGCCCACGAACGATCGGCTGCTGATCAGAGGCATGGAGCGGGGGCGGTTTCCCGCGCCGGAGAACACAGGGCTCGCCTGCGAAAGCGCCAATCGCAGGCTCTTCTTGTCCACGGCAGCCAGCGTGTGGTCAAAAGTACAGAACATGGTGCCAGCCGATATAGTAACAATCTAAGTATTATATGCACTGCCGAGCAGAGAGAGCGCGAACTTCCTGTTTGGGAAATTCGAAGCCGCCCCGCTAGAAGTCGAGAGCGTCGGTCTCGACGCCGTCGAAGTAGCTCGTGAAGGTCACCACGACGCCGTAGATCAGCAGGCCCCCGTAGACGGAGAGCTGCGCGGCGAGATGCGTCAGGATGTGACAGTGGTACAGAATCAGCGGGAACGCTATCCCGGTGACCAGCAGGAAGCTCGAGAGAAAGCGGCCAAAGTCCACCACGTCGCTCGTGGCGCTCAGCTCGGCGTCGCCCAGGTACGAGGCGTACTCGGAGGCGTAGTACTTTGTGATCAATATCGGGAGGTGTGCAATGGCAAACACGAAAGCGTCCAGGAGAGGGAACCAGTTGCCGTAGAGCGCGCCGGCGAGCACGACCAGCAGAAATCCAACGGCCAGCACGGACGACAGCCCGATGATCTTCGTGAGAGGGTTGAGCTTTATCGGCATGGATGAGAGTTTAAAATGAAAGGCGTTTGCATCCGTGCACCGGGGTCCGTGAAAAAAAATAAGTGGCAAAACGTAGATTCTACCTAGCACAATGGTAAGTACCGACAACTCGCTGTTCGGCTAACTCTTGCAGTTCCGCAACAACTACGACAACGACGCAACGACGTTCTCGCCGACCGGGCGGATTTTCCAGATAGAGTACGCCTTGGAGGCGATTAAGCAGGGCTCTGCAGCCGTAGGGATCACGTCCAAGAACCATGTGGTCCTGGTGGCCCTGAAGCGGAACGCGGAGGAGCTGGGCTCGTACCAGAAGAAAATCATCAAAATTGACAACCACATGGGCATAGCATTGGCCGGCCTGGCGCCCGACGCGCGTGTGCTCTCGAACTTCCTGAGACAGCAGGCCATGTCGTCGAAAATGGTGTTCAACCGGCCGCTGAACGTGGCCAAGGCGGTGTACTCGATCGCAGACAAGGCACAGGACAACACACAGTCGGCGGGCGGCCGTCCGTACGGCGTGGGGCTGCTGGTGGCCGGAATCGACGAGAACGGCGCCCATCTGTACGAGTTCCAGCCGTCGGGAAGCGTGCTGGAATACGTGGGGGCGGCGATTGGCGCGAGGTCCCAGGCCGCCAGAACGTTTCTGGAAAGGAAATACGAGGAGTTCGCAGACGCCACCAAGGAACAGCTGGTAGAGTACGCGTTGACGGCCCTCAGAGACACGCTGTCGCAGGACAAGGAGCTCAACTCGCTGAACACGACGGTCGCCGTCGTCGGCAAGGACGAGCCCTTCACGATCTACGATGACGACGACGTGCAGCAGTGGCTCGACCGTCTGGATAGCCTGTCCAACGCCAGAAATAGAGACGAACCACAGCCAGAGCAGCACTCACAAGAACAAACCGAGCCGCCAGCAGAACAGCCAGCAGAACACACTGAGCAGGCCGACAGAATGGATACAGACGAGTAGACACCTAATCAAATTCTATTGTCATGCCACTATACACCACCTCCTCGCAGTCCTCGTGCTCGACGCCGTTTTCGTGGACCAGCACGGCGAAATCTAGATACGTGTCGCCAAGGACCACCATCGGCGCGTGCCACGTGCCGACCCCGTACGTAACCGACTGGTCGCCCTTGAAAAGGAACGCCTCCGTCTTCTCGTAGTCCGGCAACCCGTCCTTGTCGGGGGCCACGATCACCAGGTACGCGTGATCCACGTCACGTGACCGTCCCATCGGGACAAACGTCTGTGTGGTGTACGGGTGTCTTTCGAGCACCTTGGCCGTGTACCTTGTGACGCCGTCCGCCTGCTGGAGCAGATGTTTCGGCGGCGACGAGCGGAAGATGTTCCAGTTCGCTGTGGCTGGTCTGTGGCTGGGTGCGGCCGCGTAGTTGTTGACGACGGGCGCCACCTTCATCAGCTTGATGGCTGTGCCCTGGTTGGCCGAGCTCTGCTGCGCAGTGGCGAGCTGCAGGTCGCACGCCAGGAGACCGCCGTATTTTTGGAACCCCTCGACAGTCACCGGTTTAACCCTCACGACGACGTTCTCGTTGCTGACGGTTTGTATGACCACCATGGAGGACGTATAAAATCGGAGGGTCGCTATCAGATCAGCGATTTCCAAAAATGCGCGCGCCAGGTGATTTTCATGTGTGCTTATGTCAGCAGCGTGATGGGAGGTCACTGCTGGCGTGATTTTGCGGGAATGGGGCAGGGTATATAAGACTGTGTGGCGGGCTCCCCTTCGATCATAGAATACGATGGCCAAGAAACAAAGACAAATACAACACAGCGAACCCATACATTTAGATCATCTGGAAGCTCCCCCTAAGGTGCGTACATCGCACGAGATGAATTTTGACTCTCTTGAAGAGTTTGAGAATTACATCATGGACGAGAGTTATGACAACGAATTCGATAACCTGAACGTGCATCTCAAGTACCTGCCTCCGTTCATCGTGTCGGAGATCCACTCAAACGAGGAGAACATCAAGCCGCAGATGAACTCTCTGAACAAAAAATTCAGGAGACAGCTGCAGCATCACCTGCAGAAGCACCTGATACCGGAAATCAAGAAAATGAGCGGTATCGACTACAACTTTAGCAAGGCTAGCGAGGGCCAGGAGTTCAACGAGTACGGCACGTCGTCGGTGTACAAGTGGCATTATGTGGACGACACCGACCATGGGTTCGGCGAGGACGACTACAAGCAGCGGCAGCACTGGCGCGCAGTGCTGGACGTGGAGGCCAACTCCGAAGACCCTACAGTGCGGGTCGACTTTAGATGTGTAATGAATTAATGAATGAATAAATGACTATGAATTATGTCCAGACCTGGTCGTAGTGGACAATGAGGTCTTCGCACGCAAACGTCATGAGGCTGAAGTATTTGTTATTTTCTGGGCGACATCCTTCGATAAATAACCCACCCATAACTTTGGCAAGGTTTGATGCCGGCATCTTGTTATGCTGGTTATACTCGTCCACCATTTTCAGATGCTTCACAAACCGCGCTAGTAACGTTCTGTTCGGCGCCGGTAACTTGTCGAAGATCAGCTTGTAGTGGTCAAAACGCTCCTCCGACTGCGCCAGCTGCCTGATTTTGTCGAATTCGGGGATAATGGTATCCAGTATCAACGGTTCCGGCAGCTCTCTGAAAAACATCTTTATAACTCCCGTCAAGTTATGAACATCGAAAACCAGCTGGTCCTCCATGTTGAGGTCGCCGTGGAGATTGATCGCGTCGCGGATCTCGTTCAGCACGCTCACCGACGCAGACTTACGATACAGCCCCGTTTCTTCCAGGCCCCGAAACTCGATCTCGCTCATCATTTTCTCGATTATCGCCGGCATCTGGCGGCCCTCGCGCTCGCACACGTAGTCCAAAGGCACGCCAAACACAAAGTTATGGTGCGTGTACTTGTTGACCGTGCGCGACCAGTACCAGTGCTTGCGCGCAAAATTGATCTGGTACAGCCAGTCGTCCTTCTCGACGTCTGACACTGCCTGGAAAATGAGCTCCTGCGTAGCGCTACTCAGTTTGAACGAGCAAGGTGACTGGTAGACGGGGAAAATGGTGTAGTCGCGCAAGTTGACCGAAATCACGGGACGCTGCTTGGGGTCCACGTAGTCGTCCGCAACGCCAAGGTCGTCGACGCCCACAACGCGCTCGCCGTGGCCCATGCTGATGCCGAACGCACGGTTCTTGAGCAGCCCGCCCAGCTTGAACATGGAACTCCCGCTGCTACCGGCTGGCCGCATCGGGATGCTGCGCGACACGCGCACGCTCTCCCGCCTGTAGTCCCTGTAGGGCTCCTGGGGAGCAGTCCACTTCTGCAGTTGCCGGACCAGCAGTCGTCGGCGTGCCGTCTCGATCAGCAGCAGCTGCCGCTGCTGTTGCAGATGGTGCCCGAAAACCGTGTTGCCCGCCTCGGGCAACTCGCGCAGCGCCGGTTGGGCGCAACTGCACGAGAACAGGAACGCAAACGGCGTGTCCTCGGGCAGGGCTGGGGTGTGCGGCACGAGGTCCAGAATGTTGGAGACACAGTTGTAGGCGAACCTGCGCTTGTCGAAGTTGATCAGGTTGGTGTTTTCCACCGCCTTGTTTGGAATGAAGCACGCAATCTCCAGCATGCGCTCCGCGAGCCAGCCGGGACAGGGCAGCACTTTTACCTTGGAGGTTTGCGGGATCAGCTGCTCCAAAGAGTCCAGCGTGTCGGTTTTGGCGAGCTTGCGCCAACAGTCCGCGTATCTGCGGGACTCGGGCGACAAAATCACGTCTGTGAGGCAGCTTTCTAGCATACCTGGCACGCGCAGAGCCTCGGCCGAGCGCGTCTTGCCGAGCATCAGCACTGCCACACGCATTCGGTCGACTCGTTCTGGCTGGGCCAGGTTCGGGTCGAGGATTTGTGCGGCAAAGTACGTTTTGAGCCGGAAGTAGAATTCGAACAGGCTCCGCACGGGGGCAGGAAATTTGTTCACCACGTACTCGCCGCTGGCGTCTTTTACTGTGGCGAGCCAGCAGTAGACGTTGGTGACGACGAGTTCTGCGTCGGGCACGTCTGCCGGCTGCGCGTCGTACTGCGACAGGCTGAGCGGGCCGGCGCACGCGTGTATCTCCAGAATCTCGAACGCGGCGATCCAGTCGTCGAGCGTCGACAGTCCATACAGCGCGCCGATCGTCGCGTCGAGGTCGAGGACGAACTTCTCGACGGCTGCAATGTCCTTGGAGCGCGGCAGCAGCCGGTCGGCGGGCACGATCGTCAGCTCTGTGGTGAAAGCCGGCACGCGGCGGTTCAGGATCGGCCGATACGACTTCCGCACGTACGTTTTGCGCATCTTTTTGTACGTCGCCGTCAGCGAGCCGTACAGTTCGCGCACCTGCTGGATGTACTCTTCGTCCAGCGACCCGTCGGCCTCCATCCACAGCAGCACCTTCGTCCACTGGACGATCGTCTCGTTGTCGACGTAGCGCAGCAGCGAGTCGAAAATGGTTTTATTTTCCAGACTGTCTGTAAAATGGTGGTAGCAGTTCTCCACGAGAATTTGCAGTGTTTCGAGCACGCCGAGCTGGATCTGCCCCACGTAGCGCCAGTTGGTGTCTGCAAACTCGCCCGCGAACTCTACGTCCCAGTCGGGCTCGCTGCCCTCCGCGAGCGACCGCGCCGCCGCCTTTGCCCCGATAAATCTTTTTTTCAGTCCCTGCAGCAACCTTGTGGTGGAGCAGAACCCGCGGTACACGGCAAAAAACGTCATTGTAAACACGCCGTTGTTCATCTTGAGCTCCACGCGGTCCGCCGGCGCGCTACCGACAAAACGCTTGATGTCCGCTTCGGCGATCCGCGCGCCAAACGTAGAATACGTCAGGACCAGCAGATCCAGCAGCCGGTCCAGCGTCGCCGCCTTGGTCAGAATCTCTGCGCTCACCTTCTCGCTCTCCTTCTCGCGGCCCTCCGCGTATGCCTGATACGTGTTGAAATACTCATCCAAGCTGAAACTGTTGGACGAGTAGCTGCTGTAGCGTTTCACGCTTGCGCTCTCGCCAAGCAGCGTACTGGGCGGCCGCGATTTTTGCTGCACGCCGCGCGCGTCGTTCGTCTTGAACACGATGGTGTCGTCGACGTGGAAGTCGTGCGAGTCGACGTTGAACACGTCGCGCACCGTCTTGACAAACTGGTTGCGGCTGACTTTTCTAAGCTCGTCATCGTCGGTCGCGGCGAGTGTGCTGCTGGGCGCGAGCCGTGCGCTGTCGCCGCCGCCGATCGCGCCCAGCAGCGAGCCGCGGTCAAAGATGCGGTCCCGCTCGAGCGTCTCGGGGAACAGCAGCGGCGCGTAGGAGCCCAGAAACAGCGGGCTGCGCGACGTGTCGTGCATCTGGTGGAACTGGCCCGCGTACGCCGGCTCCACGCGCAACGACTGGTCCATCAGCGCGGGCAGCGAAAGCGGCAGCCCACGCACGTGGCACTGCAGCACCTTTGCAAGCCGGCTCGCGACGCCCGCGTCCAGCGACCCGACCTGCGCGCGCTTTCTGGCCAATCCAGGCTCGTTCTGCACGCCGGCAAGAAACTGCTTCCACTTGGCAAACAACGCGCGCACGCGCGCAACATGGCGCTCGTGGTCGCGCAGCGCACACGAGGCCTTTCTCACGAGCAGATCGCCAAAATACGGCACAACGTTCTCGCGCGCGTAGCTGCGGCCAATGCCCTGCGGCGCTAAAACGTGGTACGACGCGCGGTGGCTCGCAGAGCTCACAATCGAGCGCCGGTCCAGCTCGAACACCACGGGCGCCCACTTGGAATTCACGAGCTGGACGTACTCGGGCAAGACGTGGTCCCAGGTGCGGGCGAGCCGCAGCACGGGCATCGAGCACACCACGGTCGCGATTGCCAGGTAGCCGACCATGTCGCCCATGTTGCTCAACGTGTCCCCCAGCTGAATCCACTTGCCCAGTATTTGCGCGCGTTGCGTGGGGGTAGTCACGTGCGGGTCGTCGAACAGGTGGTAGCACAGCAACCTCGCGAGGTAGTGCAGATCGTCCGGGAGCGTGAAGATTAGCGGATTGGCGCGCAAGTGCGCGTGGTTGTCCATCGCGGTCTCGTACAGCAGCGACGGGTCGTTGCCAGGCCCCCACGCGGCCGCGTACCGCACGTGCAGGGCGTCGATCTCGGCGGCCAGCACGTCCACCCTGGTCTCCAGAAACACGTCTGCACTCAGATCGCTCAGCTTGCCCGCGCCCGACGGCAGCAGCTTCGCCAGCTGCTGCCGCTGCTGGTGGATCGCGATTTTCAGGCTGTCGCAGTCCCTGTACCTGTCTACGCACACCAGCAGGTTCCAGATGCCCTTGAGCACCTCCTCGTCGAGCAAGAGCCCCGGAAAGCTCTCGCGGATCGTGTCCACCACCAGGTACAGTCTGCTGGCCCAAACGACCATCCTGTTGTTGTGGTCCATCAGGTATTTGTTGGAGCTATTTTTTTCTGTTTGTTCCATCAGCTCGCTATATTTATGGAAATACTGCAAAGCGGTGGCCACATTTTCCACCAGCGGCAGAATCTGCACCAGCTGCTTGCTCACCTTGCTGTTAGGATTGAAGATCACCGCGTGGCACAGCGCCTCCACGGTGCCGTCGACGATCTCGCCCGTCTCGTCCTCCAGCTTGAGATCGGGGTGCGGGTACCTGACCGACGGGTAGTCCAGTTTGACATTGAGCGACGACAGCGAGGTCGCGATGCTCAGCTGCGACCCGGCAAAGTCGCTCGGCAAATTGATCTGCGGCGCGGCTTTCAGGGACCGGCCGCGCTCCTCGGAAAACGGCTGCTCCTCGTCCACGCCTGGCACCACCCTGCCCTGGGGAGCGACGTCGCCGGCCGCGCGCGCGCTACTCTTCTTTTCCAGGTCGAAGCATTTCACGTCGCTCAGCTCGGCCGGCGGCCGGTACACCAGCAACGTCGAGCCCTTCACCTCTGCGCGACACAGGCGCATGTCGTCCGCGTCGTCTGCGTCGGCGACCTTGTTGAGCCAGCCGACCTTGAGCGTCTCGTTGTCCCAGCTGGGGTCGACGAGGTTCTGCACGCCGCTCGGTGCCAGCGAGGCTGTCGACCGCTTGCTGGACAGCCCCTTCAGCAGGTTGCGTTTGGTGGCCTCCAGCGTGGCCGTCCTTGTGCCGGATCTGCTGCTGAGATCCAGCGTCGATTCGGAGCGGTCGTCGTCGTGGCGCGGCTCGTGCGCGTCTGCCAGCGTGGCGGAGCCGCCCGAGCTGACCGGCGGTGGCGATATCAGGCTGCGGCGCTTGTCTTTCCGCGACAAAAGCTTCTTCATCAGTTGCGGATCAAGTGTGTTGGAAAATTATCTTTCAAAATACAGATTATGTAAGATAATAAATAAAAAAATTAGATGGCCTTCTGGGCCAGCTGCAGCACCGCGTCCTTGGACTTGGCTCCGCCAATAAAGCCCGCCGCGTGCACAAAGATGCAGCCCGGGACGCCCGTCAGCTCGCTAAGGGCGTCGTCCCGCACGCCGCGCCACGGCTCCGGCAGCTTCTTGCGCGAGTCGAACGACGACGCACTCACCGGCACGCACGCAATCCTCCAGGCACCGGACGTGTCTGCAAACAAAACGTACAGGATCTCGCCCTCGATGCCCAGCTCCCTCTCGACGTTGTACAGATGCTCTTTCCACGGCACGAAACGGTCCATAATGATGATCTTGCCGCTAGGATCGGCCTCGAACCGGCTGCCAATCGCTTTTTCCACGTACTGCTTGGCCGGCATAAACGACTTGCCCATGTACTCCAGGTAGTTCATGAACGCAAAGCCCATGATCTCGCTGGCCTTCTCAAAAGCTTTGTCGTAATCTGCGTCGGTGGGGTCCGTGTTCCACGACGGGTTCAGATTCGCCACGACGGAGGATAGCTGGAAGTTTCTGTCCTTGAAGAGCGGCTTCAGCTCGTCCTGGTTCTCGTACTTGTTGATTCCGTTGTCGTTGGCGTCCACAGCCTCGATGAAGTCTCTGTACACCCGGTCGTACAGAAAATCGATGTCCTTTTCCTGCTCGAGCTCCAAATTCTCTCTAATGATCTGTTTTCCAAAATGCTTGTAAATAAGACCCGCAGAAGACAGCTTGGTCCGGAACCCGGGCGCAAACACATCGTTGAATTCCCGCTGGTGGTGGTCGAAGTACTTCTTGCCGTCGTACTGGCCGCTCACGTCGACAACGATGTCACTGGTGTCCCAGTCCTCTTGTTTTCTCGATCGCACAAGCTCGGAGTCTTTGAACTGCCTCAAAGTGCGCAGCATGTACACGGCGAGCGACTCGTCAGCGTGGAACGTTCCTGAGTGGGTGCAAATCTTCATCGGGCTCAGCTTCTGCTTCTTGGACATGAGCCAATAGTGGGACAAAAATTTGTAAAAAATGGCTAAAAAATTAAAGTTAAATTATTTTTTGATAATTATTATTTCTTTATCATGTTCAACATGTTCAAGTTCAACATGTCGCGCTCGCAGTTTGAGCTGGCAAAGGTACGTCGATCGCTTCTCTGCTCTAACGCCAGTTCACCTTCTATCTGCTCACGCCCATCTCCATCATGTACTACGTGGGTATCGACACAGACAAGAAGTTCAACGTTCCGGGCTTCTGGCCGGATCCAGACACTCTCAACAAGATTCCGAAGGAGCCGTACGAGATCCAGGCCGAGCTCGCTCGCATAAACGCCGCCAAGGCCGAAAAGAGACGCCGTCTGGAACAGAAAGCTGCAGAGCTCGGCATCACCGAAGAAAACTAAACGTCATAAGCTACACACAAATACTGCCTGTAATTTATTTATTTTTCGCTTTTTAATTTCTTCTCGCCTTGCACAAAATGGCCGACAGAACCCTGTACCAGCGGCTCGCCGAGTCGTCGCATCCCGTCGCGTTGCTCTTCTTCCTCTTCTTCAGAATATCGCCGCTCCTGGTATACCTCTTCGGCGTCCTTTTCACCTCCAATTACATCCTCAACTTCATCGTCACCATGCTTCTTCTCGCCGCCGACTTCTGGAACGTGAAAAACATATCTGGCCGGCTGATGGTGGGGCTGCGGTGGTGGAACGAGGCCAACGATCTCGGCCAGTCCGTCTGGGTGTTCGAGACCGCCGACCCTAGCAGGTATGTCAACCCCCTGGACTCCAAGGTGTTCTGGCTCTTCCTCTACTCGTGTCCTGTTCTCTGGCTGGCTCTGGGAATCGTGGCGATGCTTAAGCTCCATTTTCTCTCGCTCTCGCTTGTGGGCCTCGCCTTCGTGCTCACCTCCGTCAACGCACTCGCCTACACTAAGTGCGATAAGTTCGGAAAGGCCAACAACATCGCCAGCAACGTTGCCGGCTCTGTCGCGAGCAGCTTCTTTGGAAACGTGGGCGGAGTCGTGGCCGGTGTCTTCAGGAGATAATCCTTCCAATTATCGCGTTCTAGATACTCTATGTACGGAATAAACGCCTGCGTCCGCTAGAGCTCGGGAAGCTCTGTGACCTCCACCGTGATGAAGTTGCGTCCGCTCTTTTCCTTGAAAATCCGCAGGTTGCCGTTCTGGATCAGGCTCAACAGGTCTGCCTTCAGCCACTCCGGCGCAGAGCTGCCCTGCTTCAGCATCTCGTCCATGTTGGGCTCGTTCTCCACCACCAGGATCCGCGTCTCTATCACGTTCCGCACCGTGTGGCCAAACTTGTCCTGCGTCACCAGCACCTCCTGCTGTTCCTTGTCCTTGAGCGGCGTGCTGGTGGCCTCGAACTCCTTTTTCTCGCACACGAGCTCTGCGGTGCCCGGCTGGATCCCTGCCGCAAGCTCCAGGTTTTCTCTCCTGCGCGACCGGCTCATCGTCTTGCGCCTCCACCAGCGGTCCAAATCGGCCCGGAGCCGGCGCAGAGTCGTCGTTTTCGTGTTCACAGAGCTCGCCGCGTCGTCCTGCCCGGCCAGGTCCTTGAAAAACGGCGTGCTCGTCGCCTCGTCGAAGATCGTCGCCGTCGGCAGCAGCTGCGACCCCAGCGACACGTCTCTTCTGCCGCGACCCGACACAGACACGCTTCTGTCCTTGGCAGGTCTTCTGACCATCGACCGGCCGCGCTCGACGTTCGAGGCGTCGTTGTAGTAGTCTATAATCTCGTTGTAAATGTCCGCGCTCTGGTTGAGAAAATTGTAGCTCTTGACCGACTTGATCGACCGCGCGCTCTTGGGAGCCTCGTCTTTTTTCTGCAGGAATTTGTCAAATAGCTGCGTCAGAAACAGCGACACGCTCTTTCGCCGGTGCCGGACGCTCTTGCTGCTCTCGAGATGGGCAGACAGCTCTCGTTTCGACGACGGGCGCGACGTCTCGGCCGCCGGCCGCAGAGGCACTCGCTCCATGAACGGGAACGACTGCACCGCGAACGACGAGGCGCGCGTGTTTCGCGCCCCCGGCTGGAACGGCGTCTCCGGCTTCGGGGTCTCGAAGAGGCCTGCAAACCGCGGAGGCGCCAGGTCGTACCTGAGGCTGGGCACCCGCGCGGTCGTGCCCAATCGCGACGCCACGTTGTGCTTTGTCGGCGTGATCGACTGCTCGGTAAACGAGTCGTCGTGGCCCGTGAAGAAGTTGTCGTTTTTGCGCTCCGCCAAGCTGAAATAGTTCTCCATCGGGTCGTTCACCGAAAACGACTTGAAAGTGTCGCTCTTCGAGAAAAAAACAGCGCTGTCTGCTGCGGGCTCCTTGTCGAGCTGCCTCTGCTTCATTGACCACGGTCTAAACAGTCCCTGGTCGGCCAGATCGTCTCCGGGCGTCTTGAGTGTAAGAATAGCCTCAAAATCCATGTAAAACTTTAGCCTGCGTTCCGCCCACGAAAATATATACTCCTGCCCCCCAGCCCTCTTAGCGCCCAATATGTCGCCGGATATACGCAACGTGGTTTATCTTCTCTGCCAGCGTAGCCGCAGAGCCTTTCCAGCGGTGCCCCAGAAACTGCTCCTCTGTGGCCAGCAGCCCGTTGCGGCACACCAGCGTCTCTGCCGGCACGCGGTCCAGCTCGAAAACTGTGCCCTGCGCGCGCAGACGCATGTACTGGCCGGTGAGCTCCATGGACTCCGCCGCGATCAGCCGCGCGATCAGCCCGTGCACCAGGCGGTCCATCTGGATGTTGCCGCAGATCTGCACCAACGCCTCGCGCAGCCCCGTGATCTCGACGCCGCGCGGGATCCGCGAGATCACAGGAACCGGGTCGATCAGGTCGCTCGCAGCCACCACGAGCGTCTGGATGAACGCCGGCCGGTCCATCGAGTAGTCCAGCAGAAAATCCCACAGTTCCCTGTCGTCGGCCTCGCCCACGAACTGGATCGCCTTTTCCGGGTCGCGCAGCTCGTCCACAATCAGCCTGAGCGCCTTCCTGTTCTCGCCCACCTTGCTCAGCAAATAGACCAGCTCGGAAACGCATTTGTTCTCCTCGCACACGGAAATCGCTTTTTCCACGGAGTAGTTGTAATGGCGGCTCAGAAACTGCTGCAGGTGGTCTCTGTTGAACGACGCGTACAGCTTCACCATTTCGTCCTCAAAGTCCTTGACAAGCAGCCTGTCGCTCGCCGCCAGGGCGTCCAAGTACAGGAAACTCACGTAGTCGAGCCCTGCGGCGTCCAGGGTGTCGACGATCTGCTGCGGCAGGATCTCGTGGCTGTTTTCCACCAGAATAGCAACCGTCGTGGCCAGGTTTTCCGCCGTCAACGGCTTGCCGCCCGCGCTCAGCGTCACAATAGCCGGCAACTTGTCCAGGTTTGCCAGCAGCAGGTGATGCTCGTCCACAAAGAGCATGATCGCCGGATCTTTGAGCCAAATCAGATGCTCGACGCATTTCTCCATCTCGTCCAGCTCGACGCTCAGATCGACAATCAGCCGACGCACAGAGGCCTCCTGCTCTTCCGTCTCCTCGAGCTCCTCCGCCAGACGGTCTCGCAGCGCCTCCACGTCAAAAAGACTGTGGTCCCATTTCTCCACAAGCGACGCCACTTTCGAAAACTCGTGCCGCTCGACAAGCCGCTCCAAAATCGAGTTATAGTGCCTTGAGGACACGAGGTAGTCGCCGACAGCAGCACACGGAACACGGTCAACAAGCAGATCCCCGTGGCCCGCCTCTGAAAACCGCACAATCCACTTATCCCAGCAACTTGCAACCCGCTGAATATACTCTGGCTCCTCGTCTCCAGCAAGCGCCAGCATGTCGCCCAAGAACTCACCCGCCTCCTGCCATCTCTCCGCAGCAACAAGCTTCTCCATGTGTCGCTCTGCTATGGCCAGCCGCTCGTCTCTGGCCAGCCACAGCTCGCTGATTTTCCATGCCTCCAGGTACTCTCCGCGCGCAGTGTACCACGTGAGCTGGTCGTGAAGTCCGTACGGCTGGACAACAATGCAATCGTCGGCAGAAACCAAAAACCACTGCGACCCATGCTGGTAGAGATGGTAGTCGTTGAGACCAAGATTTGTGCGCCTGCTCATAGCCACCTGGTCCACGGAAATCTCCTCGAACGTTAGCTGGTGAACAAGTTTCAGCTCCGGAGGCTCGTTGTTCGGGACGTAGTTCAAAATCAGAAGATCGTCGCTGAACACGGAAATGCCCGCAATCAGCGTGTCCTCCAGGATAACGTGGTGCTCCAAGACTATCTTTTTGTCGACCGACCGGAAGCTCGACGCGGCAGACGAGATTATGCTGGAGGTAGAGTCCAAGATGGAGATCTTGAACGACCACACATGGTTGACCCAGCCGACAAGAAACCGGTCGGCGTCGGCCTGATGGAAGCGCGGCCAGAACATCTCTGGCCTGGGAAAGTTCCTGGGCAGCTGCTCGTGGAAAATGACCGTTTTTGTCGGAATCTGGGCCACCGTGATGCCAGAGTCGTTCGTCCAGATGACAATGTCGTCTATCGTTTGTATCATTGTGATTGCCCCGCTGCCGCCGCCGACCACAGTGTCCTGTCTTTGTCCCAACCAATTGCGCGATGAGAACACCACGTTGCCGCTGGTCCCGCCAGAAATAAATAGCTTGCTTGTCTTGTAGTTTTTGTCCAAAGCCACAGCGTGTATGGGCCGCTTGAAGTCGTAGGCCGTGATATCCTTCTCGTCTTCAACCGACCCGATCACCACTGTTCCGTCGATCGACCCAGCGGCAAAGTACTCGCCGTCGCTGTGCAGCGACAAGATCGAGCTTCTCTGGGTCTTCATGGTGCGCAGCGGCGTGAAGTCAGGTCGAGTCAGGTGGACAAAGCCGGAGTGGGTTGCAAATATAAACACTTTCTCGTGGAAGTAGCAGCAACTGACGGCATCCCTGGTGAAGAACCTCGCGGGTAGTTTGTTCAAACGGGAGTACTTGAGCTTAGGAGGCTCTAAGGACTCCGTGCTTGCGGCTTCGGAGCGGTCCTCGGAATCAATTGAGCGGTTACCGATGCCATTCTCGGCTTCCGGACTGCGATCTGCGGATTCTGTGCTGCCAATTTCTGCGGAGGTGTCCACTATCTCGTCGTTGAAAGAGGAGCCCATAAAATTATGTATATTGCATTTTATTTTATTTTAGTTCATTTTATTTTATCTACTTTATTTAATTCCACTACATGGCCCGTGCAGTGAAAGGAACGCTTGTTCAATGGTACGTAACGCACCGCTCATCCTAACAACAGCGACCCGTCGATAAAAGCCCTCATAGTCAAGATCGACTCGGACTCGCGGGATATTGTCATTGAGGAGCTGGACGACACCCACCTGCTAGTGGACCCGTCAAAAATCGTCTACATCAAACAGGAGCTCAACAAGATCCTTTCGAAGAACGCTTACAATCCTTTCGAGGAAGACGGACAGTGAATGTCACCTATAAATACATTACTTTAGCGCATTGAGATTCAGGTTGCTGACGTCTCCGTTTTCGCTCACTCGCTGTTCGTCGTCAGAGTACACGTCTAGGTCAAGTTCCGGGTCGTCCAGCGAGATCATCTCGCTGATCTGGTCCGCCCACAACGAGATCACGACGTCCACATCCACGAGATGCTCGATGTCCTCGGACTTTTCTGTCTCTGCCCTGGAATAGAACTGTTCGTATGCCTTCATCACGGTCTCCTGGATTCCATCCAGCAGAAAGCTCAAAATCCTGTCGTCCTTCAAGTACGCTAGTATGCGTGGTTTGAGACGGGGCAACTCGTTTTTCAGGGTCCGCATGAACTTCTCCATGACATTGCGCAAAGACTGCTGAGGATAGAGCTCTAGCGGTTTGGTGAACGGCCGGGACGACTCGTCGATGAACTCGTGCACTGCGTTTCTGAGCGCCATCTGAATCTCGTACCGACAGTCCACGTAGTCGTTCACCACCCGCGGAACCGAGCCCAGCAACAAGTTCATGAATCGGTTCTGCTCAGGGTTCGCAGCATTCGCGGCCGAGAAGTTCGTGTCGATCGTCTCCTTGGTATTGTCGCCGCGCATGAACCTGCTGAACATCTTCTTGATCCCGCTGAAGTCCAAATTCGTTTCGCGGCGCACGTGTTCTATCTCAAACGTTGAAATGTACTCTCGCAGAAACATGAGGTTTTTAATTTCGTACAGTTTGGACTCGACACCAGGGACGTTGCCGAAATTCGCGTGCAACGACAGTATCGAGAGGTGGACAACCGCGTTGGCAAGATCGTCGAACACGCTCGGGTTCAGCAGCTGGTAGATCTTCATCAATAACTGGACAGCGTTGACGATAGGCGGATACACAAACTCGAGGCTTTGGGGCGTCAGCGTGGTGTTGTCCAGCGAGAAAATGCTGTCGCCACGAAGCTCTCTGTCTGGCTGCTGCAGTGGCTCCTCGGCTATAGGGTCGGAAACGCTGTTTTTGCGGCGATGTCCGATCGTCAGCTCTCTGCCTGTTTTCTTATAGCTGACAATATGTTCGTCCACGTAGGCCTGCACCCTGAACACGAGTCTTGTCTGTGCGTCTTCCAGAATCGGCCGGAAAAGCTCGCCAAGGTGGATCTTCTCCTGCAACGGCGCGTCGTGGTGGAACATGTCGGACTCCTCTGTCTGCCCCTCCGCGTCAAACTCCTCCACGTCGTCATAGTTCTGCAGAATTGAGATGAGCTCGCAGAGCTCTGAAATGCTCTTTTCGCGTATTATCTTGTTTCTTAGCAAGTTGTACAGTGGATCCAACAGCTCCTCGAACCATTTCGACAGCGACAGCAGGTTCGTGGAATTGTCCACGTCGTGGCTGCATTTCTGAGGAGCCAAGAAAAAAAGTCTTCTAAATATGTCGTACTCGCGCTCCATCAGCTTGATGAAGTACGGGATGTTGCTCTGTGCCAGCTGGATGCAGCCCTTGGAAGTATCCTGCGCCGCGATGTGCTGTTGGACGACAGAATTGAGCAGATTGGAGCGCGATCTAAAGTACTGGTTATAGCAGTCATTTAACAGCCCCAGGTACTCCTGGTCCTGCACCTTAACTGCCCGTGTGTACAGCTCCTCAAAGAGTCCAGTATACTTGGCAGCGTCCTCCTCAAACTGGATATACACAAACGCGTCCACCAGGACCGAGGTGCTGGCAGACACTGTGCCCTGCTCCTTCTTTTTTTCTGTGATTTTCTGCTGCAGAGCCGTTTCCAGCTCGCGGATCGCCGTGGCGATGTAGTTTTTCACCAGTGTGAGAGCTCTGATCATGCACTGCTTGAATCTATGCCTGTAAATGCCAATTTCCTTGAAAGAAGAGTGTTCCGGATCGTGCACGAAAGCAAGACACCGGTCCAGCTCCTCCAGGATATCGTGGCGGAAACTGTCTTTGGTGACGATCGACCCGCTGCTGCTGGTGTTGAGCGTCTGCACAATCGGATCGAGCTTCTCGAATAGCGTCAGATTGCGGGAGATGTCCTCGTGCAACCTGTCGAGCTGCTCGATCTCTGCAATCAGCTGCGTAGATTTCTTCTGGAAGTCCACCGTTTGCAGCGTGACCTGGTCTCCAATGAACAGCAGCCTGTTCAGGTCCTGGATTATCGCGTTGGTTTCCTTCAGAAACTGCTTATTTTCCTCGTAGTTGTAGCGCAGATAGTTCTGGAACTCCAGCACTTCCTGGCTCGTGGCCTCATCTATCATCCATTGGTCGTCAACGCTGAGTATACAGCTGCCCATGTAGTCCTGCGTGTACTCGCTCCACAAGGTCTCTTTTTCCCTCGCCGAAAATGGGTACATCACCGGTTTTGTCACGTCAGCGTTGGTCACCGGATCGAGCTCGCTTAACGACTTGCTTCTGGCCCGAGGCTTCATTTCTTCCAGAACAATCGACTCGATCGTCGCCGTGCCCACCGAAGTCGTCGACGTGATCGAGCCCGCTCGTGATCTGCGTCCCATGTTGTCGGAGACACTGGACCCCCGTCTTCTCATAACGTGTGCAAGAAAATAATAAATAAAAAATGCTATTTTCCACTACGTACGATTTCCGGAAGATACATGTAATGGCAGTGTTTGACAAGATAATACCACGTGAAAATGACCTGGGCCCCGTCTTCCAGCTCAATTGAGCGGTCTGTCTCGGCAGCACAGATCGCGTGCGCCATGATCTGGCGGATGACGGGGGGCGAGACGCTTACCGCGAACTTGTCCTTCACTTTGCCGATCATCGACCGCGACGTCAGCACAAACCGCCCCAGCCGTGTGTGGTAGAACTGCACCATGTTTTCGTAAAGCTCGTCGACGCTCTCTGAGCCGTCCTTCAGCTCCTGCACGGCTATCTCCACCTGGTGCATCACATGGTTGACCAGGTTCGCAAAGTACCCCTGGACATTTTTCAGGCTACCGGTCTCTATGTTGGAGGACTTGGTGAGTTTGACAAGCCTCGTGTGGCACAGCGACTTCCGCGCCGCGTGGAAAAACAGCTTGAACGAGTGCTCGTCCAGTGCGCTGTGAAGCGGCTCGAAGTCCTGCTCTGCTCGGGTCCTGAGAATAGCCTGGTACACGGCGAGAGCCACAGATCTGTCTGCCATCAGTCGGTCCAGACTGAACTTGCTGTCGTCCGTGTGCAAACAGAACCGCAGTATTTCTTTTTCCATGGAATCCTGGTCGTCTTCGAACTGGCTGAGCAGCGAGACGGAGACCCGTGTTCCCACGAACGCGGGCGGCGGCAGCAGGAACTGGGCACTGGCACGGGCGTATTTTTCCGTCTGCCGCGCTTTCTGTGCTGCTGCTGCTTCTGGTGGTATTTCCTCGGACACCTTCTCGGGTGTCTTTTTTCGTCTTTTTTTCTCACGCTGTCCCGCCTCCCCGTCAGCGCTCGAATCCTCCGCCGTTTCCTCTATCATAGCCGGCCGCGGCTCCTCTTGCGTGTCCTCGTAAACGTCATCCGACTCGTCGCTCTCCTCAATCTCTGTGGCCGTCGCGTAGCCAGACTTGTCCGAATCGTGCTCTCCAGAGTCTGCAGGCTGTACATCAGCAGCAACGTCTGCTTCTCTCGCGGACTCCTCTCTGGCAGGGACATTTGCCAGAGCATGCCGCTTTCCGGACGCCTCTTTGCGCTCCGGCTGCAGCACAGGCCTCTCGTCTTCCTCTTCCCACTCTTTGAGCGCATTCCGGGCCTTCTTCTTCTCCTCGCAAACATCACCATGGAACTCCCAAGGATCCTCCAGAACCTCGGCCTTCATGCTCAGCGCCCTGTCCCACCAGTCCATTTCAGCGCCCATGTCACGCTTGTCGCCCACCACGTCGAGCCAGTCGGCGTGGATCTCGACCAGGTCGTTATAGACACTGGCCACTCCTCGGACCTGTACCAGCAGATTGTTGTTCTTCTCAAACCCGATCAGCCGCTGGTGGTACAGCTGGCTCTGCATCTTGACCGTGAGAGCGTTTTCGGCCGTCCCGTCGGAGATCTCCAGAAACATGAAGAACCTGTCCTGCGACATCTCGTGCCACCGCTCCCCAACCACCTTCCCCTGAACAACGATCTTCTGCACGGGATGGTTGCCTAGCATCAGTATGTTCTGGCTCGCCGGAGCGTAGCCCTCGTTCTTGTAGACCCGCCTGCAATCGCGCAGTTTCAGGACGTCGCATATCAGCATCGGAAACGGCGCTCTTCTGATGGCTGGGGCGGCGTGGAAGAGCGCGGGCGAGTAGTACCGCACGCCCTTGGAGACAAACAGAACGCCGTCGTCCTGCTGCCCGGGCGGCGAGTTCTGACGGGAACTCGCCGACGGCGCGGGTCGCGACCTGCGCGGCAATCGAAAGGCCTCCATTGGAAAAATAAATAAAATAAATATTGCAAAATCTCATTTCGATCTGAAATTAGTTAGCTTTCTCCATGCCCCCAATCACCTGCCATATTTTGGACACCACGCGGGGCCAGCCAGCCGCAAACGTGGAGTGCGACATCCGCGTTCTGAGGAACACCTTCGAGCACTTTGCGACGGCCCGCACAAACTCGGACGGCCGGGTTGCCGAATGGGTGCCAGCAGGCCCAGACAGCGAACTGCGCAAAAGCGTCGGCTTCGAGGACAACCAGTGGACCAGCGTGGGGCCCGGAGTGTACCAGATCCGCTTCCACACGAAAAACTACTTTCTGGAGCGCGACGGAAAGACGTTCTTCCCCTTCGTCGATATCACGTTCGAGGTGCCTAGCCCGCCAGACAGCCACTACCACGTGCCTCTGTTGCTCAGCAACTACGGCTACTCCACCTACAGGGGGTCCTGAGTGAACCTGGGTCAATATATTATGCAGCTCGGAAATAATGCGTATACTCTCTAGACTGTTCGTGAACGGCCATTTCGTGCAATTTGTAGTGGTTCAGCTCGGCCCGGATCTCCTTTATCTGCGCAGGGTTTCTTGCCAACTGCGAATAGCTGTGCTTGAGGCCTCTATTAAACCGCACGTAATGGTCGGCAGAAAACGTCTCATTAAGGTAGATCTTATCGGAGAAAGACACGCGCTGCGGGCTCGCCGACCGCGAGCTCAGCGCGGACCTCGCCGCGGCACAGGACTTGCCTGGCTCCTTGGCGCTGTTTGTGGTGACGACCTCGAACTCGCCGTTGCCGAAAGTGCGCGGCTTTGCAACGTCGCAGTGCATTTTCGCGTCGAGCGTGGCCTGCGAATCCAGCGTGTTCTTCCTGCTCAGCGACTTCTGTTTCTCCAGCGACTTCCTGCTCAGCGACTCGCGCCTGATGAGCTTGTCCTGGCTCTCGTCGTCGAAAAACGAGGTTTCTCCGATCCCAATGATCGACGAGATGTACTCGAGTTCCGAGTCGAGGTCGCCGCCGTCTAGCGGCCGGTCGTCGCCGGCAATGAAGCTGCTGCTGTCGTCACTCGGCTCGGTCGACAGCGACAGAGACTCCAACGAGCTTTCGCTGCTCAGGTTGCTCTTTGACGCGAGCGGCTCGGCTCTTTTGCTGAGCTTCTTATCCTTCCGGAGCAGCTTGCTGAACATCCCCTTCAGTCCTTTCTTGTCGTCGTCCTCCTCCTCGCTGCACGTAATGGACGACGCCGGCGTGCTGTGGTCTACCGACGACGACGGCGACGCCGACGACGCACTCGAGCCCGTGGGCTGATTGGATATTTGAGACATCTGCTGAGTCTCGGGGACCGGCTGGTACTCCTGGACAGGGGCCGCCGGAGCTGGCAACGGTGGCTGCCGCTGGCCGGTGGCTAGACTGCCCATGTTTGGCAGGGAGCTGTGTTTGGCCGATTTGGGCCGTGGTTGCATCCGTGGCCTGAAAACCTCGCCGTTCGGAAAGTAGTACGTGGAGCGGCCGGCAGAGGGCGGAGGGAAGGACACATGCGCAGAGAGCCGGGGCTGTGGCCTCGGGTCGGGCCGGCGCAATCTCGGGGCCCGTGGCTTGCGAACGAAGCGGTCCTCTATCACCAGTAGCGAGTCGGTGCTGACCTCGCGCGGCGTGGTCATGGACCGCACACTGCGCATTGAGCTGATCGAGGAGACCGACTCTCGCCGCCGTAGACCAACGCCTTGCTCCGTAGGACGGCTCTGCATGGTGCTGAGTGGATAGTAGTAAATTCAGCAGAGTTCTGACTCCTCTCAAATTCCAGGAGACAATTTTAGAAATATTTTGCGCAGCCATTGAAACCGCAAAGCCACACGCTGCGCTCTGCTATTGTTGAAAGATTTCTAGAGCCATCATGAATCAAATCTGCCAAAACAGTTTGGCAAGCCATACGGCGAAAACCGACACCAGCGCCAGAGTGCCGCTCTCCACCACACGGCTGTCCCGCACGTCGCCCACGGGCAACAGAGCCTCCAGGTAGTTCGCGCCATGGCTGCCGATGTGGAACATCTGCCAGTGCGTGCGTTCCAGTATTCGATCTTCGTGCATGAAGCTGCCTCGAATTAGGGAGTCTGTCTCGGGATCGGTCTCACAGTCCCAATAGAGATCTCCCGCGGCCAGCCCGATCGGTTTCACGCCGCGCAAGGGCTCGCCGTAGCGCAGATGCAGCGGGATCTCGAACTCCCGCACGCCGGGGCCCAATTCCACGCGCAGCGAGCAGCCTTCCGAGACTTTGTAGCTCGGCAGTTCCAGGTCGCTGCGGCCGAAAACCGACACGTTCCTAAAAGTGCCTTCGTACCACGCCAGCTGGTACCTGTCGACAATATACGTGGACGGAATATCCAAATCGAAAATTAAACGACACGTCGATTTGGGAGCCTCGTTCTCACCTGAAACGCGCACCTTGTACTTTGGATGCAGCCCTGTAGGCTGTACAAAGGCGTGCTCAGCAGAAACGCCCGGAAGCTGCGTGTGGAACGAGTTCGCGTACAGCGACGTCGGCAGAAACTTGGAGTCGCCGCGAACACGCACTCCGCTGATGCTCAGGTCGTAGTCGCCCGGCAGAGAGTCGAGATAGAACACGCCGATCTCCCGCTTGTCTCTGGCAAATTCCAGTCGGTGGTCGACCCAAGGCCAGTAGAAAAGGAGACGAAGCTTGTCTCCGTCAAGAATAAGCTCCATAGATGCCGCGCGTTGGAGTTCCGCCGAGGTTAGTGGAAAATGCTCACCAATTAGCGCATTCCATATTCTCAGCGCAGACACCTCCAGATCCGGCTCTTCAAACAGATACGCCCGGTACCACTCCTCGAAAAAATACGGCGTGGTCTTCGTGTCCACACGGATCAGCTGTAGAACCATCTCCACAGCCAGCTGCGACAGCTTCTCGTATTGGGCCATGTTTCGGGCTGTTTGCGGAGCGACGTCGATGCGCACCCCAGCCGGCTGGCTCTCGTGGTCGCCAAAGATCGTGAACTGCGGTTTTTCGCTGCGTTTCCTGCCCAGCTGGACGTTGAGCAGCTGCAACTTGGCCAGAATGTCGCGATACTCTGGTTTCAGCAAGGAGACGTCGATCTCGATGCGGTCTTCTCTGGCGAGCGGCGACGCTTTCGACGCCGGAACAACAATCTTGTCTTTGCCCCCCAGCGCGTCAAAAACCGCTTTTTCGTTGCTGTACACAAACAGCGTTGTGCGGTGATTCATTATACTATTTATTTATTTCATTTTATTTTATTTTATTTATTTTACGCATTTGTTTAATGCAGATCCCCCAACTTGGATATTTATTTCCACACTATTTCTTACCCTTCTTCTTCCGTTTCTTCTCGATCCTCTTCAATGCACGCATCTCGTTCTTCATCACACCGTCAACCATCTTATACTTGCCCTTGACACCTTTCGGACGTCCAGACAGGCCCTTGTGGCTGCCTCTGGCAACCACCACCGTGACCTTCGGCTTGGTCTTCTTCTTCTTGCCCAGTTTCGACGCAAGAGCCTGAATCTCCTTGGCCTTGTCGAGCTCGCTCTTCGAATCGTCCTCGGCAATCAAATCGCTCTTCTTCTTGATCTTCTCGAGTCGCTTGATGGCCCTCAGCTTCTTCCTGCCAACAGCCTCCATCACCTTCTTGATCGGTCTGGCGTTCAGCTGCTTCATCTTCTCCTTCAGGGCCAACGCGGCCTCCTTGGTGATCGGTCTGTTGATCTTGCTGTGCTTCTCTTCGTCTTCCAGGAACCAGTCGGGCAGACCTTCCTTCTCGCGGAACGAGTACTTGTTGAACCCGTCGTCGATCAGGTCTTTCTTCGATTTCTGGCCCAAAGCAAGCTGCTGGGCAAGCGTCATTGCCTCCACAGTGGCCAGATCGACCTCCTGCTTGTGGGGCAAGTTGTCGCCGGACCCGGAAACGAGCTCAAAGTCAGGCTCCGTCTCACTCTCGGACTCGGACTCGGACTCGGAAGCTTCACTTTCGCTCTCGCTCTCAGACGCGGACGGCTTCGAAGCGGCTTGCTCAGAAACTGGCTGCTTCGCCAGCTCTCGCTGCGGCTGCCCGCTGCCTGTGCTGACCTCCTCAACACCCTCGAAAATAGAGTCGCCAAAGAAGTTGCTGGCCGTCTTGCTCAGCCCGCCCTTCTTCTTCTTCTCGATGGTGGCTGTCAGCTTGTTGATCGCCTCGTCGTCGTCGCTGTCGATGTCACTCTCGCTTTCGCTTTCCTCCACGGCCTCGTCCGAATCGACCTCGCTCTGCCTGTCTTCGATTCCTTCCCATTCCTCGTCGTCGCCGCCACGCGCAGCCTTGGCTCTCAATTTCGCGTCCCGCTCCATCTTCGCCTCCTTGTACTGCTGGTACATCGAGTTAAGTTGGTCCTCAAGGTTGTCGAGCTCGTCGCCAGACTCAACAGCTTGGCGCTCGTCCACCACAATGTCGTTGTCGCGGATCAAGTCCTCGCCCGTGAACACCATACTCTTCTTACCGCGAGCCAGCTCGTTCAGCTGTCCGGTCTTCTCCGCCAGCTTCAGATTGAACAGACTCTCCGACCCGATCTGGCCGGCGTCAATACCGATCTGCATGTCCGTCAACATGTTCATCTGCATTCTCTGGATCTCCTGCTGCCGGGCCTCGTTCTTGCGTCTTTTCTCTCTCTTGTGCTTGAGACGGATCTTCTCCTTCATTTCCTCAATCTCCTGGTCGATTTTCTGCTCCTCTGTCAGCTCCTCAACCTCAATCTGTTTTTCTTCCTTCTCGTCGTCCAGATCCAGCACCAAACGAGCATGCTTCCGCCATTTGATCAGCAAGCGGAAATCCTTCTTGCCCAGCACCTTGAGGTCCTTGCAGCATTCCAAAAACTCCGGAGTCGTGTCCTTCATCCGACGCAGAAGCTTCCACTCGTCACTGTTCTCGTCGATCTCAAATTTGCTCACACTTCCTAAAGTGTTGATCACGTCTTGTTCCTGTCGCACCCAGTCCAAAAGCGCCATCGGATGGAAAAGAGTGTAGTCGCCTTCTTCGTAACCGTCTCTCTTTCTCTTCTTGACCTCTGGGTTGAAAACCTTGGCCTCGTTATTGACAGGGCCCTCTGGCAGCTCCTCGAAAACCTCCTTGGGATCCAGCAACCGAGGATCCAGCTTCTTAGGCGCCTTGAAGCCCTTGCAAACAACGAAGATCTCCGCAGAAACGTTACGCGAAGCAGGCGGCTTCGTGGCCTCGACTTTGTCGAAAAGTTGGCGGAAAACCCAAACCAGGTTGTTGTAGTCTCTCGAACGGAAAACCTTGGTGACAAACGTCCCGCCCGCTGCCAGATGCTCAACAGCAAGCCTCAGAGCCTGCAGCGTCAGATGCGACTGGGTGTAAGCGTCCTGCACCCAATTCAGACCCACGTTGGGAGCACCGTCGTGCAGCACGGTGTCTGCTTTCCACGTCTTGAGATGGCCCCGGAGCTTGGACTTGCAGTCCTCCGTGGTAATATCGCTTTGGAATGTAATACAGTTGGGGATCGGCTTGATGGGCACAATGTCCACTCCCACGATGAGGGAGTTGACAGGACAAAGCTGCGCTGCAACCTGACACCAGGATCCTGGTGCCGCACAAAGATCTATCACGACCTTAGATTTTTCTAGGAAATGGCCATATTTCTGGTTGATTTGGAGAATCTTGAAAGACGAACGCGCACGATACCCTTTTTCCTTCGCTAGGTGGTAGTATCTATCCAGCCGTCCTTTGGCGTTCTTCTTCTGAGTTCCAGCCATTTTTAACCAAGATAATGATTTTTTTTCCCCTAAAATTTTTATAAATTTTTTTTGGTCGATCGACCTTAAATTTAATCTATCGTCTCTTTTTCCCCTATGTCGGATAATAAGTACACCCCGCTGGTTGTGGATCTGTTCACGCCCAAAGTGCCTCTCCAGTACCTTCCTCCAGCAGATGTTCCTATAGAGAAACGTCGGACACCCAAAGTGGATGGAATTGCGTCGTTCCTGTCCTCTTTGAAGGACCATGTCGAAGAGTACAAAGACTACAAAAACGAGTTCGTCAGCCGCGAAGCCAAGGCCAAATTGAAGTCACAGCAAAACAGAGAGGCTCTCCAGCGGGCTCTACTAAAATGGAACCCAGAGGCAGACACCAACATCACCGGAGACCCGTACAAAACCGTTTTTGTTGGTAGACTAAATTACACAGTTAATGAGATAGAGTTGCGCGAAAAATTCGCACAGTTTGGCGAAATCGATCAGATCCGAGTCGTGAGAGACACCAACACCGGGAAAAGTCGAGGCTACGCGTTTATCCTGTACAAATCAGAGTCCGACGCCAAGCTGGCGTTTCAGAACGGTAATAGAATGGTGATCAAAGATCGCGCAGTGGTCGTAGACATTGAAAGGGGCCGTGTGGTGAAAAACTGGAAACCCAGGAGACTAGGAGGCGGGCTCGGGGGCCGCAAGATAGCACAGAAACACAAACACATGGAGCAGCAGGAACCTGCTCCCAAGATGCTGTATCCGCCTCCAGCATCTTATGGGCGTGGTAACTATGGCTATCGAGGTCGTGGTGGCAGGGCTCCAAGACCTTACGGCCACAGGCCCAATAGGACGCCCTACAACCGGCCGCCGAGGTACTGATAAATATTTTGGTGTGCGGGTGTGTTTGGGTGTTTTCTATGCATCGTGCGCAATCCAGCTTAAAAAACTTGTTTATTTTCAAGAAAAATAGAGTAAAATATTTTGGAACGAGTCGCCTTCAACAAGTTTGTTATTGATTTTGGAAGGCCCATTTTGTTATAACCTGCCAGGACATCCCAAATGGCGCTCTTATCTCCTAAAAACAGGCTTCTCTTTGTCATTGGTGTACTGCTATATGTTGTCACCCATGTAACTGTCAAGTGCCCTCTTTCGCAGACCTATCAATTGGACGCTTCACAATCCAGCGATGCCCTCTGTCTTTACACCCACAAGTACTACAGGTTTGTGGAACCATACTGCGGCCCTGTCTTTGAAGTGGCGGATGCCAGGGTTTTCACTCCACTGAATAATTTGTACGCCAAGTCGCCGGTGAAGCCAATTGTGCAAGCTGGCTACGAGCAAAGTGCGAAAGCTTACACCAAATTTGCAAAGCCACATGTTGACAAGTACGGTGGCGTTGCTAAGACGAAGCTAGGCGAGTTGTCCAAGAAGATGACGGCCAAGGCGCAGGAGGTAGCAGGACTCGCCTTGGTTTATGCAAGGGCGAAGAGTGCAGAAGTGGGGGAGTACGCTAGTGCTAAATCACTCGAGCTGACCACAAAGGCTAAGATCGTGGTTCTGACGAAAATCATCCCCCGGACTGTCTCCCTTTTCCATCGGATGAAGACTGAGCTTTATATCCAGGGAACTAAGTTGAGGCTGGCACTGTATCTCAGATATAATCTCTACGTGAGACCACAGCTGTTGAAACTTTACTATAAACTACGAGTGAACAAGCTGGAGCCGCATGTGGAAGCACTCAGGAACTCCTGGTTCTATGTGAATACCAAAAGATTAGTGGTTTTGTTGGTGGATGCACTGCGATACTTTTACTGCAAAACCTATGAGTATCTTGATGCTTTCCAGCGCGATTCGAAGATCAGAAAGACGACCGAGGAGTATTGGCGGACGGAGCACAAAAAGCAGTTTTTAAAGGATGAGTTCAACAAGCTACTGAATGCCAAGTTCAAGATCCCAACCTACGAGGATGTCGAGTTTTTCAAGAAACTGTCAAAACAGGCTGCCGAGACTGACAAGACAGACGACGTCTCGGAGACTCTTAGCGAGGCCGAGCCCACACTCACCAAGTACAACAAGTTGTTAAAGGGGGTAACACAGGATGCGATAAATGATTTCGAGTCGCAGGTGGCCCAGGTAGACGAGAATGCTTACAACAAGATCTACAACCAGTTGAGACCTAAATTGCAAGAGCTCGGCGAGCTGGTCAACCGCAACTACGATGAGGCCCACGTCATGATTCACGACATCAACCACAACACAGACAACTATGTCACTCGCCAGGACATGCGGGATCTTTTAAAGCGTCTTTCAGAGTCGCTGACACAAAAGGGTGTGGAGATCACCGAAGATTTCAAAAAATACGAGCGGGAGTTCTCCGATGAGGTGCTACGCGTGAGAACGTCCATTTTGGAGACCCTTGAAGAGTTCAGCGAGTCCACCCTCAACGCCTACTCCACAGAAATCGTGAAGAACGGAGACGACTGGAAAGAGTGGAAGAACTACAAAGAGCTGAAGCAGGAGTTAATTCAGACCAGAGACCAGCTTCTTAGCTCCACGCCGAAGTTAGAACGCGTGACCAAGTTGCTGAACGAGCTGAACAGAACTCTGGGCACTTTGGTGAACGACGGAGAGTCGTATCTGGCCATTTTGCGTGCCAAGGCCAACGTCGAGTTCCAGGCCCGCGAGAAGGCCGAGAGAGAAGCGGAGCAAGAGACCACGAGCACGATTATGTTGTACGAGACGGTTGTTCTTGATGAGAAGAACCAGCCGGTGAGCACTATCCATGCAGAACCTCCAGCGTCGAGCGAAGAGGCCAAGACGCTGATAATATGAGGCGGCGACGAACCTGATGTTTATAGGAGTATGTAATGGAACGACAAGTAATTTTATTAGGAAAAATCTATATCTCTGATGCCGTCCTTGTCGATCACTTTCACGTACAGGCCTTTGAATTCGATAGGCATTCTCTTCACGAGCTCCTCGTGGCACAGTTTGAGCAATTTCAGGCCTTCGTCCAGGGCCATATCCGATCTGTAGTGGTGGTCGAGCAGCGACATGGTGTAGAAGGCAGCATATCCGTGGGCGCAGTACGGCAGGTCCACGCGAGTGCCCAAGTAATCGATCAACGACAGAAATGGCTCCGAGCCGTTGTGGAGTCCTCCCAACAGGATCTGCACCTGGTAGGGCTTTCTGGATCTGATCGAGGTGGCCAGCTGTTGTCTGACAAACGACGCAATTGCCTTGGAATTCAGTTCTGTGTTTTCTCTCATTGTGAACAGCTGGATGTTGGCCTGGATGTAGTCTGCGAACTGGGTCGTGTCTCCCGACTCTCCAGTGAACGCCAGCAGATTGTACTGGTTGAGCACTCTTGTCTTGTCGTCTGTGTCTTTGAGGACCGAGATTCCTCTTGTGAACGCCTTTGACGTGGCGACAATGACCGAGTCCTTGACTCTGATGCCCAAAATGATATCCATGGTGGCGAAAAAGAGAAAATAGCAGGGGAAAAATATATGTTTTCACAGCCGTGAACTAGACTGGTTTTTATGTAATCAGACAGGGCCTGCCCGCGTAGCTGGCGGCGTGGTCTCCTAGCGGGGGCCGCCAATGGCCTTGGAAAGGCACTGTTGTTCTAGGCGGCTAGTGCTGGCTCTGTTTCAGCGAATAATATATCCCGCCTCTCCGGGCTGGTGTCAACTATTAAATTTCCCCAATTTTAAATTCGGACCGGCTAAACATGAAGAGAAACAGCAAGGGCTTTTCGATGGCCGTGCTGTACGTTATTTCGCTCGTCATCAACAACACGCCGCCAGCACTTTGGAAGGTGCTGGCGTTGGTGATTGACGTGGTATTCTTCTGGGTCAAACGGCTCGTCAAGCTCGTCAGAGACTCGCCGATCCGCGACCTGAAACGGTCTCTGCAAACATGTACGGACTTCCACGAGTGGGAGATGATCACGTCGGAGATCGACCGGCTGAACGGCTACGACGTCTGGCGACAGAACTTCATCTCCAAGAAATACGACTACAGGCTGATAAACGAGCGTCTGCACGATCTCCGGCTCGCGAGAATCTATAAAGACCCGCTCAAGGTGATGGGGATCTTGCGGTCGAGCGTGCTCAGGAACTTTGGCGGGATCTCAAACAAACAGCTGTACAACAAGTCGTACATTGGCACCAAAGTCCTGATTGAAGCTTACATTGAGGAGGTGCTGAAATGCTTCCAGTTCATAGACGAGTGGCAGCTGCGCGACCAGACCATGGAGCAGAGCTATTTCAACCAGATGAAGCTGGATTTTTTCCACGACTCGCGGCAGACGATTGGAGTCACAGCTCTGATATTACAAGGCGGCTCTCTCTTTGGACTCTGTCACCTAGGAGTCATCAAGGCACTCTACTTTAAAAATCTGCTGCCCAGGATAATTGCTGGTTCTGCCATCGGCGCCCTGGTTGGCGCCTTGATATGCTGTTTGGACGACACGGAGATCGAAGACAACCTCAATAATCTTGTCCAGCTGCTACCAGAGGATAAAACTGACGGCAACAGCCACCACGTGATTGGCTCGGTCATCAAACGCGGATACAGCCAGGACATGCTACTATTCATCAAGTATGTGGAGTCGAAGGTCGGAGACCTGACCTTCGAAGAGGCGTACCTGAAGACAAACAGAATCCTCAACATCCTTATCCACCCGACAGAGAGCTGCGTGCCGTCGCTTCTAAACTATGTGTCCACGCCCAACGTCACAATCAAGAGCGCAATCTACTGTTCCATCGGAAACGGCGTCCTGGACGAGGACGTCCAGCTCAAGTACAAGACCGCAGACAACGAGATCAAGACGCTGACGTTTCTAAAACGACACTGCGAGTATCTGTCGCCACATTACACCAGCTCGATCAACACGAAATCGTTCAAGCCAATCTCGCCCTACACAAGACTCACAGAACTATTTAATGTCAATCACTTTGTTGTTTCTCTCGCCAGACCGTATCTCGCGCCGCTCATCGGCAACGACCTCAAGCACTCGCCAACCTCCTGGCAATTGACCAACCATATCAAAAACCTGATAAGTCTGGAGCTCAGACACAGAGTGGAAGCCCTGGAGAAGTTTGGGCTGCTCCTGGGTTTCCTCAGATGGCTGGCCGTGGACGAGAAAACGCCCCGCTTTGAGAACAGCGAGATCACTATCGTCCCGGAGCTCAGAACGCTGATCAAGGACTTCAGCCGTATCTTCGACATCAACGAGTACCAGAAGAATATCCCCTACTGGATCCAGGTTGGAGAACGGTCAGTCTGGCCTCTCTATCCGTTATTGGAGACTCGCTGCGCAATTGAGTTTGCTCTGGACGATTATTACAATATATACAGAAGCAAATAGGTTATCTATAGAAGAGTTTCACTGTCCCTTCCTTACTGATCAGATAGAGGTATTCTCGTTCGACAATCTTCTTCGGCGAGCCGATCAGGCCTCTACCAATAGTCAGCTCTCCGGTCACATCTTCCGCCCTTCCCGTGCGCAGCGGACGCAACGAAAAGATCAAAGATGATCTGTGGGCAAGTTTCGTCAGAAAAGTAGCGTGAATGGTGGCCAGGTCATCTGGCGAATCGGAATACTCCATCAGACTCTCGTCGCCCGAGCTTATGAGGAATAAGTTGCATTTCGTGTTTAGTTTCCGCAGTTGTGCGAGCAGCTGGTCCACAGTGATGTCTGTGAGGAACAGCAGAAATTCAGGGTTCTCGATAAACACGTTGGGCTTGCCCAGTTTGCTCTGTCGGTCCACCTCCAGCGAGATCTTGGCGTACCAGTCCTGGTAGCTGTTGAAGAGGTCAACGTATTTGAAGCCAGCCAGATCGCCCTTCAGCCGTGCCATTTGTTTGCGATATGTAGTCTCATCGGTGCTAAGCGACGCGAACACGACTGGGGCAGTCGAGCGGTCGGAAACGGGCGTCTTGTTGACGTAGCAGGTGCCAAAAAGCGAGTTCTCCACGAGCGCGACATTGAGCCACGTGGGCCGCGTGGACGCCTTATAGAGCACGAGGGTGCAGTAGTTGTGTTCGGGGTTTGATTTCGGCAGAATCGAGCGGTCTTCGAACACAACAAGGTCCTGCTGTTGGAGGTCGGAGGACGATGTCATGGTTAGGGAGCACGGAAAATATTTTTTTTCAATTTTTTTACTTTTATTTCCACACCAGAGCATGTCGCTTCCTGCCGTTCCTGCTAGCTTTTCCGGCGACTTCAAAGCCCACTCCAACTACAGCGCTCCTGTCAAGCGTCCTGTTGAGCCTGTTGGCAAGTACTTCCTTGCGCATGCCACCAGAGTCCTGCGAGGCCACACCTGGTCCGAGTACGAGAAACTCGAGGCCTCCAAGAACGTCAAGTCGGTGGAGGAGTCCAACGACGACGACGAATTCGACGAGGAGCAGAGCGAAGAACTGCTTGAGCACGATCCAAGAGATTGGAAGACGGCCGACCTTTACGCTGTGATGGGTCTGTCGAAGCTCAGGTACAGAGCCACCGAGGACCAGATCAGAAGGGCCCACCGTAAGCAGGTCCTGAAGCACCATCCAGACAAGAAGGGTGCCGCCGGTGGACTGGACCAGGACGGGTTTTTCAAGATTATCCAGAAAGCCTACGAAACCTTGCTGGACCCTATCAAGAGAAAACAGTACGACTCAGTGGACTTCAACGCCGACGTCGAGCCCCCATCGCCGAAGGAGAAGTACGATTTCTTCGAGGCCTGGACGCCTGTGTTTGAGTCGGAGGCCAGGTTTTCCAACAAGCAGCCTGTTCCTTCTCTGGGCAACATGGAGTCCAGCAAGGAGGAGGTGGAGGCCTTCTACAAGTTCTGGGCCAACTTCGACTCATGGAGAACCTTTGAGTTCCTCGACGAGGACGTTCCGGACGACACTGCCAACAGAGACCACAAGCGGTACATCGAGAAGAAGAACAACAACGCCAGAAAGAAGAGAAAGGTCGAGGACAACAAGAGATTGGCCGACCTGGTCAAGAGAGCCTCGTCTGAGGACCCAAGAATCAAAAAGTTCAAGGAGGAGGAAAAGGCCGAGAAGGCCAGAAAGAAATGGGAGAGAGAAGCCGGTGCGAGAAAGGCTGCTGAGGAGGCCCGTCTGAAGGCCGAGGCCGAGGCTAAGGCCAAGGCAGAAGCGGAGGCCAAGGCCAAGCTCGAGAAGGAGAACGCAAAGAAGGCCAAGGAGGCCGCGAAAAGCGCCAAGAAGAAGAACAAGCGTGCCATCAGGGCCGCTGCCAAGGACAATGGCTACTTCGGAGCCGAGGACAAGGCCACGCTCATCGACGCAGACATCGAGACGCTGCTAGACGCTCTGAGCGACGTTTCTCTGGCCGATGTCGCAGGCAAGCTGAACGGGGCCGACGCTTCTGCCGCCAAGTCGGTCCTCGACGCTGCCGCTAAGGAGACCGGCAAGTCCTACAACTTTTTCGGTTAGACTGTAAGTATTATTGCGAAAATACAGAAACGTTCTAGCTCCAAAACCATTTTTTCTTTGCGACCTGCTGATCCAGCAGTGTCTGGATCTCTTTTTCGTATTCCCGTGTCCTCTGCTCCATGGCGATGATGTGCTCTTCTCCTTCCAGACACGTCCACGCGTACTGCAGCAGAAGATACACCCCAGACCCCAGAAGCAGGAACGAGGTGATGGGCCGCTTGTAGTCACCCAACGTGGGACGCAGGGCCTGCTCCTGCTCCTCTATGAGCTTCTGGTACTTGGCCTGCTCGAGCTGTTTCTGTCGCTCCAGTTTCTGCGAGATGGCGTCGATTTTCTGCTGGATCAGGTCGGCCTTGGACGGCTCGAGAAACGGATCGCTGGGCTGGTAGAGCGACGACTGTATATTGTTGATTGCCTCGAGCTCCGCAGGCGAAAGCGGGCTCTCTTCGGCGTCGCTGGGCGGCTCTGCTGGATTTTTCACCTGCGATGCACGCGGAGTCTTGTTGCGCAGCGCCCTCAGAGCACCAAAACACCGGACTCGAGGTTGTAGCATGAGCAAAAATTAATTATTGTTTTTCTGGTTACAATTTCGCTTTTTTTTCACGTCATCCATCTATCATAATATACAATCGCAGCCAAACGCATTAGGCTACCACTCGCTTTCTCCCGTCGCCTTTTGGAAGGCGTAGTCGCGTCCGTCGATGTTAGCGATCCCGTCCTTCAGGTTGCACTTCCACTTGTTCTTCACGCGCTGCACCCTATCGTACAAGCACAGCATGATGTTATACTCCTGGTCCTCGTTATCGTCTGCCGAGTTGATCTCGTCCTCGTCGGGGTCGTCCAGATCCGAGTTGATCTCGTCCGAGTCCACGCCCAGGTCGGACCCCAGCTCGTTGCCGTCCTCGCCCAGGTCTCCCTCGCCGTCCGTCTGCGTCCGACGGAGCCTTCTGGCCAGCTCCTCGGCCTGTTTTCCCTCAACAGTAAACGTCACCGTTCCGTCCGACTGCCCTATTCTGCCTCCGCCGGGAAGCGCGATGTTCATCCCCCCGAGATCGTCCTCCTGCTTCATCGAGCTCGTCGGCAGCGCCAGATCCGACTGCGGCAGGTGGAGCCCCTGGATGTGAAGCCCTGAGTTTGCGTCGCTGCCGGTAGGGTTGAACTGCTCCTGGTACGTCTGGGAGCTGATCCGGTCGTCGCCCAGCCCCAGCATGTTGCTGCTGTCGTCGTACTGTTGTCTCTTCAGGTCCCAGCTGAAAGACGCGACCCCTGTTTTCGACAATTTGTCTCGCCATATCCGCTTGAGGTCCAACAACGTTTGCTCGTCAATGCCCCCGTCCTCAAAGTCCTGTCGAGATTCGGCAATCACATCCTCAATGATACGCTCGTACAGCTCAGACTGATGTTAGAATCCAAAGCAAGATGACACTTACACATTCCTTGTTGGACATGGTGTACTAATGAAATCCTCAAAGGCAAGAAATATTTGTAAAGTTAACTTCAACGGCCGGGTAAGGCCTCCTAACTATGTGCCACCGTTTGGGGATTTTTTGTACGCGTTTTTTTGTTTATATTTTGATATGGCTAAGCTCAGCGAAAACAGCCCCAGCGGGGCCAAGACCGCGCTCAAGCGGATCGAACACGGCCTCGCGTACAAGCACGAAACGAGAAAGCCCAGCTTTAGACGGCGGTCGCTCTCGCCCCAGAAAACGCAGTCGCTCGCCGTTTCCCCTGCCAGGGTGCCTTTGACGTGTATCAAAGAGCCCCTCAACAGTAAACTGGCTCCAATTGCGCTGGGAAAACACGATCTGAGGAAGGCCCTGAGCACGGCAGAGAAGGAAAACGACGACAATAATACCATCGACACCGATAAGATTGAAATGCTCGACGTGGAGTCGGACGCGGTCGAGGTGCAGTCCTCGCCGGTGGGGGCTCACCAAAATAGAATGAACCACAAGAGACACATGGACACTCCGCTACTTGTCTCGGGCGCGAAGAAGATGCATTTGGGAGACGAGTCGTTCCAGACTCCGCTGAGACCGGACTCCAAGACGCGCGTGACCCCCCACAGAGAACACCACAGCCGGCTGATGAACGATTCGGATATCGATTTGTACAACGCCTCGACCGAGAATCCTGTGCTCGATCCGCAGAACAGTCCACTCGCCAACGTGAGCCATGGACAGCTGCTCGAGGACAAGATCGACGGCGAAACGGAGGTGATCAACGGACTCAAGCACAGGGGCACACAGATCAACGATATTTCTGCGATTGCTGCCGACTCTTCGCTGGACCGCCACGAAGACACGTCGGACTCGGAGGGCGAGCAGGACGAGAGAATGTCGCCTGTCAAGCTCTCGCAAAAAATATCTGCCCTGGACGTCTTCAGCGCCATGATTGATCAGGAAGACGAGATTGAGGATTTCGAGCTTGTTAGTGGCGAGGAGGCGGAAGAAAGGCCGGTTTTCACGAGCTCCCAACTGGAACAGATCAAGTCGTCCATGCAGAGCAGTATTGACGCATTGAAGGCGGAGGTGGCAGTCCAATCGGAGAAGCTTGTTTCTACGGAAGCCACGTTGGCCTCTGTTTCCGCACAGCTGGAAACCGAGTCCGGAGAAAAGAGACGTCTGTTGAACGAGAAGGGCGAGCTTATTGCTGAGCTTCAATCATACAAGCAGTCGATCCAGGCGTCAAATGCTCGGATCAGCCAATTAGAGTCTAGAGTCAAATTCCACGAGTCCAAGTTTGAGAAGCTGAAAACGATCTACAGTCAGCTGATGGGAACCGCAAAGAACTTTGAGTCCGAACTCGCAGACAAGACTGCACGCATCACCGATCTAGAGATAGCCGTTACCAGTCTGAAGGAGGAAAAGGCCGTGTTGTCCAACGAAAAAATAGAGCTTTCGTCTGCGCTGGAGCTTAGGTTGAACGAGATCGAGCAATTGACCAAAGAGAAAGAGTCGCTGGAAAACCAACTAAAGAATATGTCGAGCAATTCCAGGTCTGCCTTGAAGAAGACGGAGGATCTTGTTAAGGAGCTAGATACAAAGACGAAGGATGCGGCTGAGCTGCGAAACAAGCTTGACGAGCAGGCAATCAAGATTGAGGGTCTTGAGCTCGACCTGAGCCAAGCTGGTGAGAAACTCAACGCATACCAGGAAGAATTAAAGTCTGGCGTGGATAAGATTATCGCACTGGAGAACGAACTAGGTGCCGTGCGTTCTGAGCTCGAGTCTCTCGAGGAGAAGAAGACTCTACTAGAGGATGAGAACACGAGTCTGAAAGAGGTAATGGGACACCGTCGCGACGAGATCAAGCGGCTCAAGGCCGAGAAAGAGGAGCTGAGCCAGCAATTGAGCAAGCGCAAGGACCAGAACACCGAGGAGCTGCTGGAAAAGCTGCGCGAGGAGATGAATGCGCTGCGAGGCAGCACGGAGGCCCAGATAAACGAGCTGAGCGCCAATCTGGAGGCCAAGAACGAGAAATTGGTGGAAGCCAAGACCGAGGCGTCGACAATGAAGCAGAGAGTGACCACGCTGGAGAGCCAGCTCGCGGAGGCCAACGCCAAGATTCAGGAGCACGACAAAAACCTCGAACAGCAGCTGGAGAAGCTGGCTCAGGACCTCTATTTGCAGTACTCTGCCAAACATGAGCAGAAGGTTGCGATTTTGAAGAAGGGCTACGAGATGAAATGGATGAACAAGCTCAAGAAGTTGAACAAGGAGAACGAGCAGCTACGCAGCGAGCTGGAGGGTTTCAAAAGACGGCTGGAGGTCGAGAACAACGAGAAGAAGCAGCTGGTCAAGCTCTGGGAGGAGTACGTGTCCTTGGAGAGCAACGATAAGGCGAACGCTTTGCCTGATTTCATCAAAAAAGCTGAGGATTGATTTGAGTATCTGTTAATATTATTAGTACGACGGCGGACCGACATGTGACGCGTAAGCTTTTTTTTTCCTAATTTCCGCAGGTGAAACTAAAACAGCTAATTTACCAAAAAGGATCCTAATATTTACCGGAAGGGTATTGTGTGTGGTGAATATTCTACGCCAAAACAGCCCTTGTGATTTTACCATAGCACAGAATACATGGCTGAGAATTTGGCGAGTCCTGCGAACCCTAAATCTCTGTTTTTCGTGATGGATTCGCTGGAACAAATAGCTTCCGACAAGGCCAAGCTGGAGAGCCAGGAGACCTTGGACTCGGATTCTTGCGACGGAGCGTTCTACAAGACGCTGCAGGAGGAGAACGGCCGTCTGCGCAGCCAGATTAGCCAATTGGAGAGCGACAAGGGAACATTGCACGACGAGCTGCTGGAGCTACGACGACTTGTGGCCTCGCAGAAGGCTCGCATTATCCACTTGGAAACCCTGACACGGGACCATGTCGACAAACACGAGAGCGCAATCAATCCATGGGACTCGCCTGTCAAGCAGCAGGAGGTCCTGGACAAGGTGATCAATCCGCTGGACGAGGCTGACATCGACGTTCCCGAGCGCAGCGAGCGCCGAGTCACGATGCGCATCTCACCTGCGCGCAGCACGGCTGCAGAGGAGCTTCTCAAGGACGTGACGCTGGGCTCTTCTCCGCGCAAGGGCTCTCCCAGAAGACAGAAGCCGGCGGTGTCGGAGACGCACACGCCTGTTGTGGACGAACTAGTTTTCAGCAATAGCGGCAACAGCAGCAATTTTTCGAAACGGCCTGCGTACGAGCTGCTGGGAACCCCGAAGAGAGAAGAAAAGGAGGAGGAATCGGGACACAAGCCGAAACCGCAAGCGAAAGCGGCGCAAATGGCGGAAAAACCACAGCTCAAGCACGAAACGAGGCCAGAACTGAGACCAGCAGCGAAGGCAGGGCCCATTCCGTCCCACCCTGTCGCGCAGACGCCAGAAAGAGACACGTTGGCGAGCGTCCGGTCACCTGTTCGGAACCAGTTCTCGCCTATGAAAGACTTCTCTCCGCTGAAAGATTTTGCTTCCCTGTCCACGGTCTCGCCGCTGCGGTCGATCAACCTGTCGCCGGAGCACCGGTCCGTTCTGAGGACTCCCTCGCCGAAAAGAGCCCCGAACCCCACCTTATCTCACCAGCAGCAGCCGTCCGACTCCTCTCAATACGATTATATTTCTTCCTCGTTCGATTCCACGGTGATTACCGTGGAGTCTTGTGTCGACCCGGGAGCCGTTCTAGAAAAACGAGAGGATTTCCTGGTGTCGTTCATGGTGAACTCGAACGAAAGACCGGGCGAGCTGGTCCCGTTGTACCTCGTTCGCCAGCCATACTCCAAGCTCCTGACTCTCGACCACGACCTCCGCTACTTCGGGCTCACACATCTGCCGATGCTACCAGACAAGGCAGCGTTCCTCAAGATTGACCCTCTGGTCTGGGACACGCAGAAGTCCATCGTGAAAATGTACGTTTCGGAGCTGTGCCGCGTGATGCGCACCCAGCGCGGGTCCAACGTGTGGAAGCTGTTCCGGGGCTTTTTCACGCCCGACGAGGCACACGACATGTCGAAGCGCGAGGCCACCGTCGTGGAGGTCGGCTCGAAGAACCTCAAGAAGGTGTTTCGTCTCGCCATTTTAAGTCTCGACTCCATCGAGCACTATCTGAGCATCACCGACTTTGCTTCCAAGTCCACAGACACGCTGCACGTGAACGACGTGCTGGTGTCGCGCGAAAATCAAATCATCACGATCTCGCGCAAACGGCGCAAGTCTCTGCGTTCCGTGAAGCATCACGTGCTCTACTGCGAGTCCGTGCCAGACGCAGAGGACTGGTGTCGCGCGATTGCCGAGTACCAGTCGTACGAGGGCGACCACGTCTCCGTCGCCTCGTCGCCGTCCAACACAACAGCCGTGGACTACCCCGTTTCCGTGGCGTCTACGCCCACACAGCACGAGCCCCTGCTACCGTCGCCAGCGGTGTCTGAAAATAAATGGTTCAACCTCAAACGCTCGCGCGAGTCCACAATCCCGACCTCCAACGCCTCGTCCGACGTGCTCGAGTTCAAGGCCATGCCCTACTCCGGAACCATGGTCTCGCTCGGAGCCGTGCAGACACCGTCGCTGCCGCCGGCCGACGCCTCGTTCCAGAAATTCGAGCCGGCCTCCAAGTACTTTGGCTCGACGTTGCAGGAGTCCTTCGACCGAGCTCCAGATTTCAAAATATACGGGAAGCCTGTTCCTTCTGTCGTCTACCGTTCTCTGTCGTATCTCGAGGAGAAAAATGCTGTGTACAGCGAGGGCATTTTCCGTCTGAACGGAATGATGTCGGAAGTCAACAAAATCCAGGAGATCTTCAACGAGAAGAACGACTGCGACTTCTCTACGCTGCCGACGCCTCCTGACGTGCACTCAATCGCTACTCTCTTCAAGAGATATCTGCGAACTCTGAAGGAGACGGTGATCCCAGAGGAAGAGGCCAAGGAACTCATGTCGCTCACGCTGGCAGCAGATCACGAGGCGTCCGTGCCAAAGGTGAAGGAAACGCTGCAGAAACTGCCAACTTTGAACTTCGACGTTCTCTATGTGCTCTTCAGATACTTCCAGCAGGTGCTCAAACACAAAGATCTCAACAAGATGAGTATTGGCGCGCTGAGCGTGTTGATGGCTCCCAACCTCACTCCTTTCGATGGTGCCAAGGAGATTTGCTCGGAGCTGCTCACTAATTACAAGTACTACTTTGAGGACGGCGAGATAGTGGCGCGCTAGTGCTCCCAGGTCTGGCATTACGTAATCGGAACAATTTCCATAGAAAATAATATCCAAGTCAAAAAAATACATTAATTTAATTAGTATCATGGACTCGAAGGTCGTAGGAATTTTGGGCGGTGGCCAGCTCGGCCGCATGATGGTCGAAGCAGCTAGTCGGCTGAACATCAAGACAGTGATTCTTGAGAACGGTGCCGATTCGCCGGCCAAGCAGATCAATTCCAGTGCAGAACACATCGACGGCTCCTTCAACGATGAGGCGGCGATCCGCAGGCTCGCGGAGAAGTGTGACGTGCTTACCGTCGAGATTGAGCACGTTGACGTGGACGCCTTGAAGAAGGTGCAGGAGCAAACGTCCGTCCGGATCTATCCGTCTCCAGAGACCATTGCTCTTATCAAGGACAAGTACTTGCAGAAAGAGCACCTCATCAAGAACCAGATTGCCGTTGCCGAGTCCACCGCTGTTGAGAGCACTGCTGCGGCCCTGCAATCTGTGGGGCAGAAGTACGGATATCCGTATATGCTCAAGTCCAGAACGCTGGCTTATGATGGCAGGGGTAACTTTGTTGTCGAGGACGTTTCCAAGATCCCAGAGGCTCTGGAAGCTCTGAAAGACAGACCTCTGTACGCTGAAAAATGGGCCCCTTTCACCAAGGAGCTCGCAGTGATGGTGGTGAGGGGTCTTGGCGGAGACGTCCATGCCTTCCCTACCGTAGAGACGATCCACAAAAACAACATTTGTCACACGGTATTTGCGCCTGCCCGTGTCACTGACACCATACAGAAGCGCGCGCAGCTCTTGGCAGAAAAGGCGGTGTCTGCGTTCACGGGAGCCGGCATTTTTGGTATAGAGATGTTCCTGCTACCAAACGACGAGCTGTTGATCAACGAGATTGCTCCGAGACCGCACAACTCTGGCCACTACACCATCGACGCGTGTGTTACGAGCCAGTTTGAGGCACATATCCGTGCCGTCTGCAGTCTGCCGATGCCGAAGAACTTCACTTCTCTGTCCACCCCGTCTACACATGCTATCATGCTAAACGTGTTGGGCAGCCCAGATCCTGGAGAGTGGATGCAGATGTGCAAGAGAGCGCTCGAAACTCCGCACGCGTCCGTCTATCTGTACGGAAAGTCCAACAGAGCGGGCAGAAAACTCGGCCACATCAACATTGTCTCGCAGTCGATGGACGACTGCATTCGTCGACTAGAATACATCGAGGGCAAATCCGACAAGCTGGAAGAGCCAGAGGCCAACAAAGCTGTTGCGGGAGCCAGCAGCAAACCGCTCGTCGGCGTCATAATGGGCTCGGACTCGGATCTGCCCGTGATGTCGCTCGGTTGCAATATTCTGAAATCTTTTGGCGTTCCTTTCGAGGTTACGATTGTGTCTGCCCATAGGACGCCTCAGAGGATGGTCAAGTACGCTACAGAGGCCCCAGAAAGGGGACTTCGGTGCATCATCGCCGGCGCTGGCGGAGCTGCCCATCTGCCAGGAATGGTTGCTGCCATGACGCCATTGCCGGTCATTGGCGTTCCTGTCAAGGGCTCGACTCTCGACGGAGTTGACTCGCTGTATTCGATAGTCCAGATGCCAAGAGGAGTCCCCGTGGCGACTGTTGCCATCAACAATGCCACCAACGCTGCGCTCCTGGCCGTGCGCATTCTTGGCTCGTTCGACCCGGTGTATTTCAGCAAGATGGCGAAGTACATGAGCGAGATGGAAGACGGGGTCCTTGAAAAGGCTGAACGGCTGGGCTCTGTTGGCTACGAGGAGTATCTTAGAAAATAGATAGGATCGACTTAATTCAATCATCAGCATTTTATTCTGCGAAAAATATAAAATATTTAATTTTTCATGTTCGCCAGTCAGGTCCGATATATTTCCAGATCTCTACGCTTGCACGCCATCAAAGTGCCCGATAACGCGCCTACACTCGAGGAAAATGCTGCTTGGCTCAGAAAATTAGGCAGGGCCTCGGGGACACTAAAATCCGCAGGCCCCATAGAATTGCCTAAGTCAACTTACGAGATACGACAAGCTTCGGAGCTCGAGTCCGAAAAAAACCCAGAATACATTAACCTAAGGCTTCCTGGGGGCAAACACGTCAAGGTGGTGAAAAAAGCAGACCCACATAGCGAGCCAGGAACCTCGTTTTTCACGCTCTCTGTGCCCGCGTCCGACTACTTCGTGGCGTCGTCGCCGTTCTCGAGACTGCCATCCAACAAACGTCCCAAGGCCTACTCTTCGCAGGCCTTTTCAGACTTGAAGGTCGTTAAGGTGAGGTCGGGAAAGGGTGGAAATGGAGCGGTTTCGTTTTTCCGAGACACAGGCATTGCCGTGGGGCCGCCTGACGGAGGCGATGGTGGAGATGGCGGCAACGTCTATGTGTCCGCTGTCGAGGGGTTGAGTTCTTTGCATAGCATCAAGGCCAATTATGTTGCAGGAGACGGTGGAAATGGCCAAAGTGGTCAGCTGGATGGGAAACGGGGCGAAAACGTGCATATACAGGTCCCTGTCGGGACAACCATGATGTGGTGCGCAGATCCCAAGGAGATCCGTTCGCTAAGAGATTCAGAGAGCGATCAGGTGTTCCATGTGAAAGCAAGCGCCGGTTCCAGACGCGATAGGGTTCCGAGAAATATCCAATTTTTCAGAGACAGTTACGAACCGGGAAAAGGATGGATCTTCAAGGAAAAAGACGAACAGTACCACATGGAGCGCGACTTTTTCGTGGACCTCAATGAACGTGTCCGGTTATACGACGAAGACCAAAGACGCCATGAGCTCATGCAGGACGTGTTTCCTATCCAAGGCATCGATTTTGCAGAGCCAACTAAAGAGCCCGTCCTCGTTCTGAGAGGTGGCCAGGGAGGAATGGGCAACATGCACTTCCTGACTTCCAACATTCGCAATCCGCGGTTTGCGAAAATTGGCCGCTCAGGCTTGGAGCAGAATTTCATCTTTGAGCTCAAACTGTTGGCGGATCTTGGACTGGTTGGACTGCCAAATGCGGGCAAGTCCACCCTCTTGCGCGCGATTTCCAATGCTCGGCCACGTGTCGGTCACTGGGAGTTCACTACGCTGCAGCCTACGATTGGAACGATACAACTGCGGATTGATCAGCCACCCTTCACGGTGGCTGATATTCCTGGAGTGGTGAAGGGCGCCAGTGAAAATAGGGGCATGGGCCTGACTTTCTTGCGGCACGTGGAGAGATCGGGCGGCTTGGTTTTTGTGATTTCTTTAGGCAGCAATAATCCTGTTGAAGATTTGCAAGTCCTGCTTCAGGAAATGGGACCGCAACGAATGAAAAACAAGAATGTACTGATTGTGGCTACAAAAGCCGATTTAGACGGAGCCGAGAGCCAGTTCATGAAGCTCAAAGAGTTTGTGGAGCAGCGCCATTGGAAGATTGTCCCATGTTGTGCAATGCGCAAGGAAAACATCGAGACGGTGTTGGAAATGATGGCAGAATGCTCTGGGAAACTGGAACGTTAGTAGATCTCCATCTTGAAAGATAGCGCCAGCTCCTCATATAGACATAACAACGACGGAGAATCTATCTCACCGTAGTACTTTAGCGCATCCATCATATCGCTCATTTTGGAGTAGTATTTCTCTTCGTAATTCTTGAGTCCTGCTATCAGGCGTCTCATGCGGGTTTCATTCTTCTCGGGATCAAAGGTAGTTCCCTGCGACAGCTTGGACTGGTTCTCTGTGAAGAGGTCTTCGTCCATCAGAATCAGTGTTTTTCTCAAAGCCATCACAAAATTATGATACAGAACAATGATTGCAAAAAGCTGGTTCACGATTTGGGCGAGCCTGATCTTCGTCAACATCGATTCAGACAAGATGGTGCTGAGGAACGACTTGATCGAGGAAAATACCGTTTCAAGCTCCACACTCGAGTCGGTCTTCAGACTTTCAAGAACGGCCTCAACTTTCTTCCAATTGGCATGCATAACGTCGTAGTTCAAATAAAACAAACACAAGTTCACAAACGTCCGCATTTTGGCGTGGACTACCCTGGCCTTCTTGATCCACCGGCGCAATCTCTCATCGCGGAACTGCCATTTCCAGAACCGTTGGTGAGTGATTTCGCGCCACGATATCTCTAAGCACTTTTCCACAAACTTGAGGTAACAAAGATTGCGAAAGATGAATTGATATTCGACCATTTGCGACTTGGTGATGATCAGATTTAGCGGAAAAGGCACTTCGAGGTCGAGACAGAAGCTGAACACAGCGTACTGGTCAATCTTCGTATTTGTCAGAACGCTGATCTTTGCGTTGTTTTCATTGGCTTCGAGCGTGGAGTTGAGAAGATTTTTAAGCGAGTTCAAGTCGGATGAAGCAAACACCTTTTCAGAGTTGGTGGTCTTAGCGCTCAAGATCATCACCAGCTCGTCCAGCAGTGTGTATTTGGTGAGCGAGAGGGTCGCAAGATTGAAAATCAAGCGTCGGCTCTTGGCGCTTGCATGGTCTTGTATCACGTCGTCCTTATGATAGCTTGAAAGATACAGTTTGGTAAGCGTATTGATGGAAGCGTGCTCTTTCGATTTGCGCAGTTCGGAAAGACCGTCAGTCATAAAGTCATTGAATTCGCTATTGTTCGTGAGTAAAAAGTACTTGTTCAGGCTTTCCAAAAATTCCCGAATGTGGTATCCCTTGAATAGCAAGTCGATTATCAGCTTGTTAGCTCTTGTGTACGCTTCATCTAGCCGGATAAATAGATCGTTGTCCTGTAGAGTTCTGATGTGTTCAGTGGACCCCAAGTTCTCGACCTCAACACCGCACTCCTTCAGCACATTCAAATACTTGCCGGTGAGGATAACCTTTTTCTGTACATTGGGAGGATAGAATTGTTTCAGCAACCCCTCGCTCCGAATCGTAAACTTGTCCGCCCAGTAGTCCTCGCTTACCCGAGAGCCTTCGAGGTTTTGATGGATTAGAAACTCGCCATAGGGGTCTTCGATGGTGCCCGTTTCGAGCCACCAATTGAGCATGGACACGTAGCCAACAGATACCTTGTTGAATAGGTCCACCATAAACTGGTAGGAAGCGGCATCTCCCTTGTGTTTGTCAATTCCCAACTGAATAAAACTCAGAACCAAACTGCCCTTGACGACTTTGCTGTTGTTGGGGTCCGATGTGACTCCGTCCAAAGTTCCCGTGTAGTGATCGTCCTTGAGAGATTTTAGCATGCTCTCAAACCGCATCTTGTTCATGTTGGACGAGTCTTTGCGCTTCTCATTCTCCTGCACAATCATCATCACCAGCTCATACAAATGGGTTAACTGGAGCGTTGTATTGACAGTCAGATCTTGCTCCAGCAGCGTCACCGAATAGTTCGCGTTGTGGTGGAATTCGTGTTCGATTTGCACCAAAATTGATTCGTACACACGCAGAACCTCTCTGATTTCAGAGCAGAGAGCCTGGACAACGGTGCCATACTCCAGATCGTCGTACTGCTCCACGAACGACACCAGACTGACGTAGTATTTCCCCAGACGGCTGATTCTCTTGGCGATATCCTTGAGCCCGGAATCTAGGTGCTTGTTGATTGAGAAATCGGGGCCAATCAGACGCTGCAGCGGGCTGTCATCGATGCTGAACGAGTCCGCATACCGTATATAAAAGCCTTCAAGCCCAATCAAAACAAACAGGAGGTCCTGGAAAACAACAGCCTCCTGGTCGCGGAAGCTCTGCATCTGGTCCACCGGAAACCGTTTAGGCTTGGGCAGGCCGCCGGAGTTTGCAAACGTGGGCGGGTACCTCACACAGCGGCCCACCAGGTGCGGCGTGGAAGAGAGCTTCAGCGTGTCGAAAGACATAATAACAAACAAAATAGCGTACGCGAATATTTAGTTGTGTGTTTACGTAATCGCAGAGCTAGGAGCTGTAGCTGGTAGCATGGAGGGTAGAATGCGAGAGACGGTCCGCAAAAAGGGCTTCAGCGTGGGTGGCAAAACTAGGAACATGCACGCTCCATGGCTTGCTGCGAGCAGCTGAAACGTAACGTTGGCCGGACCAGAGAATTTCCTGTCGTCTCGGTGTTTCGGGCATGGTGCAGGCATAGGAGAACTCGTCTTAAGAGCGCTTTTGGTTTAGGTCTGGTTGAAAAGTACATCCGGTATACAGAGAAGTCAGAATTGCCCGCCATTTGCCGTCAATACCGCCGCTTGGGTCTTGGGCACTCGGTGGCCGCCAGATCCAACAGCACGCTAATCGCTCCCGCCCCACGATGCACCGCCCGATAAAAAAATTTCACATAAATTAATTTTATCACAATACTCCATGGTGAAGAGAAAGAGAGCCGCCATCCTGCCGACCAACATTGCGCTGCTCCAGAACCTTGTCAAAAGGGACCCCGACTCGTACTACGAGGAGTTTCTGCAGCAGTACGCGCATTACGAGTCCATGCGAGACATTTTTCTTCTGTCTCCTTCCTCCCACGACGGGGAAGAGTTTGCAGAGCTGATCGGGTTCATGTCTGCGGTGTGTTCGTGCTATCCAAAGGAGACAGAGCATTTTCCAGACGATTTGAAGACGATATTGACCAATAACCACCGCGAGCTGGCGCCAGACCTGCGCGAGAAGATTATCCAGTGTCTGGTCATGTTACGTAACAAGGACGTTATCAGTGCCGAGTATCTGATCCAGACTATTTTCCCGCTTCTGAGCGCGTATGGGCCCAACGTCGAGGGCAACAACGGGTTGCATGCCAAGCAGCTCAGACGCCAAATATACAGCGCTCTGGTGTCGCTGCTGAAGTCGTGCAACACCGGAGCCAAGAACCAGAAGCTCAACAGGTCAACCCAGGCGCTGCTGTTCAACTTGCTGGAACAGAAGGACGGAAACGGACTGTGGGCGACGAAACTGACCCGCGAGCTGTGGCGCAGAGGCGTGTGGGACGACTCGCGGACCGTCGAGATCATGACACAGGCTTCGCTGCACCCGGACACCAAGGTCGTGATATCGGGCATCCGTTTCTTTCTGGGAGCAGACAAGGAACGAGAGGAGATGCTCGAGGCGGAGTCGGACGACGAGGAGCTGGACCCGAACGCTATTCGCCACCAGATGCAGGTGAACAAGAAGTCGTCGAAGAGAGGCAAGAAGCTGGAGCAGGCTCTGAAGCAGGTCAAGAAGAAAATGTCCAAGGGCAGCACCACGTATCTGAACTTCTCTGCCATCCATCTTCTGAGAGACCCGCAGCAGTTTGCAGAGGACCTCTACGAGCAGCATCTGGCCAGCAAGAATGCCAACAAATTTGACCTCGACCAGAAGATTGCCATCATGAATCTGGTCTCGCGTCTCGTTGGCACGCACAAGCTCACCGTGCTGGGAATCTACTCCTTTTTTTTGAAATACCTGACTCCTAAACAGCGCAACGTGACTCAGATCATGGCTGCGTCCGCCCAGGCTTCTCACGACCTTGTTCCTCCAGAGACCATCAACATGGTGGTGCGGAAGATTGCCGACGAGTTCGTTTCCGAGGGTGTCGCGTCGGAGGTTGCAGCTGCAGGAATCAACACGATCCGCGAGATTCTGGCAAGAAACCCTGCCGGAATCGACGAGACGCTGCTGCAGGACTTGACCGAGTACAAGTCGTCCAAGGCCAAGAACGTCGTTCAGGCTGCGCGGTCGCTGATCTCGCTCTACAGAGAGGTGGCTCCGGAAATGCTTTCCAAAAAGGACAGAGGAAAATCTGCCACCATGGAAATTATTCACGACGGGGGCAAGGGTCTGCCGCAGTTCGGTGTGGAGACCAATATCGTGCAAGGCATTCCTGGACTGGAGCTTCTGGCCAAGTGGAAGATGGAGCAGGGAACGTTGGGCAAGGAGAGCGCCGAGGACTGGACGCTCCCCGAGTCTGAGGAGGAAGATCTGGCCGACGATATTGAGGGTGACTGGGTGGACGTGAAGGACGACGAGGAGATCGAGATTTCCGACGACGACGAGGAGAAGCTCGAACGCAAGGGCATCAAGAAGAAGTATCTGAAGTACATGAAGAAGAGCAAGAAGAAGGTGCAGGACGAGGATTCCGATCTGGAACTCTCGGATGACGAAGGCGAGAAACCTAGCAAAAAACAGAAGCTCGACGACGACGATGAACGCCAAAAAGCCATCCAGCAGACGCTGACGCAGGTGCTGACTCCTGCCGACTTTGCCAAGCTCAAGGAGCTGAACCAGGTGGCCGGCGTGGAGAAGATCATGGGCGAGAAGTACAGGAACGAGGACTCTGTGGACCACTCGTCGCTGGTTGGACGGGTCAAGTACAAGCAGACGAAGGAGGAGCGGCTGGAGCAGGTGAAGGAGGGCCGCGAGGACAGAGACAAGTACGGTTCTCGAAAGGGCAAGAGAGACGCTCCGCATTCCACCACCAACAGAGAAAAGCAGAGAAAGAAGAACTTCGTGATGATGATCCACAAAAAAGCTGTGCAGGGAAAGCAGAAGCTGAGCTTACGCGAGAGACAGAAGGTTCTGCGTGCGCATATTGAGAGACAGAAGAAGAAGAAATAATATAGAATCGCCATTTAAATTAAACGTGCCCCGTCTAAGAAATTTCTGCTGGTTACAAGTATAATTAGTCTATTACCGTATTTATTCTCCTCTCTATTTCCTCCGCTTCGTCTTGCCCTCTCGTTCCTTTCTGCGCTTTCTTCTTTCACCAAAGCCCTCGCGCTCCATGTCCATGCGGGCCTCGATCTTGGCTTTCGACACCGCTTTCAGGCTCTGCTTGATCACCTTGTTGTCGCTGAGCGGCAGCTCCTCCATCTTGACGCCTACACGGTCCTCGATCGCCAGGATCCGGCTCAGGTCGTTGGGCGTCACCATCGAGATCGCGTCACCCTTGCGGCCCGCACGCGCGGTTCTTCCGACTCGGTGGACGTAGTCGTCTGGGTCCCGAGGAATATCAAAATTTATTACCAGCTCCACGCTCGGGATGTCCAGACCTCTGGAAGCCAGATCTGTCGCCACCAGCACGCGCGCAGCGCCCGCGCGGAACCTGTGCAGCGAGTTTGTCCGCTCTGATTGGGGCATTTCAGAGTGCAGCGATGTGGTGGTGACCTCCAAATGGCGTAGCAGACGGCGTAGAATCTCTGCTGTCTCGGAACGGTTCACAAACACAATGGCCGTGCTTTCTTTGTAGTCGTCGTTGATCAGTATGTTATGCAGCATGCTCTCCTTCACCACGACGGGCGCCAGAACATATAGAAGTCGCAGCGTGCTTGGGATTTTGACTGTGTCGACATTGTCCAGCTCGTGCAGAAACACAGGCTGCTTTCCGGGAGCCACTGGTCGGTCCTTCAAGGCACGCACCGAGTCTGTCACTGTGGCGGTAAACAATAGCGTCTGGCGTTTGTTTGGGTTTGGAAGCGACTCGAAACATGTCTGCAGATGGTCCGTAAACGAATCGGTCAGCAGCCGATCTGCCTCGTCCAGCACCAGGTATTTCACACGTTTGAGGCCGCGGCATTCGTCCTCATTCTCCATTATTATGTGTGCCAGGCGTCCGGGCGTCGCGATAATGAAATGCGGATTTTCCTTGATCATTGCAACCTGGTCTGTCATAGACTCTCCTCCAATAATTAGTCGCACCTTCAGATTCACCGTAGCTCCCAGGGCAGCAAACTGGTCTGCGATTTGCATAGCCAGCTCCCTCGTGGGTGTAAGCACCACGCCGAAAATTCCACTCGGGTCCTGCGACCACTTGGCCAGCATCGGCGCTCCAAACGCTATGGTTTTACCGGAACCGGTCTTGGCTCCTCCAATGCAGTCGCGGCCCTTGAGAATCTCGGGGATACATGCGGCCTGGATATTAGTGGGCTTGGTGATCTTCATCGCCTGCAGACTCTCCACGAGCCATCTCGGTAGTCCCAGAGACGCGAAGTCAGACATGAAAGATTTTCAGTATTCTGAAGTATTTTTTTGGTATGTGAAATATTTTTTTAATTTTTTTATTTAATTTTCAGCTCTAATTAAACCTGATATGATTTTTCCGTATCTTTTTCACTAATCTTGTGTGTTCATGATTGACCAATTTCTAATTTTCAGACCAACGGGCCAAGTCGAGTTCAACTACCAGCCCGGAAAGAACCTTTCCAGTGTAGTGAACACATTTATTGACGACATTCTCGTTTCAGAGCGCAACTTGAAGACTTTTCAGCAGGCAGAGAAGGACGACGCCCAGGAGGTTCAGGACGAGGAGGGAGTCACTGTGGGCAGCTACCATGTCGACAAATACAGTGTTGAGTATCTCTCTGTCAACCAACAACACACAAAGCTGGTTTTTGTGATGATCCACGTTTCTGTGCTGGCCCTCAAGTCTCCGTTTGATTTCCTTCGAAAAATCAAAACCTTGTATCTGAACTCGGACCCTGCCAAATTTGAGCAGTTTTTCAAATTAAACCTTGAAACGCTAGAGGAGAAGAAAGAAGAGGCCAGGGAAGAGCCAAAGCCGGAGCTCAAGGAGGACAAGAAGAAATTGAAGGGGAACAAGAAGTCCAGAAAATGGAACGCTGATGGAACGTTTTACGAGGAAAACGAAGAAACTTCAGATCTGGATTTCTCCACGGACTCGTCAACCCAAAATCACGGGTCTGCTAATCTCAATCAGCTGGTGGGTGACAAAGCTCATTTTGGATCCAAAACCAAGACAGGCGAGTTCTTGGTAAGCGATCTGTCGCAAGAAATGGACAAGATCTTGTCCGTCACCCCGAAAGAGAAGACCACAGAGTCCTCGGCCCAGCCGTTTGGATTCCTCAGGAACATCATTGGAGGAAAGAAGATTACAAAGGAGGACATTAAAAAGGTTAAATCTGCATTATCCACTCATCTAATCAAGAAAAATGTGGCTCCAGACGTCGCCAACTCTCTCATCGCGGAAATCGAAAAAGAGCTCGTTGGCTCGAAAACAGCAAATTTCACCTCCGTGCAAGAAACCGCCAAGAAGAGCCTGGAGAAGCAGCTGATCAAGCTGCTCACACCAAACAACTCCATAGACCTGCTGAAAGAAATTCAGGCCAAAAAGGCCAGCAACAACCTCCCGTACGTGATTTCCGTGGTTGGAGTCAACGGTGTTGGAAAGTCCACCAATCTGTCAAAACTCGCGTACTGGCTGTTGCAAAATAACTACCGTGTCCTGATCACTGCGTGCGATACCTTCAGATCCGGGGCTGTGGAGCAATTGCGCACCCACGTCAACAATCTCACGAAACTGTCTCCTGACCAGAAACAGATCGAGCTGTTCGAGGGCGGATACGGAGGAGCAGACCTGGTTGCCAAGATCGCCACGGGGGCCATCAAGTACGCCAAGCAGAACAATTTCGACATCGTTTTGCTCGATACGGCCGGAAGAAGACACAACGACACACAGTTGATGGCTCCACTGGCATCGTTTGCCAAAGCGGCCAACCCTGACAAAATCATCATGGTCGGCGAGGCCCTAGTGGGCACCGACTCGGTTTTGCAGGCGCAGAATTTCAACAAGGCGTTTGGCTCCAATAGACACCTCGATTTCTTCATTGTTTCCAAATGCGACACAGTCGGCGATCTGATCGGGTCCATGGTCAATTTGGTCTATGCCACGGGCATTCCTATTTTGTTTGTTGGCAACGGCCAAACATACACTGATCTGCGCACTTTAAGCGTTGACTGGGCCGTCAGCATGCTCATGTCCTAATCGAACTCGCCCTCGCTGTCCGATATGTCGAAATTGGTCACTGCCTCCTCGGCCTGCTGGTGGACGTCAGTGAGCCCGGTGAGCTGCTCCAGATATTTTGGATTTTCCAGCGCCTGCTTCACAAACTCCCAGCCGCGTGATTTGAACTCTTGCACCACAGAGACGGAGCACGCAGAGCAGTACCTGAAGTTTGTGGCGCTCAGCTTGAGCATCTCGAAATTATGCAAAAATCCGCGCAATTGGTGCGGGAGCGACCCCAGAACGGTGCACGAGTCCTGCGCCGAGTGGGGCGCATACTGTCTGTCCGGGTGTTGCAGAACAGAAACCATCAGCTCCACAGCCAATGATGCTGCCATCAGGGCGACTCCCGGCCGCGTCACCGTGCACATTTGATCCAGCGTTCTGTCTGTGGTAGAATCGGAAGGCGCGTACACGTCGTTGCAGAAATAACAGCCTAGCCGTGACTCTTGTTGTTCCTCCGGAGGTTTCTCAGGGTCAAGACACCCGTGTCGCATCACTAAATAGCTCTCGAATCCCAACGCAGCATTAATCACTAGCTTGCCGTTCACATTTCCCATGACAGTAGGCAGCCATCTGGTCTCGCGCGAGTCCATCAGCAAGAATATGACGTCGTGAGCTTGTATAAGCTCCTCCAGCTTGTCGAAATCCTGTTTTTGCTTCTTCTCGTCCGTAACAGGGTGCCCTGCCATAGGCACCTCCAATGTGAAGCCCTGTGCATCGACTAAAGGAAAGATGCGCTTCATGTTTTCTGCTGCGGTTTCCGCTTTGGGCTTGCCCCCGTCTATGCAGTCGATAAAGTCAAAGAGTGGTTGTCGAACAGGATTGCTGAAAGACACCTTCCCGTTATCAACAAAAGTAATCTTGCGCACTCCCCACGCCAACAGCGCGCGGCCAATGTATGACCCTAGTGTCCCGGACCCAAGCAGCAGACACTTGGTCGACTTGATGTCGTCCAAATTAAGCGTAGGGACGATCCGCCATTTCATGAGTTTGAGATTGAGGTCAATTGCCTGGTCGGCTAGTTGCGACGGATCGATTAGCGCACCGAGGTCGGCCAGTTTTGGGCCCAGTTTCCCTTGCGACGTGCGCTCCCAGCCCGAAACTCTCGAGACGTCCACCTCTGATTGCAGTTTCAGGGTGACTTGGCGCGAATGAGACTCGTTGTCGCGGTGCACATCCACCACCACGTCGCGGTAGCCATACATGGCAAGCATGGTCAGAAAATTGCGCAGCACGTAAGAATAGGCGTCTGGGACGGATGAGGTGTCAATAAATGCAACATGCAAAGGCGAATCTGTGGAAATGGCGTCCAATTGGGCGAGGGGAACGGGATTGCCGTCTCTGATGAGCGAAAATTGCGACTCGGGCACATTACCTCGCAAGGGAGCCTCAGACGTGATCTGCCATTTGGAGTACAGCGCAGGGAAGGCAAACCAGTAGTAGAACCTGTACTTTTTGAGGTCTGCAAACGAGTAAACGGCAAATTGGGCTAGCAAGCGTGGATCCTGCAGCGCAGCCTTAGTTTTGATAGAGTCGATTATTTTGCCCCCAGCCCGTGTCAGAAACTCCAGCTTGTTCTGCGATTTGAACTCTTCCAGCGTGTTGACGTTGGTAATCGCACCCCTGACAATGAACGCAGAATGCTCCGGCAGCTGGGACTCGAGTTCCTGCTCAGAGGCAAAACTGATGTCGTTTAGATTAATCGCTGGAGCCTGTCCAGGGGCCAGCCGTTTGTAATTGTAGTATCCGTGTATTGGGCGCGAGGACTGATCGAGTTTCAGGACATCAAGCTTCAATTGCGAGAGCTTGACGAAAAAGGACGAGTCGACAAATGATTGGGTATTTATATATTTGGGCTCCATAGGAATAGAAATTAATTAATTATAATAAATAGTCCAAAGAATATTTAAAATAAATATATATCATGTTTTCCAGACAATTCAAAACCACACTGCCACGCCAGGGAATCCGGGCATTTTCGGGCTCGAGAGCGGCGAGACAGGTCGTTGAGGTTGGCTCGCTGGCTGAGTTCAGAGAGAACGTGCTCTCGCAGAAGGCTGCGTTCGTCGACTTCTACGCCTCATGGTGCGCTCCGTGCAAAGCCATCTCCCCCGTGGTGGAGAAGCTCTCCGAAACTCACAAAGACGTCAAGTTCTTCAAAGTCGATGTGGACAACGCCCAGGACGTCGCAATGGAGTACGGAATCAGCGCCATGCCGACGTTCATCACGTTCAAGGACGGCGTGAAGGACGGCCAGTTTGTGGGGGCCAGTCCACAGGCGATCCAGCAGCTGGTGGTGGCTACCAAACAGTGAGAAAACAAACTTAGTTGGCCGTATATATATTAACCGAGGTTCATCTCGTCCAGTTCGTCCAGCAACTCGTCAATGTCGATCTGAGGAGCATCGTCCTCCTCCTCCATGTCGTCCTCCTCGACAGGCTTGTTCTCGGCTCTGTACAGATTGACGGTCTTTCGGAGCTCCTGGTCCTCCTCCAGCTCCTGCAGGAACAGCTCGTAGTCTCTCTCGGCCTTCTCTGCCTCCTGTCTGGCCTGTCTCGAGTCGACGATCTCGTCGGCAACCAGGTCTTTGTGCTCGTTGGCCATTCTCTTGAGCTTCCAGTTTCTGTGCTTCATACGCTTGTTCGAGCGCACGTAGTGCTTCTTCACCAGCACCACGTCCGGAGTCGTGTCTGTGTTGAGCTCGTCGAACAGCTCGTTGTTGAAGTTCGAGTTCGTGAGGAAGTAGCCCAGAGCAGAGTCTCCAGGGTGCAGGATTCCGCCCAGGTGCGACCGCACGTAGTACTCCTGGTCGTTCGAGCCCATGTCGCTGGCACGCGCCACCGTGACGTCGGCCAGAAGCCATCTTCCGTTGCGCTGGCCCGTCGGCTCCACGTCGAGCACAATGAACTCCACCATCTGGGTGACGTCGGCAAGAGCCGCAAACGGCGTGCGCCAGAACACCTGTGCCAACAGGTCGCCGGTCTGCAGCGTGACAGGATCGATAAACTGCACCATGTTGCTCACCTTGGAGCACAGCACCAGCCGGGCCATGTCTCCCATAGACTTGGCCAGCTTCTTGGGCAGCACCACCAGATCGTCTTTGCAGATCGGCACGATCTCGACAGAAAACGTGAACTTGTACTGCGACGTGCCAGAATGGATGTCCTGGCTGATCAGCTCCTCACTTTTCTTCGACTTGATCGGCACCACGCTATTCAGAAAGTCGATCATTTTGACGGCGTGGTTCCGCTGCGAGTAGTAGAAGTCCAGTCCGTCCTTCGACTCCTTGATGGAGATGGTGTCCACGTGCGCGTTGTGTTTCAGAATCAGCTGCTCCAGGTACAGGAACGTTCTTTTGTGCTGCACCTTCTGTCTGATCTGGACGGCAGCACGCCAGGTGTTGGCGGTGTACGACTTGGCACAGTCAGGACACTGCATTGCCACGACGACGTACTCCACCTCAAAGCTCTGCTGCACGATCGTGTTCGTCAGCGCCTCGCCCTGGACGGTCAGCTTGATGCGGATTCTTCTCGAATGCGGCTCTGTCCAGATAAACGAGGCATCTATGAGTCTCACCTTGTTGAGGCCTTTCAGTCGGCGCAGACAGATCGCCAGCAGTTCGCGGCTCTCGAGCTCGGCCCGCATCCACTGCTGCGGCGGCTGCAAGAACCGCTCGCAGTTGCGGCAGAATGAGATGTTTGCCTCTCTAGGGATTCCCGCAGTGATGTCCACGTTCAGCTTGATGCAGTCGTAGCACATGACGAGCCCCGTGGACCCGTCCATCGGCACACCGCAGTTGCAGCACAGAACGGTCGCCTGCGGCTGCACAGCCTGGGGGGTGAGCTGGGTGTAGTTAGACATGGAGAGTGTAAAAGTTCCTAAAAAAATTTAATCAGTAAAAAAATAGTGAAATTGCAGCACAGCCGTGACAAAAATATACCTCCACCGATGACCAACCTGCTCTCGTTACATGTCAAGAACCGCACGTCCGAAATCCGCGACATCGCCATGGCCGAGCGCACGACGCTCAGCTGGATCAAATTCTGCACCGTGCTGTCGGTGTCCGCGATGGCGGTGTGCTTCCGCACAGACGACTTGTTCGGCCGCAACATGGGCCTCGCATTCGCCGGTCTCAGCCTCACCACCCTCATCCTCGCCGTCTTCAACTACCTGCGCTCCGTGCACAGGTACAGGGCCGAGAAGACAGAAGTCGTCAGCTCCGGCGTCACAGACGCCTACCTCGCGCTGGTGATACTGGTGCTGCTCGGCATCAATATAGGTATAATGGCCAAGGGAAGCGAAACAACGCTGGCTATATGAGCGCCAGAACAACGAGTCCGAGCCCAAAGGGAGGCCCAGGGCCCGCGAGACGCGCCGCTGCGCCCGTGGTGCCGCTGTCCGCGCCCGTCGACACCGCTGTCGACGACGCAGCCGTGAAACTCTTGCTCATCGCCGCATAGAATCCGCTGAAGTCTGAATACCCCGTGTAGTACGTGCTGTAGGCCTTCCAGACGTCCGACGCAACAGACTCCGCGTCGTAGCCGCTGCCGGTCGCGGCGGCCGTCACAAACGTCGCGTCCGGCGTCACGCCGTCCGTGTACACGAGCTCCTGCGTCGCGTGGTCCTGCGTGATGATGCTTATGTAAGCGCTCGGGTCCTGGACCTTGGCGTTCGAGTTGGTGTTGGTGTGGATGAACGCGGCCTCCTGCAAGAGACGGCCCGCGAAGGGCACCTTGGTGAACACGTACGAGTATGCGGCGTACGCGGAGCTGAGCTGGCTGGCCTTCAGCACATTTCTGTCCTCGTACGCAAGGAACATCTGCACGAGCTTGTCGTCTTGGTTTTCGATCACAAAGCGCTCCCACTGGGCAACGTTGTACTGCATGTCGTCGTTGACGGCGAGGAGAATTTCCTGCGGCGAGAAGGCGGCGGCCAGGCCGGCGAGGCTGGCCGCCGTGCTAGCGAGCGAGCGGTGCATGGACAGGAGAAATAAAATAATTGTTTGGAGAAATCGCTGGCCAGATCTGGCAGCCGGACGGGAGCGAGACCGAGCGCGCGGCCCGGCCAGCCGACGCCACCGAGCAGCGCAGCGCGCAGAAACAGCTTACAGAGCTCGCGGCCAGCCGCTGGGTCTACCAGTACGAGGAGCGCGGCTGGGAAATAACTTTTTTTCCTCGCTATTATTATGCTTTCCAACATCAAGGTGTATGTGCGGTGCCGGGCGCGCAACGAGCGCGAGGTGGCCGAGAACGCGGGCGTCGTGGTGTCTGTGCCGTCGCGCGAGCAGATCGCCGTGTGTTCGGGCGCGCACCAGCGCACGTACGCGTTCGACCGTGTATTTGGCTCAGAGAGCGACCAGGAGTCTGTTTTCGAGACGGTGGCCGAGCCGATGCTCGCGCAGATCCTGGCGGGCTACAATTGCACCGTGTTTGCGTACGGGCAGACCGGGACGGGCAAGACGCACACGATGGTCGGCGCCCTGGGCGCGGACCACAGCAGGCTGCCCACCGACGCGGGCATCATCCCGCGCTCCGTGCACAAGCTTTTCGAGCGGCTCAAGAGCGTGCCGGACTACTCTGTGAAGGTGTCGTTCATTGAGCTGTACAACGAGAACGTCAGGGACCTGCTGGGCGACGAGTCGCGCCCGCTCAAGATATTCGACGACGCCGGCAAAAAGGGCGTTCTGGTGCAGGGCATCCACGAGGTGTACGTGCGGACGGCGGCGGAGGGGCTGCGGCTGGCAGCACAGGGGTGCGAGCGGCGGCAGGTCGCGGGCACGCGGTGCAACGAGCTCTCGTCGCGGTCGCACACGGTGTTTTCCATCACGGTGCACATGCGCACGCAGGACTCGCGCAAGATGGGCGGCGAGGAGTTTGTCAAGGTGGGCAAACTGAACTTGGTGGACCTGGGCGGGTCCGAGAACATCTCGCGGTCGGGCGCGACGAACCAGCGCGCCAAGGAGGCCGGCATGATCAACCAGTCGCTGCTGACGCTGGGGCGCGTGATTAACGCGCTCGTGGCCAACTCGCCGCACATCCCGTACCGCGAGTCGAAGCTGACGCGGCTGCTGCAGGACTCGCTCGGCGGGCGCACGTGCACCAGCATCATCGCGACGCTGTCGCCCGCGAAGACGTCGCTCGAGGAGACGCTGAGCACGCTGGAGTACGCACACACTGCGAAGAGCATCCGCAACAGGCCGCAGGTGAACGAGGTCGTCAACAAGAAGACGCTGATCAGCGAGTACATGGACGAGATCGAGCGGCTCACCAGGGACCTCAACGCCGCGCGCACGCAGAACGGCGTGTACCTGGATCGAGCCAGCTACGAACAGCTGTGCCGCGAGAGCGAGAGCCGGCGGATCCGCGTCGAGGAGCTCGAGGCGCGCGTGGGCGGCCAGCAGGACCGGTTCGAGCGCGCGCGCGAGCGCATCGACGCGCTCGAGAGCCAGCTGGAGCTGGAGCAGGCTGCGGGCCGCGAGCTCGCAGCTCAGAAGGAGCGCGCCGAGGGCCGGTTAGAGCAGGCGGTGGCAGAGACGAAGCAGCTCCAAAGCGTGCTCCGAGCCTACGCAGAGACCAGCGCCGACGCAGCCGCGCTCGAGGGCCAGCTCTGCGCGCACCAGAAGCAGCGCGGCCGTCTCGTGCGCGCGCTGGACGCCAACCAGCACCGCTGGGAGCACACCAGGGAGCACGTGACCGCGTTTGCGCAGCAGCTGGACGGGTCGCTGGCGAGCGCGGCTGCGGCGACGTCGCGCGAGCTGGGCGCGTTGTGGGGCGCCATAAGAGGCGACCTCGAGGCCGTGGCGGCAGAAATGTCGCGGCTGAGCTCGTCGTCGGTGGCGCAGCTGCGCGCCCGCTCTGTCGAGTCACGTGACGAGTTTACGTCGCGGTTGGGCGTTTTGGACGGCGGTGTGCGCGAGCGGCTGGGAGCTGTTGAGCGCGACGTTGCGGCGGCGTTCCAGCTGTTCCTGGAGCGGCTGTCTGCGGACCGGCAGCTGGTGGCGACCCTGAGGGAGGAGCTGCGTCAGCGAGACGATCAGATTGCGAGCGTGCGATCGGAGCTGAAAACGTACGTGGAGGAGGCGCTGGCGCAGCACAGGCTGGTGCTGGACCGCGAGAACGAAGAGCTGGTGGGGCTGGTGAGGCAAACCGTCGAGCAGCAGGCCGGCAGGCAGAAGGCAGAGCTGAGCAGCGTGGAGGAGCACGTGACAAGCGTGCTCGGGGCGATGGAGCAGATGCACCACACTCGGCCGGACGTTTTGGCGCAGGTCGACAGCAGGTTGGCGGACGACGAGGCCTGTGTTGCCACGCAGAGTGGCGCTCTGCGGCGGCGGCTGGACGGCTGGCACGTCGTCGAGTGGGAAAAGACGCTGGCACGGTTCCGCGACGAGTTTGTGGCGTGGGACGACGAGCGCCTGCAGCAAGTTGAGGACGTCTCGCGCCAGCTGTGCGAGAACCTGGGACGTTTGGAGGCGTGTGTGGGCGAGCTGGAGACGAAATTCAGCTCAGCGGTTGATTTGCGCGTGCTCGGGCTGCACGAACTCCAGACACAGTGCAACAGTGTTCTGCGGAACTTGAATGCCGAGTTGGATGAAGCTCTTGCGGGCTGTGCAGGCCTGGAGGGCGAGTCGAAGATGCAGGAGACACAGGTGGCTGAGGCGATGGCGCGGTGCGGCCAACTGAGCAGCGCGGTGGCTGCGGTGCGCGACGACCTGGCTACCAGACTCGAGCGGCTGGAAAAGGCATTTGGCGGAGAAAAAGCGCTGTTGAAACGCTCCTGGAACGACGACAAGGAGAACGTGCTGCCGGCACGCAAGGAGCGGGTGCTGGGAGTGAAGGACGGCAATGCGAGGAGTGTAATGTAGCAGCACGAGAGACCGCGCACCCCTGCACCGGCTCGTTTATATCGTATTTTGGAAACCCGAATCGCACGACCTGCATATATATATTTTAGCACTTGTGTATCTCAAAAAGTTAAACACGCCCGATGAGTTCCAAGTAAGTACCAAAGCACAGCAAGCTAACCAGCTAGGGTCTTTGCCGATACCGCCGTCCACATTGCCGCCAAGGAGACGTTCTTCCAGACGTACCAGGAAGTCCGCAAGGTCCAGGGCCTGAACTCTCTGGAGCAGCTCTGGGCCGCGTACTACACATATGTGGGAAACGACATCTTTGCCACGGGACTGCTGTTTTTCTGCCTGCACGAGCTCATGTACTTTGGCCGCTCGCTGCCCTGGTTCATAATAGACCGCATCCCGTACTTCAGAAAGTACAAGATCCAGGACGCCAAACTGCCTTCCAACAAAGAGCAGTGGGAGTGCCTCAAGTCTGTTCTAATTTCGCATTTCATGGTCGAAGCGTTTCCGATCTGGTTTTTCCACCCGGTGTGTGAGAAGATCGGAATCAGCTACGAGGTGCCGTTCCCTTCGCTCAAGACCATCGCTCTGCAGGTGTCCATTTTCTTTTTGCTCGAGGACGCTTGGCACTACTGGTTCCACAGAGGACTGCACTACGGCTCGTTCTACAAGTACATCCACAAGCAACACCATCGCTACGCTGCTCCGTTCGGTCTGGCCGCAGAATATGCCCACCCGATCGAGGTGATGCTGCTTGGGTTCGGCACCGTGGGCATTCCTATCTTGTGGTGCTACTTCACCAGAAACCTCCACCTGTTCACGATATGTATCTGGATTACGCTCAGACTGTACCAGGCTGTGGACGCGCACTCCGGATACGAGTTCCCGTGGTCGCTGCACCACTTCCTGCCAATCTGGGCCGGAGCAGACCACCACGACGAGCACCACCACCATTTCATCGGCAACTACGCGTCGTCGTTCCGGATGTGGGACTTTTTCCTGGATACCGAGGCCGGCAACACGGCCAAGCTGAACCGCGAGAAGAAGGCCAAGCTGAGGGGCGAGAAGAAGGCCAAGTTGAAGGAGTGAGCTATCTGCCCGTGGCCAACATTGGCAGCACATACTGGAAAATCACAGGTGAAAAAAAAAAAAAAAAAACGGTGAAAAATCCAAAGTGAAAGAAAGTTAGAGAAAAGAGATCATTCTTCCCGCTCGACCATTGTAAGTATCTCGCTGATGATAAACTCACAGACCTGTACCGACGTTTGAGGAGGAGACTTATTGCCTTTACTGAGGGATGCTAACCATTAGAACGTGTTTTATAGTAATACAAGCTAATTGAGAAGCAGAGTAGACCAGGCGTAGATTGAGAGTGAAACGCACCAAAGAAGCCTGCAATGCCCTGAGGCTTGCATTTTCTCTGGCGGATGATTCGCTGACCGCGCGACACGGACCTCGGCTTCGCTTGCCCTACTGACGTTCCTTGACTAAATTCAATTATTTATCATACTGGTCGCTTATTTTTTAGCAGTCAGTCTTCTGAGGTAGAAGGCCAACTCTTCACCCTCCAAAATGTAACCGTCACATCTTCCGGACTGACCTGGTCTAGACGAAATGCAAGCGTAGAGCTTACCAGATCCGAACTGGGAAGAAACAGCAGGCTCGATCTTGGCGTCACCAGCACGGGCAGCAAGCTTTCTCTGCAGCTTGTTGCTCTTCTTCACTTCTTCCTCAGCAGCCTTGGTCTTCTTTCCAAGGGTAACACCGTAATGTTGCTCGAAATATTGCTTGAAAGGAGTAGCGTCAATTTGGACGATGGCAGACTTGGTCAATGTGTTGGTTCTCACCAATTCGTTGTTGGATGGGTGGTACACCACACCGGAAACTCTGGTCTTTCTAGAAATTCCCTCAGAGGCCCATGAGAAGTTACCAGTCTCGATTCTCAAAGCTCTGTACTTGACATTTCCACCTCTGGTTCTAACGGCGTGGATTCTCTTGGTGCCGATCTTGGTGTTGGCACCTTGTCTTCCCAACTCAAACTTTCTCTTCTTTCTGAACTGGGCTCTTTTAGCACCGGTAGCAGCTCTCTTGTGACGAGAATCCCTGGAAATACCCATGTTGGTTAGTGAAAAATAAAAAAATGGATGAGAATTTTTAAATATTCAAACCCAGCTAACACGCCAGCCCGGTCCAAAGTCACGTGGGACTGAAAAAAAACCCACCTCCAACTTCTACACCGCCTAGTTTGAAACATTTTCCGCTTTACATAATCATGTCCGAGACGATTACTGTCTACGACCAGATCGAAATAGAGGACTTCGTGTTCGACCCCACACAGCGGATCTTCACATACCCCTGTCCCTGCGGCGACCGTTTCCAGATCGGTCTCGACGACATGCTCGACGGCGAGGACATCGCTGTGTGTCCGTCCTGTTCGCTCATGGTCAAGATCATCTTTGACGAGGACGACCTCGCGGAGTACGTCGACAGCTAGCATCTCCAATCATCTTGGCGTGCCGCCCGCCATCTTGATCACCACGCCAAGCACCACCGCCAACAGCACATATACCCCCCATCCGTTTTCGCCGTGACCGCTTTGCTCGCTCTGGGCTCTGATCTGTTTTGCCCTGATCCGGTCCTCTGGGTCCAGAGCTGCCGGTTTTGCCCGCTCAGGAGCTGCCGGCTCCGGCTCCTTGTACGTACGGTTTTCTTGGGCCAGGTCCGCAAAGATCTCAACAAACCGCGGGTCGCCCAGGTTGTATTCTCTCGATTTTAATGCCAATTGTCGCCTAGTTCGCTCCGACGTGACCACGCTTCCGGTAGTCTGTTCCTCGCTTGTCATGAACGACAGGAGCCCCGTTACTATTGTCGCCACGGACCACGACGGGTTCCACGTATCCTCGTGGAAATCGCTCATGCTGAGACAGATCCGGGTGTTGACCTGGAACCTGCCGGACGGCGTCAGCATTTTGATTGCAGGCGGGCGGAACGGGTATTCAGGCGGGAAGAGCACCAAGCCATGATACTGCCCGTTTTCGTAAGGTGTGCCCGGGGGCCCCGTGATCACGTAGTGCCACTCCAGGATGTTTTCCTCGCTTGGCCGGCACAGAATGTATGGCGGCGGGTTTTCCTGGATCTGCTTATATTCTTTTGTCAATCGCTTGTATGCCTGTTTGGATGCCATAGAGAAGGAAAATATTTAATTAAAATAAATTAAATAAATGTCACTTCAAAAGCCCCCCAACTCGATCAAGATTATCGCGGGCAACTCGCATCCCAGGCTCGCCGAACAGATAGCAGGCTACCTGAACTTGCAAATAGCAGACATCCACGTGATCGACTTCACGAACCGGGAAAGCGCGGTGCTGGTGAAGGAAAGCATCCGGGATGAAGACGTTTACATCATCCAGACCGGCTGTGGAGGCCCGGAGAAACTGAACGACCATTTAATGGAACTGCTCTTTATGATCCACGCCTGCAAGGCGGCGTCGGCACGGAAAATCACCGCAGTGGTCCCGAATTTCCCCTACGCGCGACAAGACAGGAAAGACAAAAGTAGAGTGGCCATCTCGGCGAAGCTGGTTGCGAACCTGCTGGTGACTGCGGGCTGTCATCACGTCATTACGATGGACTTGCATGCGTCGCAAATCCAAGGCTTCTTCAACATTCCTGTGGACAATTTATATGCGGAACCCGAGGTGCTCAAGTACGTGAAGCTGAAGCTCGGAAACAGAGACATAATAATGGTGTCGCCCGATGCCGGTGGGGCAAAGAGAGTTGCGTCATTGAGTGACAAGTTGGACACGCCATTTGCATTAATTCACAAGGAGCGGGCTAAGGCCAACGAGGTGAGCCGCATGGTGCTGGTGGGAGACGTGGAGGGCAAAGTGTGTGTGCTGATCGACGACATGGCTGACACATGCGGCACTTTGTGCAAGGCATCAGATCTGCTGCTCGAAAGGGGGGCCAGATCCGTGATTGCCATAGTGACGCATGGCATCTTCAGTGGTCAGGGCCTGGCAAGGATCAACCAAGGGTCTCTGGAAAAGATCGTGTGTACGAACTCGATGCCGCTGTCGAGCATGGCAGAAGCATGCGGGAAGCTGGAAATCATTGACATAAGCCCGACACTGGCCGAGGCCATCAGACGCCTTCACAATGGCGAGTCTGTGTCCTACTTATTCAACAATGCTGTTTAATATATTGTAATGCGGCCTAACGCAGTCGATACATGTACACGTAAACATGGAAAAATAAAGTTTTTTCGGCTTTTCGTATCTACGGTCGGATCCAATCACAATAGGAATCTTTTCGCGTTTTCTGGCTATAGAATACTTACCAACAAGAAAAACCCACTTCGAGCGGCTTTTGTAGGCAGTAAATGCAGAATATGTGCAGGAGCGCTATTCCTTTGCAGTTACCGAAGTGCGTCCTGCCTGATGATTCTTTTGTGGTGGCCGGTGCATCAGACACAATATGCACTCGAAAAACCTGCGAGCCTCTATGAAAGCCTTCAGTTTGAGAGGGGCCCCCAGGACATGACGCCTGGCGGTAGCTGCCACTGCTAGCAATGTTGGCGACATCCAATAGAGTTTCTGCCCATTTTCCTTACAACTGGTCCAGCTGCTCAGCCGTCATCTTGACACATCAACCGATGACGGACATGAAAACGTAATCAATCATGTGTGTGATACGGAGCACGCAAATCTCGGTCTTCGCTCTCTGGCCTATAATAGTAACTGCTCCGAGAATCGGAAGAATAACTGACATCCGATTTTGGCGGTATTTTCGTATTAGGCTTTCTGTACCTCCACCAAACGCCAGAACGTACTATCGACTCCTTTGTCTGGTCTTTGATACAAGTCGTGCCTTCTACCAATAATGAACTGCCTTGTTCATCGACAAGACCCCGTGTATTCAATTATTTCGATCTGCACATGCCCGTATGCTGCATAAATGATGCATTAAATGATGAATTGTTGAAACTGATTGAAAAATTGACAAGGTGTAGCAATGTATAGGACCCACCCATTTTGACCACTCTGGTCAACGGAATAAAAATCCCCGGAAGTTGGAATAAACATTAAATATTAGAGACTCATCCGTCTAGATCATCTCCTAGAATCGTCTTCTGCATACGAAGACGCTGATTGAACCTGCTGTTTTGGTTTTCATGCACTAGTCGCTCATGCCTTTGTAGAGAGTCTTTCCTTCTGAATTTCTTGCCGCATCCTTCCCTCGGACACACGTTCGGCTTTTTTTGCTTCGGATCGGTCTCCGTTTCATTACTTTTGGGCTTCGACAGAGCCCGGACGTCAAGTTCTATGCCTTCTTGGAACTTGAGTCGCAGTAAGTTTTCCAGTGTCTCTGAGTGTTGCGACAAACAATGACGTCTTAGCTCAGGTTTCCTGGGGAGTCCTATGATTCGGTAGGGACAGTCTTTCACCGGGCACTTGTTGGATCTCACAAGCTTGTACTTCTCCAGATGCAGGATAAAACTCTCAACAGCTGTGAACTTCTCGGTGCAGTGGCTGCACTTATACGAACTCCCCTTTTTCGGAACCGAATTTAGAAGCTCCCAGAGTGAAGAGTCCTTCTGCAACTGCTCAACCTGAGACATTGCCGACTCCTCGGTGTCCAGTAACACGTTTTTCGGTAGGGAACGTCTTTGGTCACGCGCTTTGAATGTAGTCTGTGTGTCTTCGAACGAAAGCGATTTGGAGCGTTTCAACAAGGAATTGGAGCGGTCTTCCAGCTGGAACTGCGGAAGCGGCCACCCGAACCCCATGATGGGGGGCTGTTGGTACTGATGAGGCTGTGCATGCGAAGCTTCTGTCTCGTCCTTCCTGATGTCGAAGATCAGATCGGCAGCGCTGGCTGGCTTGTCGCTGAAGGAGGAGTCGGGAGTGAATTGTTGTCTTTGGTAGTTCGGGGATTGGTACGAGTAGTAGTGGGTCTGTACCTGTGCTAGCGGGTTTGCGCTCAAGTGCTGAACATGACCTATTTGAAAGGGGGCAATTGAAGAGTATGATGGATATTGCGTCTGTTGCGGGAAGCCATTAGCATAGGGGACGAAGTAGCCCGCCTGGTCCAGGAAGCTCGGGTCTTGCTGCTGCTGGTAATGGTGGACGGAAAAGTTATGCTGATCATATGGTGATTGCCAAATGGGAATCTGTTTTTCTTCAGACATTAGCATTGTCCCACGTCTACGAAAGCGCACTTTCAAATTGCAATTTAAAAGTCAGTAGCGTAAAGTGTAATGACGGGAAGATGCAGCGATGCATGGATGCCTATCTAGAGGCAACTGAAAAATAAGTATTCAACAAGGAGGTTCAATAGAGAGGGAAGAAATCATCGCTTATAAATAGGATACGGGAACCGCACGAATAAAAGGCCAATCTATGCAGGTTGAATTCAGATCTGTAATTTATTCCTACATGCACACTCTGGATGCGATACATCGTGTTCTGGCGCAGCGTCCGCAAGGCAGTGGCTTATCTTCGTATGCGCTCTGACCACACCGGTCCAGCTGCCGAGCAAATTGTTTTTTATTCGCAACATCCATGCTATGCAAGGCAATGCAAGGCAATGCAGCCGTAGCGGCAATGTTCAAACACACAAAGTATGCCACGAATACATGATCTATAATTGTCTTCTGACTGGGAAAATCAATCTTTTTGTTCCCATGTTCTTCTTTTGCGTTCGCTGCTCACGCCAGCGCTACGGCTCGCAAGGTCCCCCCAATGCTTCGCCTTCGCCAGGTCTTTTTCGCATCCAATTCCCAGCTCATAAAACCGCTGCAACAAAAGCATCGCCTTCACCATTCCACACCCGGCTGCACGCAGACCCCATGCAAATGCCTCATCGTAGTCCTGCTTCAAATTGTCGCTACCGACAAAATACCACGAACATAACCCCATCATGCCCTCCACGTCCCCACTGCTCGCCGCCATGTTGTAAAAGTGTATCGATAGGTCTGCGTTCGGCTCCACGAGCTTGCCCACCTCGTAAAGCTTGCCAAGCAGAGAGGCAGACTTCGCATGACCTAGGGACGCCGCATGGAAAAACAGCTTGATGGCATACTTTGTGTCCTGGATTACAATGTCTCTGAAGCCCTTGAGGAAAATCATACCCAGCTCATACGGCGCAGCGCAGGACAGCTCGGAGGCCGCTTCAGTAGCTCGTTTCAGCCAGCTGATGCCCTGTCGCTTTGTGATTATGTCGTCTGGAAGCCCCATGAGGCCCTTGAAACAGTAGATTCCGTACTCCATCATGGCGACTGGGTGATTGTTCAGTGCGGCGATCTCGAGAAACTTCACCACCTTGCGGGAATCTGGGGAACAGCCCCAACCCTTACGGTAGCACACGGCGGTCCTGTATGCTCCTTCTGCATGTCGGGCCTTTCCGGCCGCTTCGAAGTAGCTGAGCGCTTTTGAGTCGTCGGACTTGCCAAACATGCCCACTGCATAAGAGTCTCCCAGGAAGTACTGTGCGTCGACGCACCCCCCACGCGAGCTTCTTTTCAATAAATCGTGGGCCTCCAGCAAATACTCCTTCCTTTTTTTCTTATCCGCGGCCTCGTCGGTCTTTGCCGTGAGACCGTTGCGCACCAGAATTTGGGCATACGAGAACTGGACCTCTGGGTCTCGTATCCTCTTTGCGTTGCGCCCGTAAAGTTCCAGCACTTTCCCTGTGGACACCAGCGACACCGCCGAGGGTCCCAGCGTGTGCTGCAGAAATTCGTGCGAATCCGTGACATTGGAAAGATGCAACACGGGCGATATGATGTGATTCTGCGTGAAGACCTCGGCTTTGGGGGTGAAGCTCAGATGACTGGGTATTGACCTCTCGGAGAACGTTTCTGAGTCCTGTTTTCTCAGTCCCAGGGGCGATTCGGGGATTGAGGGGGTTGTCTCCACCGATCTGGCTGGTGTTTTGCGCTCTGTCTTCTGTGGCGCCTCTGGCTCGCTCGATACAGACAGCAAGGCAGCCACGTTGCGGCTGTGCGCGTGGCTGTCCAGCTCGGCAGACGCCAGCGTCTGCTGCGCACTGACAAAGGAGTTCGGCAGGCTTTCCTTCGAGCTACTGGCCGTGTAGCCCGGGCTGGAGTGCGGGCATGAGGGCGGGTGTATGCTCAACGGGGACGTGTGCGTGGAGGCGCTCTTGTGGCAGACTTCGGGGCTGTTCGTCTGCTCGGGGCTCATCGCGAAATAGTTACCGCTAAGAAAAAAGGGTAAAAAGAGGAGCGATTTTTTGGGCCTTATATAGACCGACGGCCGATCTGAGGTCGGCCGTCGGTCCGGAGTCGATTAAAAGTCGACTGCGAACCACGAGAAGCCCACCGCCAGCCTGTCGAGACTTGTTCACAAGGAGATCAGGTGTCTGCTCCGCGATGGGTCAACGGCTCACGTATCACGTTATAAAAAATAGCATGTATATAGGGGAACAGTGGCTCTTCCTCAGGGGCCAGAAACAGCGGGCCGCCCCAAGTTTCGTGTGTGCGGAATCTGCCAAACTCTCCTCCTCTTATTTTGGTGTACCCCCCTCGCAACAGGGAGGCCCCACGCTCTGTACAACACCCCACACCTTGAAATTTCTTTCCTTTCCATTTTCACCATGTTCAAGAAGTGGAAGGCCGACAAGTCCAAGCGGGACACAGCGCCGCCACCGAGTGAGAACGACTCGGAGTCGCTGAAGGCCGACTACGCCCACGTGGAGAGCGCGCCTGCGCCCGAAGACCCGCTCGATCCCGCGCTCGAGTACGCCGTTGTGGACCCTGCGCAGCCCAACATGCCCTACGGCGACGGCTCCGACAAGGTGTTTGGCATGGAGAACTTTGGGTACACATGCTACATCGCGTCCATCCTGCAGACGCTCTACTACACGACGTCGTTCCGCCACCTGATCTTGGCGTTCCCCGAGCGCGATGCAGCACACCCACGCAAGCGGAAACTTCGTGTCCACGGCCAGAAACCGCACGCGTTTCTCTCCTCGCTGGCCCCCACGGCGTCCACAAACGGCTCCGCGGCCGTCTCGACGCCGGGATCTAGTGGATCGACAACTCCGCAGAACTCCAAGGTCCGCAGCCTGTTCAAGCCCGGCCAGCCCCAGTCTGCGCCCCCCACGGCGGGCAGCGCCGACAGAGACCCCAGACCCGACCTCAACAACCCAGAGCTGCAATCCCTGCTCATCGCCAAGTACCCGGAGTACGCCAACCTCGACATCCACTATTCGCTAAACCAGCAGAAAAATATCACCCTCGTCGGCGTCACAGACAACCACGCCGCCAGCAGCGAGCAGCGCAAACGGCAGGCGCTGGTCCGCGGGCCGATCATCAACCTGGACCACTCGTACGCGGAGCAGTACGGCATGTCGGAGACGATATTCACCGCTCTCAAGGACGTCTTCGAGTGCGTCGCCGAGAACGTGTCGAAAGTGGGGATTGTCTCCGCGCAGCAGCTCGTCGAGGTGGTAAAGAAGGAGAACGAGATGTTCCGCAGCTCGATGCACCAGGACGCGCACGAGTTTCTCAACTTCCTCGTCAACCACGTCATCGAGGCCATAGACAACTACTGCAGCGCTACCGGCGCGGAAACGGACATCCACCGTCTTTTCGAGGGCCTGCTCACGAGCGAGACGAAGTGTCTGTCGTGCGAGACCGTCTCGACCCGCGACGAGCTGTTTCTCGACCTCTCGATCGACCTGCAACCAAACACCTCGATCACGCACTGCCTCAAAATGTTCTCGCAGAGCGAGATGCTCTCCGAGTCCAACAAGTTCTACTGCGAGTCGTGCCACTCGCTGCAGGAGGCCGCCAAAACCATCAAGCTCAAGAAGCTGCCCAAGATCCTCGCGCTGCACCTGAAACGGTTCAAGTACGCCGAGGCGCTGGGCAGAAACGTCAAGCTCTTCTACCGCGTCCAGTACACCAAGACGCTGCGCATCTTCAACACGACCGAGGGCTCGGAGTACGCCGACAAGATGTACGAGCTGTACGCCGTCGTCGTGCACATCGGCGGCGGCCCGTCGCACGGCCACTACGTCGCGATCGTCAAGACCGACCGGTTTGGCTGGCTGCTTTTCGACGACGAGACCGTCGAGTGCGTCGACGAGAACTTTGTGTACCGCTTCTTTGGCGACGGGCCGGGCCTCGCGACCGCGTACCTGCTCTTCTACCGCGAGGTCGAGAACGAGGACGAGTTCACCGAGCACCTGCTGTACAACGGCCTGGCCGCCGCGGAAAACGAGGAGCTCGACACCAGCGCCTACCACAGAGAGCCTGTGCCGGAGGTGGTGGTGGAGAGCGCGACGAACGGGGACGCGGCGCCGGAGAAGGACAGGAAGAAGCGCGTGTTTGGGTTCAAGCTGGGCAAGGGCTGAGCGACGCGCGTCGGCGACGGCGTTTCGCGACGAAATATTTTATTGCGATCGAAAATAATCTCCAGACATGAAAGGTGCGCTCTTGCTAGCCGTGCTAGCCACGCTTTTTTGGCCGGTCCGTGCCGGCTTTGAGGAAGGTGCCGCGGACGACACGTCGTATCTCGCCGCCGTGGCGCAGAACGTCAACAAGACGCTGATTTTCCACTGGCTGATATCGGTGGTGCTGCTCGTTGTTGTTCCGTCGTTTGGCGCTGTTTTTGTGCTCGCGGGGCGTCTCGCCACAGGCGTCGCGGTCCAGGCGCTGTGTGCTGTGTACGCCGCACTCGAGGCCCTGATCCTGCGGTTCCCGGACCCCAGCGGCCAGGAGAACGTGGCGAGCCGCGGCACAGCGTGGTTCCTGGCGTTTTTCTACTGTCTCGCGCTTCTCGCGGGCAGCGTGGCCACGGGATCGTCGCTGTTTGCGGGCAAAATCGGCTTTGTCGGCCCCAGGGTCGCCACCGCCGTCTACAAGGTGCTTTCTGTGCTGCTGGTGCTGTGCGGGTTCCTCAAAAGCGGCATGGCCGTCGTGTCCGCGCTCGGGTTCTGCTACGGCCTGCACACCGGGCAGTGCAACGCCCACGGGATCATGGGCACGGCCTTCATCGGCTACGGGTTCCTGCTCAGCATGGTGCTCGTGGTGCCGTGGCTGCGCCACGGCGACGGCCAGAAACGCTCGCAGGAGTTCTACGACTCGCTCATGATCACCGTCTGGGGAATCATCAACACGTTCACAGAACACAGGCCCTGGGAGCCCTGGTCCCACGGCGACTACCAGCACACCAGCATGGGCATCATCTTCTGGGCGTGCGGAATGCTCGGGATCTATCTGTCCCGCAATAATCGCCGCAACGCGATGCCCGCGCTGACTCTCATGTTCACCGCCTACGCCATGTCGCAGCACGCCCAGCACATGGAAATCTCCACCAAGGTGCACGCCTTCTTCGGCTGGGTGCTGATGCTGGGCGGCTTTGCGCGCATCTGGGAGATCACCTTCGTGCTCCACGACCAGCGCTGCCACCCGTCCGGCAAAATCATGTCCTTCCAGTATCTGCCCCCATTTTCGCTCGTCTTGGCCGGCGTTACGTTTATGGGCGCCAACGAGGAGCAGCTGAAGCTCGTCGTGGACATGGGCGCCGACCACTCGTCGTACGTGCTGGTGCTGACCAGCGCAGCGTGCCTGGTGGAGCTGTGGTTCCTGGCCATTTTGGAGCTGTACTTGCGGCTCGTTGGCTACACGATCTACGACCAGAACCACTACGACACGATCCAGCCGCAGCCGATGGACGAGTTCGAGCTGCACAACCTCAGCGACCTGGAGTCCAACCGCGAGACTCCGAGCGAGCAGTAATGTGGCCCATTACATTTTGCCGATATCTGGTTGGACCGCCGGCTGCCATAAATCTGCCAAAAAATTGTACGTCCTAGATAGGCAAAAATAAGAAATAAAATAAAAAAAAGTATTCGTATGAGTGCCATCCTATCTGCGGACGATCTGAACGACTTCATCACGCCCGGAGTGGCGTGTGTGAAGCCGGTGGAGTCCTCGAACGCCAAGAAGGCCGACGGCCGCGGGCCGGTCGATATCCAGATCGACGCGCAGGGCAACGCCCTCGAGGTGGAGATCGACGGATCGAGCTCGCGGCTCCAGGAGGCGCAGATATCGCTCGCCGACTGTCTGGCGTGCTCCGGCTGCATCACGTCGGCCGAAGAAGTGCTTGTTGCGCAGCACTCGCACAGGGAGCTCATCAACGCGCTCAAACAAGAACAGCACAACAAAAAGTTTGTCATGAGCATTAGTCATCAGTCGAGAGCGTCGCTGGCGGCGGCGCTGAAGCTGACGGTCGAGCAGGTCGACAAGATGCTGATCCACCTGTTTGTGAACCATCTGGGGTTTGTCAGCGTGGTAGGCACCGGGATAGGCCGCATGATCGCCACCGACACGCTGACGCACGATATAGTCGAGCGCAAGCAGAGCGGCGTGCAGGGTCCTGTGCTCACGTCGGTCTGTCCCGGCTGGGTGCTCTATGCTGAGAAGACACATCCGCACATCTTGCCGAAACTCAGCACGGTGAAGTCCCCGCAGCAGATCACGGGCTGCATTTTCAAAAGACTAATAGGCCGGCAATATAACTGCTCGCTAGACCAGGTGTACCACCTCTCGATCATGCCTTGTTTCGACAAGAAGCTGGAGGCCGCGCGGCCAGAGCTCGAGACGCCTGCGGAGGCGCCCGACGTGGACTGTGTGATCACGCCGAGAGAGCTTATCCAGCTGCTACAGGACGAGAACATCAATATTGACAAGATCATCAAAGAGGTCGAGCACGACGCGACGCCGCTCTCGCACATCTACGAGCAGTACGCGCCCCGGGACTGGCCCGACGCGGAGGCGGCGTGGCTCAACTGCGAGGGCTCGTCGTCAGGAGGGTATGCGCTGCAGTACTTACTGCATTTGCAAAAAATGCACGAAAACACAGAGATCAGGACGATAAACGGGAGAAACCCGGACATTTACGAGCTGCGGCTCGTGCGCGGGCCGGAGGTCATAGCCACGGCGGGCGTGGTGAACGGATTCAAGAATATCCAGAATCTGGTGCGCAAACTCAAAAACGGTAGCACGAGGGTGAACGGCGGGCTCGCGGCGAGACGCCGCGCGCGCATGGCCCAGGACACGGGAGAGAGGCAGGAAGCAGGTCCGGAGGTGCACAAGTGCGACCTCGTGGAGGTGATGGCGTGTCCGGGCGGGTGCATCAACGGCGGCGGCCAGATCAGCGGGCCGGCAGAGGTG